CGGCTGCTCCCTTGCTGGGCAAGCCCTGGAACGTTGTCCTTGGCAGGACGTTGTAAGGCCTGGTCTGTGAGCCATCATTCCTGCCCTGCTTTGGGCACAGCCGGTCTCCAGGTTAGGTGGAAAGCCTGGGTGTCTTTATTTTTAACTTGTCATTTCCCTGCCTTGTGGGGAAGAAAAGGTGAACGGGATCATTTGTTCTCGGGCTGAGCGAAGAGTTTTAACGCCAGGCTCTCCCTCAGGCTCCCTGGTCTTTTTTGAAATAAACGAGAATAGCAGCTCGCCCTAAGCCCTGCCATAACAACTGGAAAGTTTGGGCTGTTCGGTGAAAAAAGACTGTTTGCAAGAGAGTGTTCTCTGTGGAGGGTCGGAAGGAGTCAGAGGAGTCCTGGACTGTACGTGGTGGAATGTGTGTACTTTAGGATTAAGTGCAGTACTTTGGGTCATGGCCTGGGGTTAGACTGAAAGACCAAACAGCAGGCTCCCGGGGAGTCGCGAGAGCTCACAGAAGGTGCTGGAATTTCGCGTGCCTCCGCGGGGCTGTGAGCACAGGCAGGGGCGAGCCTGCCCCTCAGAGGGCCCCCGAGGTACTGCTGGGTTGTAGATCCCCACCAGTGGCTGGGGAGGCTGGGGTTGCTTCGTTTTAACTGGGGGCTGGTCGGTTCAGTGGCCTGTCTTCAGGCTGGGTGCACTCACCCTGAGCTCAGGGGTGGGGCAGGGCAGGGGGGAGGCAGATCTGGTTCCATGGCTTTTGGGGATCTGCTCCAGGGGCACCAACTTCTGTGTCGGGCCTTCCCCGGAATTGGGACCTGCCTGAGCACACTCCTCAGTCCTGGGTCCGGTGCTTCCTCATCACCCCTTCACTGCCTTAGAAAGACAAGCACGCCCTTGCCCACACATTCCATCTCGTGACACAGAGGGGACTTTTCGGGGAAAGTGTGCACAAACATCTGAAGGCCTTTAATCAGGCGGGCCTTCTTTGAGCAGCCTAAATCAGGCTGTCTCATAGAAGGGTTATGGACCTCCCGCGTGCGGGCACCACTGGTCATTTTAAATTTCGTAGTGGTCACATTAAAGAAAAGTAAAAAGAAATGGGTGAAGTAGCCCTGACTGGTGGATTGGGCGTCATCCTGAGAAACGAAGGGTCGCCAGTTGGATCCTCAGTCGTGGCACACGCCTGGGTCGCGGGCCAGGCTGCAGGTTGGGAGCGTGCGGGAGGCAGCTGACCCATGTTTCTCTCACACATCAATGTTTCTCTCCCTTGCTTTCTCCCTCCCATCCACTCTAAAAATAAATAAGTAAAATCTTAAAAACAAAAAGAAATGGGTGAATTAATTTAATAATACATTATATTTAATCCCGTGTATCCAAAATTATAGTTTCAACATGTAATCAGTATTAAAAATAAACTGTCAGGGAGGCATCCTACATTCTCTTTTTTTACATGCGAAGTCTGAAATTTGAGATACACTTTGTCTCAGTTCAGACCTACCACAGTTCAGGCGCTCAGCAGCCACCTGTGACTAGTGGCGACCACATGGAGTGTGCAGTTCTAGGAGATAGAGTGATAACATGCAGGCCCTTTAAGCTGACAGTGTGTGGGAGCCACGGGGCATTTACGAAATGCTGTGTGAATTACGAAAACTAACATAACTGAGATCGACGGGCATCACTGAAGGGCCTGAACCCTGGTGCCGGACTGAATCCCAGCCTCGCTGCCTTTCAGGTGTGACCTTGAACGAGCTCCTTCTCTTCGCCCTGGTGTCCGCTTTTCTAAGATGAGAGTAACAGTAGTACCTTCTTCCTGGGATTGTTAGGAGTGAAAAGCTATTATATATAAAGCACCGGGAAGAGGGGCAGGCATCTGGAAGCACTCTTTAAGTTTTGCTGTTGTTGTCACTTCTAGTTCAGCCACCCAGGCAGCCACAGTGTGGTGGCAACAGCTCCAGACTGGTCATCAGAAGACTCGGGCGCTCCAGCCCCTGCTCACTGTGTGTTTTAACCTCTCAGCACCTCGGCTTTCACAGGCTTGAGCGAGTCTCATACCTCCTGGCTCTCAGGACAGACACCGTGCTGGAAGATCAAATCATAAAACGTCAAGCAGAGCTACCACTTTTGAATCTTCAATGTGCCGGCACAATTTATGTTATCTCATTTTCTCCTTCAACAACCTTTGGGGGAGGGTGTTCTATCCCCATCCTACTCTGGAGGAAATCAGCGCTCAGGACCTGGCCCCGCCTATGGTGTTGGGCAGACGCAGAGCTGGACTGTACACGCTGGAGGGTCTGACTCAGCTGCTCGTGCCCTGGGTGAGGGGCCATCAGTGCATTTGTTTAAATGGCTCAGTTTGATGTAGGAAACCTCCGTTCCGACTCTGGCCTCGCGCAGTCCAAGGACCTGATCTCTTGTCTGTCCCTTCAGCACTGATGCACCCTCCTGCCTCCAGCAAAAAAAAAAAAAAAAAAAAAAAAAAAAAAAAGAGTGAGAGAATGGGAGAAGAGGTGCCAGCCACTAAAATTCTGAAGCTGAAAAATAGATGGATGAGTATTAGCCAAGAACGATTAAGCACAGGACAAAAGCTGACATTTATGGTGGACATGTGCGAAAGCCCAAGCAATCCCCCTGGACCTGCAGGGCCATGGCGAGCTCTGGCGCAAGGCGCAGGTGCCTCTGAGCAAGAGGCCCAGCTGAATGTCCCTTAGATTCCAGCCGCCTCCCCACCTGCGCTACCTCGTGAAGGCTCTTCCCCCATATTCACAAGAGAAGAGAGTGATGAAGTTTCTGGAAAGGTTGACTAGAGAGGCTGTGGGCTCAGGGGCACCAAAGCTGGAAGAGGAGGTCAGGGAATGCCAGCCCATGGGGAGGGATTAAGTAAACGTCTATGTAGGGAGAGTGAGACCCGTGGTTCCCCTCTCAACTCTGCTCTGGGGAAACTGGCATCTAGTCCTACGGAGTCAGGGGTTTGGGAGACCTCTCCCCGGGGCCTCCTGCCATTCAGGAAAAAGGACCTGCAGACCTGAGGGTCAGATGGGTCAAATCCCCACCCCCCGCCCCGCTCCAGCCTAAGAAAGCCTTCAGGTGCCTGTTAGTGCCTCATAGTCACCTGTGAAAGCACGCAGATCACCAGGAATTGGAAGGAAGCCCGCCATGGAAGACAAAGACCACAGGCATGCGCGAGCACAGTAACCTGCCTGGGAATGCTAACTTGAAGGAAGCAGCAAGCCACCGTGGTGACATGGAATTTGTTAGTAGCACTCTTTCCCTTCTTTGCTTTCCTTTCTTCTTTGTTTCCTCTCATCTGAAGCAACTGTGGCCAGTCTGAGGGGCTGCTGCATTATTTTTACATTTTCTTAGGTGTTTAACTGTTTCCCTGGAAACACTCCCCCTGCTGCTCCCGGGGCGGGGGGGGGGGGGCGCTGAGCGATAGAGCTGCGCAGTCTGCACGCCAGTCTGTAGGCTTGTCATTGGGCTGCAGCAAAGCGCCCTTCCCTGCACTGGTTGGCTGGTTCTTTACCAGCTGCTGACAGGGCTTTCCCGCGGTGATGGTGGGAGGGGCAGCACTGTCACCTCGGAGGAAGGGACAGGGCTCCGAGACAGACAGAGCGGAGACAGAGCCACTCCGTGGGGCCCTGGCGCTGTGCTTCCCGCTCAGGGCAGGCATTTGAGGGAAGAGTTTGGAATCTTGCCCAGACCTATTCTTAATATGGTTTTCTTAAGTGGGGCCTTGTGCCAGGCATTTCCTTCATCACTGCTGTCACTTCCTTCATCGCCGCTGTCCTCTGTGACTCAGAACTTACTGTTTGTCCTTTTTTTGGTGGCTACTCCATTGCAGGAAGTATGTGTGAACCCTGTTATCTGCATATTTTAGGGAAGGGTATCTGATGAACTAAGTATGGTCATTAATGATTACTGTGTATTCCAAATGCACAAAGCTTTGAAGAGTTAACCACGTTGATTCTGGGAGTTTAGAGTTGGAAGGATAATTAAGACACGGTTTCGGACACCTTCCCTGTGTTAAACATGAGGAAATTGAGGCTGAAAGACTGCAAATGACATGTGCAAGATTAAACAGCTAACTACTGACAGGGTTAGGAGTGGGAAAGAAGAGTCCCTACTCCCCGCATCAGAGAGGGCAATAAAATACACTTAAACAAAATTCTGTGGAACATTATTTAGTTTTCATTGGCGAATTTATAGGATTCCTCAAAAGGCCTTTATGGGTATGAAATGCACAAATACATATTTGGAATGTACAATTTGTGGTATGTAGTCAGAAGACTGGTTCATAAGCTTCCTCACGCTGATAACTAAAAGCTAAGCTCCTGACATTAAATTGTTTGTGTTACTATGCGGAGGTGTTTACACCCCTGCATTATATAGAAATCATCAGGATTTTAGGTTCTCTCCATTTTCAATCAAAAAGAAAACCGCTGACTTGAGGCTCTAGCGAGAGGCAGGTCTGAAGTCCACGATCGCCTTTTTTGAGGTGACACGCTGTACTCCCTTCGGGTGGGAGTCGTCGGCAAGAGGTGTTCGAGCATTTCCGTTTGAGGATAGGCTCGTGTTTCCACAGTAATCCCGAACTCAAGAGGGTGCATGGTCATCCTGATGGGGAAGGTGCTGCAGTCAGTTACGGGACTGCCTTCCCTCCAGGGCTCTCTCAACGCATGCTCCTCGGTGGCCCATTTTCAGTACTGGACAGTAAGCAGATCTTCTCTGGGGGACTGTTACCATCGTAACCTCCAGTGAGTCTCATTAATATTGGAGTTTAAACTTTACAAATATAACTCACCTAACAGATGCAGCAACCCCTACGACCAAAGAAGACACCAGCCTTCTTACGTGAGATGGTTTAACAGAATCGAGTGTAGTTAAGCTTGGCATTTACCTGGACATGTCTTCCAGAAAATACTACAATGAAGGAATCATTAACAAACTCCCTGCAAATGGGATCACATGTAAATGAGGTTGTCTTTCTTTGGCTCTTACGATTTGTCTTGCAGTGTGTGAACTTAAATCTCCCTCCATGAGTGACTTCCTGTGGGGCCTGGAGAACTCTGGCTGGTTACGGCACATCAAAGCCATCATGGATGCAGGCATCTTCATTGCCAAGGTACGTGATTGCAGGGCAAATAAGCGAAGGCGCAGACCCGCCAGCACCCCCTGACTGTGGAGTGGAGATCCTGTCTCCTCCCGTCGCTGCCCTGTGCTGGGCGGTGCTGCACGGTGTGGGGGGAGCTTTCCAGACCTCCACCAAGTTCACCCTCTGAAGGCAGGATTTGGCCAGAGAGGTCGGTGCTCAGATGATAGTCTGTCAGCATAGTGGTCAAGTGGTAAAATATATACAGAATTGTGTATATTCTGCAGTTAGGCGTGGCCCCAGATGGAGGAAAGAATTTTCTGTAGGAGAGTACCTCCGAATGTGCGTCACCTCAGTGGTGCATGCCTGAGGCTTTCGTCTCGGTAAACAATCCCCCCTTTTAGTGGAGGCACAGGCAAAAGTCACATTCCCAAACCTGGGAAGTGGGTTCCCTTTCTTTCTTACAAGCTGTTTTGGGATGCATTGTCTGTTTTGTTGTTTGGTGGTTTTTATTTTTAATATCAATTCCTCTTAGGTTTATACCTACAGACAACTATGTCTTTTCTTATGACATGGGGTGCACTCCTTTATTAGGTAATTCATTTATCCAACACCTATTTATTTAGTGCCCCCCACCCCCTACCTAGGCACCGAGGATGCAGTGCAGTCAGCCAGCCCCTTCTCTCACAGAGCTTACACTCTGGTGCGGGAGGCCGAAAATGAGTAACAGTAGAATTCCAGGTAGTGACGAGTGCTCGGACAAGGTCTCCGTTTCCTAGCTTGTTCCCTATCAAGATACTCGGCTAGAAATTTTGTGTGCGCCTTTGTGACAGCAAACAGAAATTCTTTTCTTAGCAGACATTTGCTGCTCTCACTTTTTACCTTTTTCTCCCTCCCCTTTCCCCAGCCTTGGACCATCACTTGGCTTACCCTTTTTATCTCTAATTGCATAGTTTTACAATTTATGATTTTTGTGTCTTGTCTTTTTGAAAATGGCTGAGGCCAATGGTAGATCCAGAATTTCAGTATTGGAAAGGCTTAAGGTGGGGACCCAGAGAGGTGAGGGGGTTGAAGGCAGGCTAAGAGACACGTCATGGAGGTATGTTGCACAGCTAGCACATACTACACAGGACATGTGCTTGCTCAAGGTGACCAGGGTGGCGGCTTCTGGGTGTGGGAAGGAAAAGCTTTAGCTCCCCGCACCAACCACTCCTTGCCTCTGCCCTAATTAGGTGGCCGCATGCCTTCTTGTCTGTTTCTGTAGGGATAACACCAAACCTAGTTCCAATGAAATGTTCTGTGTTGACTCTTTGCGGGTTTGACGGTTCTCTAGGCCGTGGCAGAGGAAGGGGCAAGCGTGCTTGTGCACTGTTCCGACGGCTGGGACAGGACCGCGCAGGTGTGCTCGGTGGCCAGCCTCCTGCTGGATCCGCACTACCGGACCCTGAAGGGCTTCATGGTGAGTCGGCTGCGGGCCCGCTTTCCCACGTGGGCCTGAGAGCAACCGGCCTGTCTTTCAGCAGCTATTGGCAACTTCCCCCCCGCCCCTCATTATTATTTTTCTCTTAGGAGATCAGCAAGCTGAATTAAAGGGGAAAAGGTGACATAGGCTTGGAGTAAAGGGGTGAATTTCTGAGATGCTGGAACCAATAAAAACCAATGCTATTAAGTGGGGATTTGGGGGCAAATGTAATATATTCAGTAGTTTGTAAAATAGTTTTACACAGCATTTGATCATAAGCATTTCAGGTTGGAAGTAGTGTGAACATGTAACAGAAAACACTTTTCCAAAAAAACATTTGCCGACAAAACGGTCTATACTGAATATGCATAAAAGTCCTTGAGAGGAAAACCTGTTTTCACTTACAGCTCTTGTTTTAAGCAGTCCTTTGTAATTCTGGATGACAGTATTAAAGAGTTTCAGTGTTTTTGTAGTCTTTGCTGAAATTGTAAGTCCATCCTCTTCGCTCATGCACCTTTCGCTGTCAAAACATTGGTAGGTACGTTGCTTTCACCTGCAGAATAATCGCATAGCTGTCTGGGACGGTGAAGCTTTCCCCAAGCTGAACAACTTTCTTAAAATAACTGCAGGGACTGCCCAGCATCTGAGACCACGGGTTCCCACCTCTTGAACCATGATTTGGTGGAAAGTGCTTCCGTGGATCCTGAATCCGTGCCGGGGGAAGATCCTGACAGACGAGCTCGAGTCGGGTGTCTGTAGCAGAAGATCTTTACCCAGCAGTCTCAGCTGACGCTGGGGGACAAGAGCGAAGAGGCAGGGCTCCTCTCTCAGGCTTTCCCTTTTTGAAAGTGTCTAAGAACTTCCAAAGACCTGGGACAGCACTGAGACTTCAGACACCGCTCCTGTTTCAGACCCTCCTCTGGGCGGAGCTGGGAGGGCTGGATTCCTTCCTGTGTATTTGGACAATCACACAGCCACCACGGGGCCTCCCTCCCTCACACGCCGTCCCAGGCCACCACTCTCCGATTCTGCCCCTCTTAAGTCTGTGAGTTGTCAAGGGCAAACCAACTGCTCCCTATTTTTCTAAGAGGAAACCTCTGGCCAGTTAAGAGCATTGGTGATATTCTGAGTGGTGTGTTTTTTTAATCAAGGCAATTTGAAATTATAAACCCATGTCACCCCCAACTCCAAAGAAGGGTTGACACTCCTAATACAGCCTTGTCATTTTAAAATTCTTCTAAAGTTCACTCAAAAGATTCCTGTTTCTTGTAAAAAGGTTGGTATTTGATATTACACTGAGAGGCAGCATCACATAGTGGGGCAGAGACGGGCCTTGGGGCGGAGCCAGGTTGGGAAGCGGAGACCACTTCCTGCAGTGTGATCTTCCTTGAGAATCTAACCTCCCATCCGTTCCCCCACTGTGAAGTGAGACTGAGGATACCCACCCTGCGATGGAAGGAGCTGAGTAAGAACAGTGCCTCACAGAAGGCACTCAGTGGGCGGTGATGCCCATTTCCATGTATCCATCCCCACCCCTCCTATGGATGAGCTTCGGCTCTGCGGTTCCGAGAGGCACGTCTGTAGTGGTGGATAGGACTGCAGGTTACCTGCCCTCTGCTCCAAGCACCTCTGAATTCTTCAACAGTATTGGCTGTGGTCTGTTATTTTTCCTGGTTTGCTTCCCTCTGTGATACTTATATTCTTTCTTGAGTAGGTGTTAATTGAAAAGGACTGGATTTCCTTTGGTCATAAGTTTAATCACAGGTAAGTGTTTGAAAATCCATTGTTTTGCAAGCTGAGGATTAAAAAAGAAATCTGCCCTCAATTGGGGGAAAGTAGCTTCATCTTTAAAAAGTGTCTTTGTCTATCTTATTCAGAAAGTTAAAATTTTGTGGTATCAGTTGTATCACAGATAAACGAAGTTCTGAGTACTCTTGGTAAGAATTAACGTTAAGTAATTGGCTAAATTACTACATTTTTGAAGTGCAAACATCCACTGTAGGTTGCAAGTTGTGAGATGCCTGTGAACGTTTGTATTTCACAAAGGGTGCCAGTTCAGGTTGTCCTGAGGCATGTGTGTCATAGCTGACACATGACCGTGGCCGGGCTTTGGGGCCGGACAGATCCAGCTCCAATTCCACACGGTGGCATTTACTCGCTACTTGCACCACGGGCATCGGTCCCCTCTGAGCACTGTCTCCTATCTGTGAAATGGGACTATCCTCTGGCCCCACTGGGCTATAGCACGGGCTGTTAAGTTTACAAGTGTGTGTATATGACTAGCCTAACTCCTTGCCCTGCCCACATATTAGGCTTCATTAAACCAAAGCCATCGTCTTTGGAGACTCCAGCATCACTTTGTTGGTGTGCATGAAAATACCTGGTTTGTGTTCCAGTGTTTTCTAATCTCTAAATATTCAATGTTGTACCCGGTGTACTTGAGTCCTTTGGTGCTGAAGTTTAAATTGAGGCAGCATGCTAATAACTTAGATATTTTGATAGACATTTTTGGCTATTTCATTATGTTCTCCTGAAATAAACTCAAGTTCACAGAATTGCCTGTGTTCATTTTTGTAGTTTTTGTTATTTTGAATTGATTCTGTGCTTTTGTGGAATTCTATTTTTTATAATCACTTAACTTTTCCAGGAAAGCATGTTTCCATTTTACAAATGAGAATTAAAATCCCCAAACAACTGAGTAACCTTCTCAGTTATTTTCAGTGTTGGGGTTCCACTATTTATGCTAGGCAGTCAGCATCTCCGAGATTGGGGACATGTGCGCAGAGGAACAGGGAAATCCCTGAAGAGTAGCCAGATGATTTTTTTTATGAGGCATGGGTATAACAGGCAACTAAAGCTACCATTTGTTAGGTGAGTATAAATGAAACTTTTGAGACATTTCCAGACATTTCTAATGTTTCCACTCTTGGAAAAGGTCCTAAACTATCCTCGCTCATTTCTATTCCTCAACTTGATTACCTGTTGAGATGAGGTTCTGTGTTACTTTATACCTGATGGCACCTAAATTACCCCTTTTGTATTCTTTCTAAAATTTGTACAGTAGTGTAAGGGACTAGGCAGTCTTCGTTTAGATTCTGATCTGCTCTTCAAAGTATTTTTTCAAGATTCTGATGTACCTCTGATGTACTTTTGAAAAACAAAGATATGAGAGATTTAAAGGTATATTACAATCTGTGGTCACCTGGACATAAATTACAACAGGCTTAATACTGCTCTAGAAATAGAAATAATCCCTAGAAACTTGGGAAACCACAATTTTTTCAAGTCTTTCTTACGTATTCCTTCCACCCCCAAAAATGTGTAACTGAAAAGCTCTAAAGTTGCTTAGATATTTCTTCACACTCTCTCACTAGACACTAACTAAAATAAAGTGGAAGACTTACTCGTATTTCAGAAGTTCTAACATGCTTTTTAAATGTGAATTAAAGAATGCTCTTTCTCCACTGAAAGTTTCCTTTAATCTCTAGCTCTCACCCTTTTGTAGCTACAACAGGAACATGTCCCTTCTTTACACAAACTTTCACTGCAAAGTTTCTCTTGAAATTGCAATTTTAAGTATTTTTTTCCAATTCTTTGCATTTATAAGATGTACTTAGGGACTAGGGTTATTTTGTGATTGTTTTTGCATTTATAGCTTTCTAATTTTAAAACAAACAGGGCATAAAACTTTCTAACACTTTACTGCACAGATACGGCAATCTTGATGGGGATCCGAAGGAGATCTCTCCGGTCATCGACCAGTTTATTGAGTGTGTCTGGCAGTTAATGGGACAATTCCCCTGTGCGTTTGAGTTCAATGAGCGGTTCCTCATTCACACCCAACATCACATTTATTCCTGCCAGTTTGGAAACTTCCTATGTAACAGCCAAAAGGAGAGGCGAGAACTCAAGTGAGTGTTTCACTATTTAATTTTTCTCTAAAATAACTTTGTGACTGAGAACTTCAGAAGGCCTTTCATTTTGAAGACTACTTTAGCTACACAACTATACAGACAGATTAAAGTTCTTTTCTTTTCCTGACACCACTTCATAAATCAATCAGCTGACAGAGAGAGGTGCAAGTTCACCTCCCCCCATTTCTTCCTGATATCCATAGACAGGCTGATAGACCTGACACTGTAATTTTGAAAGGAAACTTCAAGTCAAAGAAAGTGGTTTTTTTTGCATCGATGCGTATTCTCATAAGAATTGCAAATATAACTGGGGAGGAAAGCAAATTTGAAACTCAAGTCATGCTTTTATTCAGGTTAAAACCATACTGCCTTTATCTAGAGGGGAAATGCAAATGAAATGTGGACTTTAAAATAAAGTCAAAAACTTAAAAACAGCAAAGTGGTTTACGAACTGCAAGTGAAGAAATTTTTGAAGTTTTCATAAAATTAAAATGATTTTTAACTGTGGTCTATAATGTCAGATTTAATTCTGGAAATGGCCAATTGAAATAAAATGGACTCCACTAATTTTATACTGTCTGAAAAGGGAGAAAATGATTTTTTTCTGGTGGACGGTTTTCTCTGGGAAACTTCGGGTATGATTACTGATAAGTGGTAATGATTTACAAGTAGCAGAGGGTGTCCTTCAAGCTCACCTGTTTTCCTAGATCGTTCTGTGCTTTAGAGCGATAGACTAGCCAATGTAGTGGTGTTGGTGTGTGTTCGAATCCCAGCTATTCCACTTGCTAACTATGTGACTTTGGGCAGCTGTTTAATTTCTCTCAACCTCAGTTTCCTTACCTGTAAAATTGACATACCTCACAGGAATTCAGTGAGGATTAAATAAGAGGAAACTATGAAGCATTTAAATAGTACCTGGTAATTAATAAAATTTTAATGACTATTTGGGATTAAAAAAACCAGAATGACAGAACAGTTCTATTTTACACTCATGAATGAAGCATCTGGTTGAAGCCAATGCAGGGCACAGAGGGGCCGAGATCAGCGTCCCTGTTATACCATGAGACGCAGACTGCAAATTCCCCTGGCACAGAACAGGGACACAGATGTTCAGATAACAATGCCTGGTCCCTTTCCAGCTTTAATATTACGTGTTCTAAGAACCAAATAGGTCACCTCCAGGCTTCTTTTCTTTACACCAGGATCCAAGAAAGAACGTACTCTCTATGGGCTCACCTGTGGAAGAATCGGGCCGACTACTTGAACCCTCTCTTTCGAGCCGACCACAGTCAGGCCCAGGGAACCCTTCGCCTCCCCACAGCGCCGTGCAACTTCATGTACAAGTACGTGAACCTCTAGGACTGCACCGGGTGTGGTTGTGAACTTAGATCCCGGCACTGATTCCTACAGGAGGCCAAAGTGTATGGGCCACTGGGCTTCAAGGCTTTTTTGGACACAAAATACGCCAAAGGAGCATGATAAGTATCTGACCTGGCGTCTGCCAGTGTCTTCTCTCCCCCAACTTTCCCCCTAAATATGGAATGATCTTAGACGTGACGTCCTGTAATAATGCTATCTTAATAGGTCAGTCCCAATTTAAAAATGAAAGCGAGGGTGGGAAGGGGGGAAGGAGAAAGGAAGGAAGAAAAGACTGACGAAAGCAAGAGTCTCGTAGGTTGAACGTGAACTCACAAGTTTAGTGTCCACAATCTAGTTTACTTTCTTCCTCTGCTGAATGAATTCTGAGCAGAACCATCTCCCCATGGAAGTAAGTTACTTAAGACCATATATACTGGGATGCGGAAAGAAGGGTGGCATCCTACAGATTCTACGAGGTATGAACTAGGCACGTGCGTTACATTTTGTCCTTTGCCTTCTGCTCCCAGCTTGTGTGATACAGAAGCATGACTCAGGGGTCAGCACAAAGACAAATTTATAGAATAAACTGAAAAGCCACATGCCTTCTCCCTCCTTACACAGACTTTATGGCTTTTCTTCCTCTACAGGTTTTATTCCTTGATTTGCATTTGTTCTTAATTATTTCAGGCTAATCATTCCCCCAGAATTTTATAAGCAAAATATTAATTCTATCATACTAAAAAAAAAAAATGCCTCTATGTTTTGTGTAAAACAGCAGTTTCGAGAGCTGATGACACACTGCAAACAACTGTCCTGTAACTGATTTGTTATTAATAGCCAGTCAACAAACACATTACTGAGGATCAAGCACTGTTCTAGGAACTGTGGATAAACTAATGAATGATTCTGTCTCTGCCCTCAAAGTACTTTTCTAAGTAAAGAGTGGTTCTAGGGATATCCCTATATAACACTATGTATTCTCATTTGCATTATTTTGTAGGATAGAAAAGGGAGGATTCATTGCAAATGCAAACGTAAGTTTTTGGTGGATAAAAACAAGCTGAAATCTTCAAGTTTAAGATTCCCTTTGCATCTGAAAGACTGTAAATGTTAATACAATTACTAAACAAGTTTACTTCGAAACGAAGAGCCATTTTATTAACCAAAAAAATAGAAAAGAGAGAAAATAGTAACGTAGTACTTCAATGTAGTTTAGAAAATCATAGGCCTTCTAATTCAGTACCATATATACAAATTCATGAATTTACTAACCCAAGAAGAAGACATCAACATGAAATTATGACCTAACGTTAGTGGCTTTTTTTGAGCCTAGAAGTGGCATTCAGTTATTACCAGGACTGGGGGACTGAGGCCCTACAGCTCCCTGAGAAGACCTGAGAACGGGACGTCACAGAGGGTGACGGGGCGGGGTCCTGACGCGCTGCCCTCCCCTCCAGGTTTTGGAGTGGGATGTACAACCGCTTTGAGAAGGGGCTGCAGCCGCGCCAGTCAGCCACCGACTACCTCATGGCCGTGAAGGAGGAGACCCAGCAGCTGGAGGAAGAACTAGAGGCCCTGGAAGAAGTAAGGCGCCACGCTCTTGTTTATCTGTTTCTATTTTATGTGCTTATTTCTTGATGATCACCGCTCGCGGAAGCCTGTCAGGGCTCAGGATGTGTGAACTGTAGCAACATAAACATCTTGTATTTTTAGCTGGTGGATACCCGGAAACACAATCCCAGCAGGTGAGTGCCTGGAAGTCAAGGCCCACACCAAGCGGCTCTGAGTACATTTCAGACCCCGGCTATTCTGACAGAGGGTCAGGATGTTTTTGTTAGTGTTATTTGGGAGAACGAAAATGAATTCTTTCTGGAGAGTTCATAAAAACTATGGTATTCAAAGTGATAGAACAAAATGACATATATGTACTTGTAGTAAAAAATTATTCTGCACTTTTAAGAATAATTATATAGATATTAAAAAACCCCAGATGCCTGGGCTTTAAGCCTAGAGATTCTGATGGAGAATGTTTAGACCGCCACAGTTGTGACTTGTCACCAGGGCCAGGAGACCCTCAATCTCAGGACACATACAGAGAACTAACACGAGGCACGAGCTGGGTTTTTAGAATTCTGGAGCTGCAATAAAAGCTTTGCCATTTCAAGTTCACTCCTGCCATCATCGACGGGCAAGTTTTATTCATTCTTCCTAAAGAAGATATCCAAGCTTTATAAAAAGCTGAGAATTCTATTTATCTATTTCAGTATTCTTTTTGTTAAACTACTACTAATATAAAAATTACTTCACTATCTAGAAGCGTTGTAATTAAAACCCCTCACTCTTCTGCCCTTATAACAAAGACAAAATTCCTCCTTAGCCCGGCATATGAGACTTTCCTCCACTCCGGCCTAACCTACCTTTTAAACTTCATTCTCCCCGTCCCCCGTGCTCCCGTTTAACCATTCTCTCTCCCTGAGCACAGCCGACACCCTGCTCCCTCTGTGGTTCTCTTCTCACGGTCCCTCCTGCTAGAATGCTCTAACCTGCACAGCTCGTCCAAGTTTGCTACCTTCAGTCCTGATAAAGCGTTCCTGCCTGCCTGAGGCATACTTGGATCTCTTCCCTCTAACCACAGCACCCTACCCTCTGCAATAATTTTCGCCTCTTCTGAATCCCTACCTTGCATGAACTCTGTCTCTCAGATGTTCCTCATATGGCCCAGCACAGTATTTTGCACATAACATAAACTAGAAGACAGAAACCGGACACAAAAGGCCACATGTTGTATGATTCCACTTACATGAAATAGCCAGTCTAGGCAAATTCATAAAGAAAGTATGTAAGAGATTGCCAGGGACTGGGAGGAAGGGGGAGGAAGGGGGGTGATTGCTAATGGGTATGGGGTTCTCTTCCAGGATGAAAATATTTTGGGATTAGTGGTGAATTGTTGTATAACCTTGTGAATATACTAAATATCTTGTACACTTTAAAGGGGTGCGTTTTATGGTGACTTATATTTCAGTTTAAAATATGAGATACCACCTTATTCCTGGTTTTCAAAGTATGTATTTTGAGTTCACAGGATGAAAATCGCCATCTAGGTATAGAAAGGAGGATGATCACTAGGTGCTTTATCTATGTTACTGTTTTTGCACTTTACAGAAAACCTATGTTAAGGTAGGTTTTACCATCTTTATATTAGAGAGGAAGAAACCAAGCTTCACAGAACCTAATTATTTTGTCCAAGGTCATAAAATCTACATTTGAACCCACATCCATCTAAATCCCAGTTTTTAACATTACAACCAACTGGAAAGGAATCTATAGTAAAGGCACACATATGTAAGAAAGATAAATTATTTATGATTTTCCCCTGAAACTGTTATTTCTCTTTTAGAGGCTGGAAAAAATCCAAAAAGTCCAGTTCCATCGCACCAAAGTGAAGAGCAAGCCACGCGAGGCCAGCAAACACTCAGGGTTTTCTACCTCAGACAACAGCACGGCCAACACCCCCCAGGACTACAGTGGGGGCGTGAAGCCCTTCCCCTCCAGGAGCCCTTCGCAGGGCGACGAGGACTCCGCTCTGATTCTGACCCGGGACAACCTGAAAAGCTCCGACCTGGACCTGTCCGCCAACAGCGATCAGGAGTCCGGGGTGGAGGACCTGAGCTGCCGGTCCCCCAGCGGCGGAGAGTGTGTTCCCAGCGAAGACAGCGGCAAGGACCGGGACTCTGACGAGGCCGTGTTTCTCACAGCCTGAGGCTTCCGTCTGGAGTTCCAAAATAAAGGACATACAAAAGACACTTTCCAAAAATAAGGGAACAGTGCAATTCAAGATGAAAAATAACTTAAGAAATGATACATGTCTCAAGAAGTAGAAAATATAGCAATGAAAATGGCGGGGGGGAGTCCAACTCTTAGTTCCTTTAGATACTGAAGAACAGGAAGTAGCCATATTAAGGAAATTATCCCATTCTGAAAATGATTCTAGACTATGAAAGTTGTACTCACGACAGAGCAAGGACCTCTACCGTCACCTGCGGTTATCAACACGAACCTTCCGCCACGGCATGCGTCCGCTCAGCTCAGAAAGTACCCTGACCCCTTGCCTGTTCTCACCGTCAATCTTCCTCATATTTCATTTCCTGATACACATTTTGTTTCCTCAAACATCTGACGTTATCTTCCTTCCTGACTCCGCTAATGTTCCTAATAACAGAGGGCATTGTTGAGATGTACCCTTTTTTGGTTAACAGATCTATTTCTGCTACTGAGGAGTTTTATAACTGCTTAAGCTTATCTTCCAGGTTTCATGATCACTTTAACTTTTCCTCAGATAATATATTTTGAATTGTTTTGTTACTTTCTTTTGTTGCCTTTTTCCGGAATCTTTTCTTCCTGTTCACCATTTAAAAAACGCTAAAACTTATAACACACCTTTTCCTCTAAGACAGGTCTAATACCTAATAAAATATAAGTGACATTTACTCTCTGGTTCTTAAATATGAATTCAGATCATATTAGCTTGGTTATTAACAAGCTTTTATAACTATTCCAGAGACCACATTACCAAGACAGTGTGGGCCAACCACCAGCCTGATCCCTGAGGTGTAACAATGTAAATGGGTAGAACTTCAATGAGGGAAAATCCTAATTAAGATCTCGGGAATTTGGTTGTCATTTTTATTTAACCAGTTCTGTCATCTATCATTTCAAAAATTTTAACTGGTTATACGATTTAAATAACATTGTTACATCTCATGACCACTCACTGCTGAATTAGTTCTGAAAACTTTCTATGTTTTACTAAAATGCACACTTGAAGCAGAATCATTCCCCTTTGTGTATGGATAAAAATAAGAGTTTACTGGGTGACGTAAACTTTTGATCTGAAGAAACTTAGTGGAGAAAAGTTGCCCTGTTGGACAGGGATAAATAACATTCATGCTATACAGTTTTCAGTTATTAGGTATAATCTACATCAATATTCTGAAGGTGTAAATTTTAAAAATAGGATAATATATTAAATTTTGCTGAAACAGGAACAAAATAAAGAGAAGACAGAGAGGAGTGATATCACCAAGATGGCCACATAGGTCATTCCTGACTCCACCCCTTCAGGAGAAGACCAAGCGGGCAGGGGACCACTGAGGAACCCCGAGAGCTCGAGAGTGAGGCTGAGGCACCCCCTGCAGCAGAGACCAAGATGGCTACATGAGAAGGGATGGGGACTGGTGCCCGCTGACCATACTGCTCCTGCCCATGGCTGGCACAGCACTACGCCGAGGTCTCCCAAGCCTCCAGTTCCCCAATGGGAACAGAGTGTCCAAGGGCAACACCCAACACCCCTGGTTTGGGTGGATTGTTGGTGGGAGCCCCTACTCTGGTTTCGTCCAGCAGGGCTCACAGGCGAATCTCTGGGCTCCGCCACTGAGAGCCCGACTGAGACAGAGAAGTGAGGCGGGGCTTCCAATGATCCGCACTTGGGTTTTGGAGGATGAACTCCTACCGTCAGAACCCAAGTGGCAGCCCCGACCAGCAGCGTTGCTCCTCTGCACAGTCAGGTCAGTGGTGCAGTGTGACAGGGAACTCGGGTTCCCAAGGCGGAGTTCTGCCTTGGAGCCTGGTCAATATCTGCCCAGGTAGAAGAGCTGAGCCATGCCCTCACCTGCTGCAGGTCAAGGCTCCTGGTCCCTCCTGACCAGAAAGCCTGTTTGAGAAAATTCTGGAGTTGCCCAAAATGGTCCCTGCCAGTCCTGCTCAGGCAGGAGCCAGAAAGACAGCCCCACCCACTGCAGAGAGTGGGCCCTCAGCCCCATGGGACAAGAAGGGCAGGTGAGAATGCCTGGAATCTGCGTATCCAGCGGCTTTGGAGCTGAGCGGTGTGTGGGCACAGCCAAATACTCAGGACCAAGCCGGTGGGCCAGTTCAGCCAGTGAACTTGGGGTATGGATTAGCTGGAGTCAAAACCACATGCCAACAAACTCAGCCGCCTAAAAGAAATGGGAAGAATTTTAGAAACATACAAACCACCAAGACTAAATGAAGAGAAAGCCTGAATAGAATAATTACTAGTAAATGGAGATGAGCCCAGGACCAGATGGCTTCACTGGTGAATATTCAGCAAACATTTAACGAAAAATTAATGCCAGTCCTTCTCAAAGTCTTCCCAAAAAAAATCAAAGAGGAAGAACACTATCAAACTCATTTTATAAGGCCTTATCCTGATACCAAAGACTGAAAAGACACTACCAGAAAAGAAAACTATAGGCCAATATCCCTCATGAATATAGATGCAAAAGTTGTCAAAAACATACTAGTAAACCTAGTTCAGCAGCACGTCACAAGATTCATTCACCATGATCAAGTGGGATTTACACCTGAGATGCAAGGATGGTTCATACACAAATCAATCAATATGATGCATCACTTAGTAGAACAAAAGAAATCGCATCTCAAAGACACAGAGAAAGAGCATCTGACAAAATTCAACATCCGTCCGTGATTAAAAACTTTTAGCAAATCTGGTATAGAATGGTACTGTACCCCAATATAATAAAGGCCTATATGATAAGCCCAGCTAATATCATAATGGTGAAACGGTTAAAGCTTTCCCTTGAAGGTCAAAATTAAGACAATGGTGCCCAATATCTCACTTATGTTCAGCCATACTACTGGACTTCTTGACAGAGCATTCACGCAGGAAAAGTAATAAAAAGCATCAAAACTGGAAAGAAGGAAAATTGTCTCTATTTGCAGATGACTCATTTTATACATAGAAAAAACACTGACAACCCAACCAAAAAACAAAACAACTGTTAGACCTAATCAACAAATTCAGTAAGACTGCCGGATACAAAATTAACATAGAAAAATCTGTAGCACTGCTGTACACTAACAAAGACTTAGCTGGAAAAAATAAATAAAAACATCTGCATCAAAATAAATACTTAGAAATAAACTTAACCAAGGACATTAAAGACTTTTTTTCTGAAGTTAAAGTACACTGATGAAAGAAATCGAAGGTCATACAAATAAACATTCAGATTGCAAGAAATAATGTTGTTAAAACGTCCACAGTACCAAAGGCATCTGTAGATTGAATGCAATCCCCATCAAGATTCCAATGACATTTTTCACAGAAGTAGAAAAAACAATCTAAAATTTATGTAGAACCACAAGAGCCCCAAAACTACCAAAATAACCCTGAGAAAGAACAAAGGAGGCATAACATCTCCTGAACTTAAGCTTTACTATAAAGCTATGGTAATCAAAGCAGCATGGTATTGGCATAAAATCATAGGAAGGCTCCTTGACATTAGTCTTGGCAATGATTTTTTGGATATGACACCTAAATCATTAGTAATAAAAGTAAAAACAAACAGGTGGGACTACATCAAACTGAAAAACTTCTGCAAAGCAAAAGACAACAAAATGGATAGACAACCTACAGAATAGGAAAAAATTTATGAAAACCGTAAGGACTTAATATCCAAAATATATACGAAAGTAATACTATTCAATAGCAAAAAACCAAGTAATCCATTTAAGAAACAGGCAGAAGTTCTTAATGGCCCGTTTTCCAAAGAAGATATGTGAAAGGCTAGCAGTTACGTGAAACAATGCTCAACATCACTGGTCATTAGGGAAATGCCAATCAGAACTACTGATAAATATGATACCTCATATCTATTAGGACAGATATTATCAAAAAGACATGAAATAAATGTTAGCAAGAATGTAGAGAAAAGAGAACTGTGTGCACTACTGATGAGAATATAAACAGGTACAGCTACTATGGAAAAACAGTATGGAGAATCCTCAAAAAATTAAAAATAGAACTATATGATCCAGCAATTCCATCCTGGGTATATATTCAAAGGGAACAAAAACACTAAACTAAAAAGATATCTGCAGTACCCCATGTTCATAGCAGCATTACTTACAATATCCAACACATGGAAAAAACCTAAGTGTCCATCAACAGCAAAAAGGATGAAGCTATAGTATATTTTATATATATACACACACAATGAAATATTCAGACATAAAAAAATGGGGAAATATTGCCATTTGTGACAACATGGATGGGCCCTGAGTACACTGCGCTAAATGAAATATATCAAACAAAGACAGATACTATATACTATATGACCTCAGATGTAGAATCTATGGGGGAGGGGGAAATTGTGGTTAGCAGAGATGGGGGCCGGGGGCGAGAAGGAATTGGAGAAAGGTGGACAAAATGTACAAACTTCCAGTTACAAGATAAACAAGTACTAGGGATGTAATGTACAGCATGATAACTATGGTTAACACTGTTGTATAATATATATGAAAATTGTTAACAGAGTAAATCCTTAGAATTCTCATCACAAGGGAAGCAATCTTTTCTTTCTTTTTTTACTTTCTCTTTTTATTGTACATATGACATGGCAGACAGTAAATAAACTTAATGTCGTAATCACTTCACAATATATGTAAGTCAAACTATTACCTGTGTATACCTTAAAGTTATACAGTAATGTATGTCAATTATATTGCAATAAAACTGGGGAAAAGGGCAGGAGAGCTACACTGCTGGAAAAAAAAATTTTTTTTTTGGTCCTCGTCCTGCTGAAATCTTTAATAAGAAAGATTTGGAGGGGGCATAATTATATATATATATATATATATATATATATATATATATATACACACACACACCAAGCTAGTATATATATATATATATGAGAAATAATAGTGTAATATTAAATATGTTAATCATACTTAAAAAATAGAACTTTAATATGTTAGAGACTTGTAATATAAAGTATTCTGTGCCTGTAAATAAAGTATAATTGTTTTAGAATACAGAATTGGAGCATGCTCTCATGAGCAGTTCCAAGTTAAGTACAAGGAATGTTTATTCTTTTTCTGCCATATATTGTATGTAGCAGGGAATACCTTGTTAATGGTAAGTACTTAGGATACAGTTGTAATCGCTTTTGCATTATTAAAACAACTCACTTCATGTGTTTCTTGTAGTTATCAACTCTCAGAAGTCTCTTTGCCTAATACTGAGGACGCGACTTTAATTTCTTCCATTTGGCAGTGTCCATCTACAAGATAAATACACAATAACACACTTTTAAAGAATGACACTATGAATATACCAAACAGAACTATGCATTTATTTTGAAAAATAGGATATTCGATGTTTTAAAATTTAATTCTTTAATGCAATGCCTTTCACATCAGACACACGAACTGTTTTTCAGACTTTCAACCATCTTACAAGATGTAATTTACATACATGTTCACTTAGAGTACTTATTAGGAATAAACCTAACACTGAAATTTATATAAAAGGTTACATTCACTGCTTATTAAACTTTGCTGTGCTTTCACAGGGACTTGGAAGGATATGGCCAATTAGCTAAGACTAAGACCTCTAACAGTACATTCTTGTTTTAAATCAAACATCAATTAAGTGTTTTATTTAAGGCTGTTGGTTTAAAACATAGGGAATAAACCAATGTAAAACTAACCAAGGCAAATTACTTCTCAACTAGTAATATTCAGAGCTCAAGTGACTAAGTATTTCATTATATTCAGGTAAATTTAATGATCTGAAGTAGGTAAGAATTTTGATCCTATTTCAGCAATCGATAAAGGAACATTTTTAGAATAAAGTGAAGAGAAGGAAAACCCTGACACACATTTCTATTCTTTAAAAGCACATAATTAGTTTCCTTAAAAATCAATCTGAGCTGTCCTTTCATTTAAGCATATAAATTATGATCAAACTTACCTCTATTCCAATATAAATTTCCTAGTTTATTCCTAGAAAATACTCCATCTTTGAAACATATCTTAAGTATCTCATTTATTTAGAGAACTTTCTTCTGTTTTGATATATTGGCCTTTCCATGTCTACCCATGACAATCACCTACTCAGAATAATCCAGTAACTCCAAGCTTCTACCATTCTGATTGCCATCTAGTCTTTTTTTATTATATGTTAAAGTAAAATTGGATTCTCTGCTTTGCCGGTCATCTCCCTCCTCTGGCACTGTTTCTCCAACATGGCCAATTATAAGAAGAAAATAACATAGACATAAAATTACCAGGAAAGTCACTTAATTCCTGTTGTAATAACAAAAACAAAATTCACACAGACATGCTCAAACGCAGACTTTTTTTCATTCTAGGTGACCTACGTAACCTATATCTTATCTGAACTAATGTGTCTGTTTGTTAAATGCACACAATGACAATCAAACTCCTCTTTTTAGTAACTGGGTTGTAAGGAGGTTATCCAATAAATTCATTTTGGAAGAAGAAACCAAGCTACACTAACTGGTACAGGATAAAACTGAACTATGAAATAGTTCAAGTTTAAAGAATAAAAAATATTGAGACAAATTACTTATGTGATTGAAGAGGCTATGTAAAAAAAATTTTTTCCTGGCTGACGGGAAGGTAGTTCAATGAAGCACTTAAACCTACAGCTATGTAATATTTCCACAATGTCTCATTCAAGTAGGTGCTTGGTAAAATTAGTAGATCAAATGAACTGCTGCCCTTCAGAATGGCTCCGTCCTCCGGTGTCTTGCTCTGGGATCTACCCAGTTTATAAGAGAGCTACGTGTCTGCAGAAGAGCGGGACTACTGTGCCCTCCCTCCACGCAGTGCCTGTGGGAGGGCTGAAGCCCCGCTGCCTGGGGCAGTCAGGGGGGTCTCGGGACACCCGGAAGCCGCCGCCACCAGCCTGAAACACTTACCTCGCTGATCTAGAAATCCAGAATAGTTATTATACCTTCCTCGTCTGGTCATCGTGAAGATCAAATGGCACACCCTTAGCACAGTGTGAGGAAGACAGGCGATTAATAAAAGATAACGTCTTTATCCAAAGTACATCTTTATAGTCCATGGGAATACTCGCCCTTCCATAAGCACAGACTAAGTATTCAATATATTTCAGGTCCAAGAAAATAATTTTGTTTTTCCTAAAGCTCTATTGCCAAAAACATGTTATAAAGGTGAACAGAAAAATGAAGACAAAATTGTGCTGTATGCTGGTGTGTGAAATGGCAATCATACTGGGATGAAATTTAAAGAAAAGGAAGCATTAGGTTGTTTTGTGACTTAGATACTATTTTACCAAGCCTCAGGTACACAGTTCAACATTTTCTCCTTATTTAGCCTTTCATAGCTACCCGTAAAATGTGTTCACTCTGTAATACAGAATAGAAGCAAACTGCTGAACCTAGTACCAATGAAATATTCAATTAAATTAATTAAAACCTAACTTCCTAAATGTTAAATATTAATTTTATTACTATAGCTTTTCTCATATGAAAAGTTAACTCACAATAATAAAGTTCAGAAAATTTCATGGACTTTTTACGTCCAGATTAACTATTCAAGTTAATTTAACTATTTATTAACAAAGATGATTTTTAACTTTAACATTAGTAATTTACAGTCTATTCTTATCTGACCACATTGCATATTTATATTAAAAAATTAGCATGAAAGTTTACGTTGGACTAATTTAAGTGAATGGCAATTTTTTCCTAGTAGGTGAAATATTTATTTGCCTGTATTGCTTCTTAAGTGCATCTTTAATTTTAAAAATAAAACAATATATAAAAGCAGCTGGTTTATTCTTTTGATTTATTGTACGTATTAAAAGTTACTTTCTTGAGATGGCACATTGGCAGGTTTAATGTTTACTATACTAGGACTATTTAAAAGATACTGTTTTTGAAAGTTTGGTTATCCAGAAGAATGAGAAAAAATAAGTCTTTTTATAGTCTGAAATAGTAATATTTTCATAAAAAGTTGAGAGGAAAAATTCTAAGCAAAGCGTTTTTGATAAACAAATGAGGCAGATTCAAATTAAAAATACAAATTTAAATGAAGTAATTTTATAAAATATGAAAACTAGCTAAATTACATGCATAATTATTTAATCAATAAGAGAGGAACAGCAGTGGAACTTAAATATGATAGGATTTATCCATAATAAATAAACATTTTTAGTGCAAATAGTGCAGAAGAGTTTCTCAAAGTCAAGATCATAGCAATCATTCTGATCTGTACAAAATCAGTCTCAGTTCTGTATACAATCTATACAGTATCTCTATGAATTCAGCTGTTATGATGAATGCCAATTTGCAAATCATAAATATAAATGTGCTTAGTTATGTGTCCCATTCCTCTCTTGGCAGTTCATGTTTTCAGGAAAATCTGGAAAGAAAAGAAAATTAAAAAAAACCCCTAAGACTTAATTTAAAATAATAAATTTTCATCCCTTTATATTCTCTTCCCATTAAGACTGACCTATAAAAAGATAACTTGACCATGAGGGAAAAAGAGGTAGAAAAGGATTCTAGCATATTCATATAAAGAAGCAATTACTCAGTGCCCACTTTCTCCTCAAGCTGTGGGAAACGCACACTCTACATTAAAAATCCACGCTTACCCAGAGGGCCTGACGGTATGATTTGTAAAATAAGATGTAAAGCAATTCAACGTTAGCACTAGTCTTAAACACAACTAGACTGAGAGAAGGGGCAGATGCACTGGAGATAGAAACGCCTGTTATTTCCTTCCCTGTAGTCTGCTCCCCTTTAGGGACCTTCTTGTGGTCCCTTCTCAAAGTCCACTCCTCGGCCGTCGAGGGGGCAGAGGACCACAGGACACCGATCTCCAGGCCACACTGCTGAGGCAGGATGGGCACGCCCAGCCCCAGCCAGCCTCCTCCCAGGGATCTGCGGCGAGACCCTTGTCGGTCTCTGCTGGCTGCCCGAACCGTTAGGGCCAGGCACCTGGGCAGCAGCGGCCAAAGCATATGCAAGCGTAGCAAAGAAAGAGCTCCGAAGAGGGAAAAAGCAGAGGCAGAACTGAGAAACCAGCAGTCTTGGAAAGGGTGTGAGAAAGAGAAGCAGCTTTGACTACTGTAGCCTCTAGTCATATTTTCACTCGCAGGTGACTGAGCTCTACTTTCTTGTATTTGGCTCTATTCTGTATCCCAGCATTAACCAGTAACACAGCATTTTTCCTAAACTTGTTGGGGTAGGAATTAGTTCTTACAACCAAATCATTCTCTGAACAAGACAGATGGAGAGGAAAAGAAAGGCTATCTTGAGATGAAGTAAAACCATCAACAGGAACATGGTATAAACAAAAGAACATGACATGTGAGACAACACAAGGGAAAAAATGGAAAATTAAAATGGATAATCTCAAGTATGGATCAGATTTTAGAAGGCTTAAAACCAAAGAGAAAAACAGGGCATTGAGACTGTCATTGCTAGGGGCCCAACATAGGTTCCAGAGCAGAGACATTAGATCATAGTGTGGTGTTTTAGGAAGGTGAGTCTGTTAGTCCTGTGCAGAAGGAGAAACCCTGAAGTCAGCCCTGGCTGGTATGACTCAGTGGATTGAGTGCCGGCCTGAGAACAAAAGGGTTGCTGGTTCAATTCCCAGTCAGGGCACAAGCCTGGGTTGCAGGCAGGGTCCCCAGTAGGGGGTACGTGAGAAGCAACCACACACTGATGTTTCTCTTTCTTTCTTTCTCCCTCCCTTCCCCTCTCTCTGAAAAAAAAATCTTAAATTAAAAAAAAAAAAAAAAAAAAAAAAAAAGGAAAAAAGAAACCCTGAGGTCAGGGGACTGGCCAGAATGTTACTGGAATAATCCTGGTGTGAGATGGAAAAGAGACAGACTGGAAGTTTATCTTGAAAGAAGTAGTAACAAGACTATTGAGGATATGGTACACGCCACAAACTAGCTGAGAGAAAGGAACTAATTATAGTTTACAAAATATAAACAGCTATCAATGTTGCAAAAAAACATTTCATTTTAGCCAACATCATACTAAGAAAATATCCAAAAGATTTCTACTGGCTATATACATATATATGTGTAAAACATCATGCTTAATATATATTGGAAAATATTCTTCATGTTACATAGTGTAAGAGCTATAATGACAATATTACACTTGAAGCTGGCAGAACAGACTCTGGTAATTAAAGAGCAGCCACCCAACAGCCTTCAGATGCAAAACGTCTGGAATACAACTTACCTACAATGGAGCATGGAACTGGCTATGCATCGCTATCACCTGCTGAAGTTTCTCTTCCTTGGCTCTTCTACAGTGACAAATCTAGAAGATAAATTATTTCAAATTGCAGTCACTTCTCCAACAATTTGCCCACTACTTCCTACATTATGACAGAATTCTAATTATGATTCTTTTAACCTATTTACACTTAAGTTTTCAAAGTTTAACGCAGTTCAGAATTTAAGAATTAAAAATTAATTTTGTCTGGCAAATAACCTTTACCTATAAACTTCCAGAATGTAAAATAAACTGATGCTTTATATCAGTTCTGATTATGTAACATCAAATATCTGTGTTTTAAAAATATGAAAGTAAATCCTAACATTGTTAACCAGGGAAGTTAACAAACAAAAGCTCCAAGGTACATATATAGTACCAAAGAACAACAGATGAAATATCAATGCCTTACATTAATGTTATAACCATAGTTGTTAATGTCTCTGCACTTTTTCTCTCATGGAAACTGGGGATAATAAAACTTGTTCTACCTTCCTTAACAGAATAGGCGTATATATACAGCACATGTTTTATGAAGTTTAATGACAACAGGTTATTTTTATTTATTTTTTATTATTATTATTATTATTTATCCTCACCGGAGGTCATTTCTTTTCCTTGCTTCTAGAGAAGAAAGAAATGAGGAAGGGAGAGAAACATCAATGCGAGAGGGAAGCACTGATTGGCTGCCTCCCGTATGTGGCTGGACCAGGGACCGAACCTCCAACCCAGGCATGTGCCGTGACCGGGAATTGAACCCACAACCTTTCAGTTACGAGATGCTGTTTTAACCAACTAAGCCACACTGGCTGGGCCTAAAAGGTTGTTTTTAAAATGTGAGGTTTCAGAGAAATTAGATTAATGTATAAGACTACATCAAAGGGCACAATACTACTTAGCAGATATCCCTGATTTTTCTTTAAATAGAATGGAAATAATCATCAAATTGAAACTATTCCAGAATGTTCTTAATATTATTAAAAAAATGAATCTCTGTAGCTTATTCTCTCTTGTGAAAGTAACTTGTGAAACAGGTCATTCCAGAGTAGATCACGACTATTAAGACTACGCTTGGCTGATCTGTGACCTTTACTGCAGAATGATACAGGCGCTGTCATTTCTGAAACAGAACCATTATTTGATTTACCTGCTTGTGTATTCACAACAAGCAGATTTAAAGGTACAGTAAGGTGTTGCTATCATTCTCAATAGAGGCTCTTCAGTTTCCTTTCATGGCACTCAAAAACTCCAGCTCAGTAATGTGCTAACGTTTTTTTACTCATGAATATACTTAATTTATTATTACGCTGTCACTTGTCCTCAACCAAAGAGTATTACATACTGTTCTCTTTTCCATGAAGCTACTCAGAAAATCATCTATTTCAGTTTTTCCCTCCAAGAAGTCCTCGGCAATGTTATCAGATTCTTCCTCAGCTTCATGTGCAGCTACCTTTAATCTTGCCTGGAGGGCACTCGCACTACAGCTCTGGAAAAAAAAAAATCAGGTGCCATATTAGTTTATAACGATCAGGAAAAGTCCTCAGAGAAAGAAAACGGCAGAGGCAGGGAGGAGCAATTCACTATATGCACTACCTAGACTCTCTTTGAGGAAATCTGCTACCACCCAGGTCCTCAGCCTTTGGATACAGGTGGATACCTAACACAAGAGAAACCAGTCCACTGGCTGCAAACTATTAAATGAGAGAAACTGGGCAAATCACTATCCTCTCTTGGAATTCAGTATTCGGATCATCGTGGTAGGCACCCTCAAAGACAATCCCTAGTGAACCCCAACTCCTGGCATTCCTGCCCCTGTGTAATCCTCCTCCCCTTGAATGTGGGCTGGACCTAGTGACTCGCTTCTAACGAACAAAATATGACAAAAGCAATGGGACTGAATTTAGCCAGAGGTGAAAACTACAAAACACTGCTGAAAGAAACTGAAGATGACATAAAAAGTGGAAAGACATTCTGCGTTCATGGATGGGAAGACTTAATATTGTTAAGAAATATTGTTAAGAAGACAATACTACTCAAAATGATCTAGAGTTTTAATGCAATACCTATCAAAATCTCCATGGTGTTTTTTGTTTGTTTGTTTGGCTTTTTTTTTTTTTTTTTTTTTTTGCAAAATAGAAAAACCCCTGCCAAAATTCGTATGTAATCTCTAGAGATCCAAAATGGCCAGAACAATCTTGAAAAAGAATAAAGAAGGAGGATCCATACTTCCTGATTTCAAAACCTACTACAAAGCTACAGTAATCAAAACAGTGTGGTACTAACAAGAGGAGGCATACAGATCAAAGCAATAGCTTGTTCAGAAATACACCTTCACATATACAGCCAAGTATTTTCAAAATGTGTGCCAAGACCATGGAGAAAGGACAGCCTTCAACTATTGGTGCTGGATAAACTGGATGTCCACATGCAGAATGAAGCTGAACCCTTACTTTACCTCAAGCAAAAGTTAACTCAAAATGAATCCAAGAACTAAATCTATTTTTAATATAGTCATCTTAGTGGGTGTGAGGTGGTGGTAACTCATCATCATACATCATGCGGAGGAACGTACAGGAAGGCACCATTTTCTTAACACTCTTGCCAACGATGGCTATCAATCTTTACAAGTTTGACTCACACAGATGATATAATTTTGCTTATTATTGTCAGAAGGTTAAGCATCTTTTCAAATGCTTTCATTTACTTGTTCATTACACTACTTACTGAGAACCTAATATGTGTCAAGCACTGGAGCAGGTATTGGGTATAGTGGAGGAATAAAACAGGACAGGTTCCTGGACTCCTGGCAACAGTAGTCTAGTGAAGTGGCCTCCATACTTCAGCGTGTAAAAGTATGCAGATTCCTCATCTGCAAAGATCCTGAGTACATCTAGAGAAGAGCCTAGAAACCATGCTGGGGTTTTTTTTAAGTATTTCAAGAAATCACTTCACACAACTTTTATGTAAGTGGTCCAGGGGGCAGAATAACTGTTACATCAAAATACTTACTGGACATTCATATTTCTCTTTTTGTGAGTTTCCTGTTTCGGGGTTGGTTTTGGGTTTTTTTTGGCCTATTTGTAAGGGATATTTATGAACCATTGGCATTAATATTTGTCGTATGTGTGAGGAATATTTGTTCCCTTCAGTTTTGATTTTATGATCTTCAATATAACAAGTTTTAAATTTATATATAACTTTTAAATATATCAATATTTTAAATATAACAATTCTTTCTTTTATGCTCCTGCTTATTATGTCATGCTTACAAAGGACTTCTCCTACATAATCTTTTAAAAAATCCTAGGAGATCGTTGCCTCTCATTATTTTATGGTTTCTACTTAAATATTCTACGAGGGGTGTCCAACCTTATGGCATCTCTGGACCACACTGAAAGAAGAGTTCTCTTGAGCTATACATGAAATACACAAACACTAATGAAAACTGATGAGCGAAAATAAGGTTTTAAGTAAATTTATGATTTTTGTTGGGCTGCATGCAGCCCGTAGGCCGCGGGTTGGACACCCCTGCAGAGTATGTTACTGTGACGGTATGATAAGAATCTTTTCCTAAATGGATGGCCAATTATATTTATTAAATCCTCAATTGTTTCTAATTTTCATATACATGAGTCTGTTTCTGAACTGCATAGTCTATTCTAGAGAACTATTTTTCTCTTCCTACAAAACTACTCTACTGTTTAAACAATACAGTTTTTCAGCATATTTTGATATTGGGGAAGGGAGGTTGTCTTCATTGTTTCTTTTTGTTCAAGCTCTTCTGACTACTTTTACCCATTTAGTGTTTCCAATAAACTTTAGAATAAATCAGTCAAAAATTTAAAAAAATACTCTTGGGATTTTGATTCTAAGTATATTAAATTTTGAGGTTATTTTGGAAAGAATGAAATATTTATAATACCTAATCTTTCAGTCCATGAATATTACATGTTGATCCATTTACTCAAGTGTTCTTTTAGGCTACTCAGTAAAGTTTCCTAACTTTGCTTAGAGTCTGTTACGAGGAATGATGTTGACTGTTGTGAGAAGCTTCTTCAGCATCTACTAAGCTCAAATGTGCATCTATGAGTGTTCCAGTTGGCTCTCTCGGATTTTTGGGTTAAGACTGAGACAGGACTGCTTAACTCTTCACTCTGATACTTCCTGTTTATATGAACTCAGGGAAGCTATTTATTACCCCTCTCCTCAATTTATCTGCAAAGCAAAAAGAATGTAATATCTACCTCAGAGGTTTTGGAGGAATAATGGACAATAGATGTCAACTGCTTAGTGCAATGCAAAACACGGAATAATTGCTCAATGTTAACTATGATTTCTTTAATTCTAAAGAATGACCACATCTGAAATCCATTATAAATGTATATTCTCCTTTACCATGATTTTTTTTTTTTTTGCTGTTGTTTCATTTCTATTTTGTTTTATTACATTGGCTTTAACTTCTAGAATTCTTGATTTTAAAGAAAATAGACTATTGTTAATTATGATGTTAGTTACTGATATGAGATATACGGATTATGTCCTCTATTCTTTTATTTTTACAGATTTATATTTTCAAAACTGAATTGACTTCTATAAAATGCTTTTGGTTTTTCATATAACCAGATTTCTAGCTTAAAATTTAGTATTTGTGGTGAGTTATACGTTTATGTATTTTTCTATCTGCCTACTTTTCTTTTAAGGTATCTATACAGAAGCTTACACAAGTGAATCTAAAGTTAAAAGTCTTTTGTTGCTACATTTTATTGCAAGAGTTAAACCAGCTTTATAATAACTTTCCCTGAAATGTTATTTAAGGGGCTTTTAACATTTTTCTGTTCTGGAACCAAACATACTCTTACATGACGATCACAAATGACTTTTAATGCCTCATAACTGAGAGCTGTTCATCGGCATTTAAAGGTATCATGCCTTATAAAGTCAGACACCTAATAAATGCTTTCTGACAAAAATGAAAGTGAGAATGTGGCCTACATACATTCAAGTGAAAAATTCTTATGGTAAACAAAAAGAACTAAACAATCTTACCTCACTTAGTTCATGCTGTCTTTGCATCTTCTTTTCAAAAGCAGATTTCATTTGTGTAAGCAATTCATACTAAAAGAGAAAACAAATATGCTATTTTCTTCTATTTTTAAATTATATGTATTGCTTTAAAATGAGAACTCACCTTATCTAAAACAGTTTGCCTTTTGGCTTCCAAGCTGGGCTCCAAAAGCAGGTTTTTTCCTATAAGATAAATTTCTGGTTTATTCCTAGGTAAAAATCACATTTTCTTAGGAAATTTAAGAAATAAGGAAACACATACTTGCCAGCTCCTCAATACTTTTTACTAAGTCATCCTTGTCAGCAATAATTTGTTTTAGTTGAGGCAAAGTAACAAACTGTTCTAGTAATATCTCCTCTTGTTCATTCATATCTGTAAGTTGTGACACACTAGAAACAGAACAGAAATGTGTTAATGACTATCAATAATCTACTTGTTCTGCATTATGATAAATATTCATGACATTTAACTTTCCTTCAGCTGACAGGGTTCAAAATAATTTTTGAGGTACATATACATACAAGTCAAATCACAACCTTAAAAACAAATAAAACATCAATGACATGGAATATAAAATAGCCTGAATGTAGTGTCAAATCACTATAGGACTACGAAGACTAGAGTACATGAACAGCCATATCAAACTCCCAATTTTTTTTTTTTCTTTGCCCAAGGATACTTTCTCATTGTTTTCAGAAAGGAAGGGAAAGAAGGACGGAGTGAGTGGGGGAGAAGGGGAGAGAGGGAGAGAGAGGGAAGGAGGATGGGGAGGCGGGGTGGAGAAAGGGAGAGAGAAATATCGATGAGAGAGAAGTATCGATCAGTTGACTCTTGCTTACATCCCAATGGGACTGAACCTGCAAGCTGAACCTGGGTATGTGCCCTGACTGGGAATTGAAACCCGGCCTTTCAGACTATAGGATAACGCTCCAGCCAACTGAGCCACACTGGCCAGGGCTCAACCTCCCAATTTTAACCTATGTGGCTGTCACAATAAAAGGTATGTACATGTATTACAAATGTAAGCTTAGAGGCTAAACCGAATCAAAAATCAGTATCTACAGGGTTAAGAAGGCAGCTGGATGAGAATGGAATCTAAACCTTTCTGAACATATCTTTTAGTTTTGACTACAAATCCATACAAAAGCAATGTATAATTAAAAATCAAAATAAAGTGTTAAAGAAAAAAGTTGTCTCAAAAATTCTAACTTTTTTTCTAAGTTATATAATCATCCAGAAAAATATGATTTGAAGAGACTTTAAAAGATATTATTTGGCGATATATGTCTGGTGTGATATATCCTAAAAAGAAGTGTAAAAACAAAAACAAATTTCAAAATCTTATCCTGCATTCGGTATTCATAGTAATAATATTGGTATTGTTATTTTTCGACCATTAGTATACAGTTATTGAACATCTCAAAAACTAAGGTTGCAGAGAATTTACATCAATTTAATTTTAATTTAGAGTTTGCCATTAAAACTACAAATCTTCAAACTGCAGATAAATTGCCAACATAATGACCTATAGTCCATAAAAAAGGACCTAAGGTACTACTATTCCAGTGAGCTTCATCAGGAAACTCCTAGTTATTAGCTCAGACTTTGTTCTCTTCAATTCTGCCTCCCTCGGAAGCCTCCTCACCTTTCCTTTGAGACTACCTCTTCCCAATGCTTCCACTGACTGTGTGCTCTGTCCTCTGCCAACTGCTCTGAGCACCCTTCTAAACAGTTTGATTTCCCAAAGAAAGTACAACAGTAATTCTGGCATCTATTGGTCAGTACTGATATTTTCAAAAAGAGTAAGTATCATTCAGAGAAATGGCTGACTTCAGGTTAGAGAAAAGAAATGTTCATAGTGAGCCCATGGAAACTTTGTTTTGCCAGAAAGATACAGAAGCCAACTTGGAAGGATTTCCTATTGATTACAGACAGGACTTTTACCAAAAAGAATAATGACTGCAATGGACTGAAACAATTAAATGTATTTTTTTAAATGTATGAGTTCTTAGTGACACAAAAACTATAAAAACAAACAAAAAACCCCTTGCCTATCAGAACCTTTGGAGACTGCTTGTGCATCAACTTGTGATTGTGATAAATAACAGAAAAAAATCAAGCATTTATCTTGTCTTTCCTGTATTATATTTCAAAAGAACTAAATAGCTGATTTAGGAAAGTTCTTCTTCATAGAATTCTGGTGAATTCTGGCAGTAGGAAATCACATTTGCAACCCCTAATAAAAAAATGGATAAGCAATGAGTTTAGGTGTTGTCACCTTGTTTCTATCTTAATGTCACTAAAAAGAGGGCAACCAGACATCATGCTGCCCTATGTAACGTTTAAGGAAGCAGGCACTAATTATGATGTTAGTAAACTTGCCAAAAAATTTCAACCTAAATCTTTCTTTTTAAAGCTTTATTGAGATATAACTAACATGTAACATTGTGTAAGTTTATGGTATACAACACAATTTGATAAAAATTGAATCTAACTCTAATCTTTAGCTATAGCCACCAAAAGAAGGAAATATGGGAAACAGAGAAACATCTTCAATGGTACCATAAGAATGCAATTAGGCAGAAACAGGATAGAGGAAATCCTACAGGAAAACTAATGAATTCTTCATTAAATATATAATAAAATGTGTATAATTTATATTCATGTATTTATGTTTACGTAGTTATGTATATGTGTGTATAAATGTGTATGGGGTATGTGTGTGTATAAAAAGATGGGGAAAATGGTACACCATTAAAAGATTCATAGGAGATACCTTATTTTTAAATGCAATAGGTAGACCTTGTTTTGAATCCTGATTCAAAGAGGCTACCAACAAAAAGACTTGATTATTAAGACCCTGGGGAAATAAGATAATATTAAAGAATTATGATTAATTTTGTAGGTATGATTACGATGTGGATTGGGTTATGGTAAAGAAAAGGTCCTTATCTGGTACAGAAATTTAGTGAAGAACCTGTAGGTAAAAATAACATATTATTTGATATTTCGTTTAAAATAATCATGACCCATACCCATACTTCCCAAAAGTAAAGCTGGAAGAAGGGTACATGAAGCAAGTCATGCAAAGAGGTTCACCTTTTTGTATTTTTGACATTTTCATTGTTTTTTAAAAAAGGAAGAAAAAGGAATCCTTTATAATGTGGCAACAATAGTAGCTACTTCATGGAGTTGTAGCATTACAATGCATATAAACCCTTAACATGTATGTCATATATACTGTAAACCTTCATTAATTTATGACTACTAGCAGAAAATAAGAAGTCACTATTTCCTAAAAATGAGAGTAAAACACTGGGTCAAGTAAAGCTAAACAACTTTTTTTAACTCTAACACTCCTCATGGGTATTTGGCTGTAAACTCCTGATGAGATATATTTCAAAGACAAAAAGGGAGACTTCCAGTCAAGATGGCAGCATAGGTATTCACAGCTTGTCTCTCCACACAACCACATAAAAACACAACTAAACTATAGAACAACCATTACTCACAACCATCAGAAATCAAGTTTAATGAAAAGTCTGACAACTATGGAATTAAAGAAACCACATCCATCCAGGCTGGTAGAGGGGCAGCGACATGGAATGGGCTGGTACCACACCCACATGTGGTGGATAAAAATTCGGGAGGGATATCTCAGGAGCGAGGAGTCCCAGCCCCACACCAGGCTCCTCAGCCTAGGGTTCCAGTCTCAGGAAGTCAGTCCCATAACTTCTGGCAGCAAAAACCAGTGGGGATTGAAGTTGGTGGAAGAAACGTCTGGAGTCCCAAGTAGTTCTTAAAGAACCTGCACACAGACTTACTCAGACTCACTCCCTGTGAACTTCAGCACCAGGGCAGCAGCTTGAAAGGTACCAGTGTCAGGGGAGGAACTGAAATGTCTGGAATCAAGATGAGCTCTCAGGGACAGCTTTCTCCCCGAAAGAATGATGGGCAAAGGCCAGTGTTCCTTTGCTGAACTCTCCCCACACAGAGCCACAGAGCCAGCAGATAAAGAGCTTCCCAGACCAGGAAAAACTACAGGAGTTCATCATCACCAAACCATTATTATAAGAAATGTTAAAGGCACTTATTTAAGAAAAAGAAGATCAAAACTATGAACAGTAAAATGGCAATAAATACATATCTATTAACAACTGGATCTAAAAAAAAACTAAGCAAACAAGAAGAACACAGAATCATGGATACAGAGAGTGTTTGGATGGTTGCCAGATGGGAGGGGGTGTGGGGGAGTAGGTGAAGAGGCAAGGGGATTAAGAAGTGATTAGGTAGTTACAGAATAGCCGTGGGGATGTAATGTACTATACAGGAAATGGAGTAGCCAAAGAACTTCTGCACATGACCAATGGACATGAACAAAGGTGCAGGGATAGCCTGAGGGAGTGGGGGTGCTGTGTGGAGGGGGGCAAAAGGGGAAAAATTGGGACAACTGTAATAGCATACTCAACAAAATAGAATTTAAAAAAGACAAAAAGAAGTGCAAAATTTTTTAATATTGAATTTAGTACTCTCAGTTATAAGAGCTTTATGAGTATTGTGAACTTTCAATGGGGATGGAAAAGATGCAATGTTTCCCAAAGTTGAATGGCCACAAAACACGTGTTTTTTTCATGGACCATCTAAGAGAAGGGTTCCATAAAAATGGTGCCTTAAACTTGAATATTACAAACTTATTTCCCATAAAATTGAGTAAAAGTTGGCTCTATAAAATCACTTTCCTATTACTTTATGAGAACTTTAATCTGTTTTTCAACGTACAAATGTCTATCTACTAATGGAAAACTGGAAAGTTCTAAAATAGGCCAAGATATTTTGTGAAATCTCCAGCTATAATGTACTAAGAAATCATTTTCACAAGAATGTAAGCCACACAAGAGAAAGGATACTGTTATGCTGGTAACTATTACATCATTCCTGGCATCTAGGAAAGTCCCTGGGTAAATATTATCGCTCAGTAAATACAAGCTACAAGACACAAAAGTGATTTCAAAAACTTCTTCACTAAGACAACCATAATTTAGAAATAGTGAAGATTTAAAAAATACTTTTGTTTAATGAAGTTCTGCTTTGTATTTACAAATAAAACAGACAACAAATATCAATGTTATTTTCCAAGTTTTTTACCTTAGTTCTGAGAGTTCTGGAAATGCATCGGGGACATCTGGCATCTTGTAACCAAAACCATTTTGGTTTATCTAAAGAGAGTTTAAAATGGTATTGAACGTGAGCCATCTTTCTAACTGATCCTGTTTTCATGATCACATCTTCATCTTCATACTTTACACTGTCCTTACGCCCCCTGCTTGCTTTACTGTGTTGTTTTCAGTGTACCTATATAGATACAGAGTTACCTTTTGGTGGTGGTGGGGGGGGGTGTCATGTGAGTACCTTGTTAGGTCTCTTGGGCCAGTATAAGCCATGAAATCAATCTCAAGTATATCTGTGACAAGTGTGGCAAACTGTCTGTGGATTTCACTGAAATATATGAATACTTTTATCTCAAATGAAAGGAATTACATATTGTAGAACATTAGTAAGTTGACAAAAGTCTAAATAGTTACAAAACTAATTTCAATGAGACAGCAGGGTAAATAAGGAATAGAGTACCCATCGTTTGAATATACACGACTTTAAAACCGAAAACTCATGAAAAGTTCTGTCATTTTGTTTATGCTTTTACATGTAGTCTGTTCATAATATTCATTAATACAATTATGAACGATTTTAGAAAACAAAGTATACTTGGGTCTACATTCTAAATTATTACAAACACTACAACTAGTAAAGTTGGATATAATAAGGTTTTATAATATTTGAGTATTACTATGGGTGATGTTCACTAGGGGTAATAAAAAAGGAATGTTTTAAATTCCTTTATATGGTAAAGGCACAAATATTAATCTTTACCTCAGTAATATCCCACATGGCGAGTTACCAGCTTAACTGAGGAGCACATAATTTTTTAAACTAATGGGACACCGAAGCAATTAGTATGCTATTACGGACCCTCCACAATCGGCTCCTCCTACAGAATCATTTCTTGAGCCGTTGCCTAAGTCCTACGCAACAGAAAACCAGAGATCTTTCTATAGGCAGTTTCACAAATACACGGTCCAGCTTACGCCTCCATGCCTTTGTTAATGCTGTTGCCTCTCCACAGAACGTTTTATGCAGCCGCTGGTCATCCTGGCAAATTCATTACCAGGTATCAAAGTATAAACTTACTCACTCTCATTTGCCTCATTTTAACTGAGCACCTAATATCTGCATCGGGGAGGGTTTCACATCTTCCCTTCTCGTTCTACCTTGGCCCCTGGGAATGCTGACCATTCTTTCCAATGTATCGTCACCGTAACTACAGACTGTTTCCTACGCTATAGGACATTCCGTATTTACATCCAATAGAGTAGAAGACAGTCTTGTTCATTTTTTCAATACATGATGGTGACTTTCTGAGTTTGTTGAGTTGAAAATGTGATTTAATAATCTTTTTATCTTTTGTGCCTGACTTAGTGGCTGGCACAAGGAGACATGTAATAAGTATTTAATTAATGTCTTAAAGATACAAAATTTAGGTAAGTGAAGATACCAACCTGTGCTGAACTGTCTGTAGTGGGAACAGGTAATGGCAGATTTGAAAGGATGCCAAATGAAGGAGCAGCAGGTTTGGCTGTTGTATAACTTGTCGTTGATGAAGGAACAGTGTCAGCAGCAGATAAAGAACTGATAGATCTGTTAGCTTCTTGCGGGGGGTATGGAGGAAGAAATGGAAAACCCTGAGAGGCGTAAGGAGGCATCCCACCTGGGTTACTGTATAGGCTAAAGAGAAAGAGAAACATCAGATTAGTATGTAGGGGGAAATTTGGAAAATTATTCCTAATTGTTCTAACTAACAATGGTTATGAAGTTACAGATAGAATACGTTCATAGCAGGTGACACTAGTTATGTAACTGAAGTATTATACAAATTGATAAATTTTGACCCCCCTCCCCATTTTAGTTTCCATGAAAAAGAAAAATGTTTTAGAAGACATACAATTCAACTTTGAGCATTCCGCTGGCATCGATCAATGTCTTCACAGAGAGAATGGTAGCAGAAGTGAATGACTTCATGCAACTAAGTCATTACGACTTTCTCATAGCTCTCTCTCAGGATGTTCATGCTAGAAAACCAGCCATTCTGTTGTGAGGAAGCCCAAGACACACAGCAGTCACACCGAAGTATCCTGGCTGACATCGCCAGGCGAGACCTCTCATGAGGGCCCACTTACGATGAGCAGAGGAATCAGGGGCTTTGCGATGATGAACCCTTTCCAAATGGAAGATTAAGGCGCGCAATAAATATATTCACTGTTTTTAATTGTGTCCATAATTTTGTGGCTAATTTGCTATGGAGCCTTAGTAAGCAGAAAAGATTTTAGCACCTGTAAGTGGAATACTGCTATGACAAAAACAAAACAAAACAAAACAAACAAACCAAAAAACCTAAAACATGGAAGTTGCTTTGCAACCACTCAGAGGTGAAAGCGAGATGTACCCTCAGGAGAGTGTAAAAGACTGCAGGGCCTCAAAAAGGCTGTTAGCAGGAAAATTAAAAAAGGTCTGAGAAAACAAAACCAATGGAAAATGCAACTAAAATTAACTCCAGAAAAAAGCACAAAGTTTAATACGGAAATGTTAATTATGAATGTTAATTATGACAAAGTATTTGGTTCAGCAACAGTAAATCTGTAGAGAGTCAAAGTAATAAAAACACCACAAACAAATTTAAGTAAAAATCATGATATAATTTCACTGAGAGGATGAGAGGAAAGGAAGATTTGTGAAGGAAAACTGTAACTAAAACCCTCATTAATCCTAACAGTATATAAAATAATAGGATAAAGAGATAGCAGCATGTATATATTATTCATTAAGATGAAGGTAAATATTACAGAAGCAGATAAAACAAGAACAATACTGCCTCTGAAAAGTATAAATGTATTTTTGTGAGGATGGGGATGTAGGAATCAGAGAAGTGCTTTTTAGCCTCATTTGATTTTGAAACTATATTTTAACTTGATTAAAATAAATATATACAAACATTTGTTATAAATATACTTACTATGGAAATGCTGTTGAAGTAGGAGCTAAAACTGGAGGATTCTTCCAAAACTCATCCAATAGACTCTGAATAATTTTTCCAAGATCTGAGTGCATTGTAAACTGAAAATAACCGTAACACAGGATGATCAAAATCACTTTCAGAAAAAGATGACAAGGTCTCATTAGGATGACTTCACTCTAAAGCTTAATATTAAATCCATTTTTGCAAGTCGAGAATTAAATAAAAAGCAAAGGCTATTGTGTCAAATAAACATACTAGCAATCCATAACTTAAAATATTTTCCAATAAAATCAATACCATAAGTCAAGTTAAAAGTCTATTTAATCAATGATGGAGTTGAAATAGTTCCATACTTCACTATTTATAATAATTGGAAGGTTCAAAGGTACATACTGAGAGTACATTGTCACAGTCCTTCACATTAATCAATCACATGTGTATCCTGAGAACTTTAAAGCATATCTGGATTTTACTTCTTCCTAACAACTATGGAAGGTCTACTGTGAACCAAAGTTCTAAGACCAACAGGTCCTCACCACTGAAAAACAACCTTCGAGTCAATACTACCATAGTGGAAAAAAAAATTTTATTTTTAATTACTGATTCTAAAGTGAGATTTTAAGTGCATTTTAGATTTCTAAAATATTTAGTATAAAAGTAATACACCTGTTATATTACTCTGAAATAAATATACCATAAACATACATTGTTTACTAATGGAGAGGTAACATATACTCCTTGTTTATCCATTAAATGATGTCGTATTGGTGGATAAACACTGATCACTGGTTTTTCCTGAGGAAATTGTGGAGGAAGCAATCTGGTAAAGGTAGAACAGATGAAAAACAAAAACAAAGACAACAAATGTTATATTACATAGTAATAATCCTAAAACAATGTTATCTAAAAGCAAATTAAGTGTTCATACTTTCATTTGGATTAATTATTCAGTAATAAGTGCTCTATTATGGTTGATGAGATGACTGAAAATATACAAAAGGATACAAAAGTAATTCCATACAGTAAAACTTTCTTAATGTGGAATATGGATGCGCTGAATTATGGAATATTTGTCACATTGTGACAATTAATTGCTTTTAAACACAACATACCAGACCATATAAATCTCCACTAAAATCAGATCAGGCATTTGTAGCAGGTGAGTCATATTAACTCAGCCTGGTTAGTTACTAGACCACAGGTCTGGACATATTATTTTTTTACCTGTGGTTTTCCTACTTTTGAAATGCTGCCAAGAATTATTTCACTATCTACTGAATTTTTAAAGAGTAAATGGGAAGAATGGAAGGTACTAGAAATGAAACATTATAGCTGTCATAATGCCTTAGTTCTATATGGCTCTTTTCTAATGCCCCAATTAACACCTCTCTCCCAATTTTGAGGCCAATCACATGGTTTTGAATAAAAAACAGTAAATTCTCAATACAAAAAGTGAAAATCTTAACCTTTTTTGAACGATTACAAATCTAAGATCAAGGAGTGAAGTCTTAAAAAATGGGATTTTACTGGGTATGAAACTGTTTTCCAAATCTCTAAAACTCGGAAGAGTCTGTCCCTTTAAATTGCCTCTCTGTTCCCTACTGGCTCAAAAAACTATTTGGTGGCAACAATGTCAAGAAGAAAGCTGGGTCCTTGATGGCTTCTCCTACTAAGCTGTTACATAGGACATGAAAAGAAATAAAACAACTTACACAATTGAAGATGTTACACTAGCTCGGTAAAACAGGCCATGAATGGCCTTTGAAACCCAACCAATCTGGGTTTGTATCCTGGCTGTGCGATCGCTCCCTACGTGTCTGTAATTTACCCTCATTTGCTACTGTGAGGACTCAAAAAGCTGCTAGGTATCAAGATAACATAGCATAATGCTTGGCACTGTTATATATTATAGTCATGCTTTAATTCACTCCTTCCTCTAGGATTGAGAAAGGCCTCCTAGGTGCCTATGTGCAGGCACTCTGCTAGGCGATTAGATACAGCAATGAGTAAGCCATGCTTCCTGTCTTCCAGGAAGGTGCCTCTTCACCCCACCCAAACACTGGCTCTAAAAGCTAGCCACCTAATGCAATCTGAGGGAAGAACTTAATTCTTCCAGACTAAACACCAATAATTGCACTTAAGGTTAAATGGGTATTTCAACAATCACTTTGTCCAGCTTTCCTCTTTATAACTTAATAACCTGATAATTATATTTTTAACTTTTAGTTTTTTCTTTAAAAATAATCAGCAGCTCAAATTCAGCCTTGAACATTCTGATTGATGTAGCTTATGTTTCTGAAAACTAGTAGATTTTAAATTCTTTCTGATATAAAGCTGAATATATCTCGAATGGTTTCCCATACATGATCTCTTTAATTGATTGTTATTATTATTCTTACTCTTTCAGCTTACCTTCAGCTAAGACTTTAGTGCAGGTTAATGACACTGATTACAGCATTAATGATTCTTATTACATCTGTTTATCACATTTCCTCTTTTAATAGTTCTATAGCAATGTACAAAATGTTAATTTCACAAACTTGTGAAACTTTGATATAGTTAAAATAGTTCACTTTAAAGAGTTTATTTCTAATAGTAATTAAGAAAATAATAAAAACACTTTTTTCAGTCATATTACATAGAAAAGTAGGGTACAATTTCACTCACATGTTAATGTTAATTGTCAGGTTGTTCACGGTGAACGGCAACCTGTATTCCACATCTTTCTGTATCTCGGCTATGCTGTGAGAGAAAATTTGAGAAACTAATGTACCTGAAGTTATAAAACCATTAATACAAGGACAAATGTTAAATGCTTTTAGAGCCTACTAAAACTGTTCTTAGTTTTAATCACAGATTCTAGATGGCCAATGTGACTTGTATCTTGAGGGAAAAATGATCATAGAAACATTTATCAAATAAGAGGCAATAATATTCTGAAATATCCAACTGCGTGAGTGTGGGTGAGGGTGGGGATAGAGGGGTTAGATGTTGAGGTAAAGAGGCTAAGAATAACTCGTGCACTAAGGAGTTTATCTAACTAATTACTAGTAAAAGCAATAGTGAGCCCTCTAATAAATACAGATCAGCAAGACATCTGGTTCTGACTAGGACTCAGCCACTACCCAGCTGTACTTAAAATTATCTGGATGAGATGTCTCCTACAGCCTTATGATGGAGACTGCTGGCTGTTCTCCAAAAACAAATACTTCCCTTCTTCCAAAGAGAAGCCCAATTTTATTCTGAATAGCAATGTTCTAGTCTTCCTTGCAGCTGGTTGTTGCACAGACTTAAGTGCCAGCCAATAAGACAGAAAAAAATTGAAGTCGGCGGTAGAATTTCCAGAAAAGCATCTTAAGGGAGAACAAAAGACTTGATACGAGGCTATTTGCCCTTTCTCCTAGACCTGATAGCTGGACTTCAAACAGTTCTACTGGACCCTTGGTGGCCCTGAGAATGGAAGGCAGGCACTAGGGAGGACTAGGCAGAGAGAAAAACAAACTTTTATTGCGTGTAAGTCACTATTTGGGGAATCTTTATTCCTAGCAGCTGAACATAATTGCCAACTACTGTATAACTTAACATTCTACATTCACAATTTTATTTTATTGTTAATTTGCAGGCATACATTTTTACAATTATAATTTACCAACCAAATTTTGTGGGGCTCACATGGAATTCTAATTAACATTCATAATATTTCCAAAGGAAAAAAATGGTAAGTAGTATTAATGAGTTATGGTTGAAAGTTTAATATTCAAATGGACATAAACTTTTTCAAGCATGAATACCTTTGAACAAGGTCTAGCATTTACATAACTATTTTTTGTTGTTTTGGTTGCTTCAACTAATAGCTGTAGAAAACCTCATTTTCCTCATTCTTTGAAATACCACATTTTTTGGCCTTTTGATAAAAACCTAGCCTCTAGAATATGTAAATTTTAGGTAGCTTGAAAGGTTTGAAAGTGTTGAGATAAAGTTACAGAGAAATTACAGATGGTGATAAGCTTCCTCCTCTGGCATCCATGGAATGCGGCTATGGCAGAGAAGAAACACGTAAAGGAGACTAAAGACGAGAGTCAATACTAGGATTTAACGAACACCTTCTGAACATTTCTCGTTGGGGATCACATTTGGACTAGGATACTGACTGTATCCTCGGCTGTATGAACACCATGTAATCAATAAGGTTTTATTAAGTTTTTATTCCTTTATGTTATTCTCAAACCCTGGGGTGTCACTGCTTCAAGGGAACATGGGTCACAAAAGCATCCACCAGTGCAAAGCCAAGTAGAACATCTTAGTGATGAAGAGCATGACCTCTTAAGTTAGGCTTGCTGGGCCCAAATCCGCTACACCATTGACTTGTATGATCATGGGCAAGTTACTTAACCTGTCTAAGCCTTATCTCTCAAGTGGGAAACTGGGATGTGACCAGTATCTACCTACCTGAAAGAGCTGTTAGAATAAGTGAGATAATACATGGAAACCCCTCCACACAGCACATAAAAATTACTCATTATATGTCAGTTATTATTAAATAAGCATTTAGAACACACTTGTAAACGTTTACTGGAGCCTGCCTAAATTTGTGGCACTAAGATTTTAACTCAGTTTTTTAGACTTGTTTTTATTTTTGTAGAAAACAAATTAAATTTGATTAAAATAATTTTTAGTGAAATCACTGATTAGTAAAGTTCAATTCACTGTGGCCCCAATTATATTCTTGACATTTATTAAAATTTTTGACATTTCCTTCACAAATGAGGTATCACAGATAACTAAAGGTAACATGTCCTTAGACCATTAATGAGAGCAGAACCATCATTAACTAATTCCAACACAAGTTAATCACGGCAACTGATGAAGCTCAGCACACGTTACCCCACATACGACACCCTGGCATGTTAGGTGTTTTAACTGAAGGAGATCGAGAGAACAGCAGAAGCAGGGCGGTTCCTCTGACCACCCCCCCCCCCCCCCCCCCGCCTTCGTCTTTCTTCCCAGACACAGGTCATATGACCCCTCCCTACATCAATAGGACAGGAAAGGAATGCCCTTCAGAGGAAGACAAAAGGATGACAGGGAAGATCAGAAGAGGCCTTGCTAATTCCCCCCGTTACAACAATTTCCTGACCCTGCTAACTCGTCACATTGCTCCACGACCGCCCCCTCTCTGCCATGCCTGGCATAACACACTCAGGTCTGTTTCTTGGGCCCTCGTTTCCTTCTGAAGGCTCCTGTGTCATGTGTAACTTAGATGGCAAAAATCTATGTGCTTTTCTCCTGTGTATCTGTCAGTTTAATTTTCAGACCCAGCCAGGGTCTCTAAGACAGTCTAGGAAAACTGTCCCTCCCCCATACTAGCTGCATTAGACAAAATGGCAGATACTTGTTTTCCTTAATGAACCTGAGAATCATTCCCTTAATATTCATCACAAATGGGATTTAGAAGTTTTTGCTATTTTTAATAACTTTTTAAAAACTTGCTTTAAAAATAATTCAGTCTCACTGAAAAAGAACAAGCAAAGAGAATGTCAACATAAGAAATGTCCAAACCTGCACAAAATTTTATAAGAATTTATTTGAGCCCAAACTGACAGGAGTTGCTGGGAAGCAAGATCTCAAATGCTGGAGAATGACAATTTAGCAGCGTCATTTATGCACTTGAAATTAAGGAGGGAACATAAGGAAGACTATAGGAGAGTGGGAGAAAGTAAAGCTGGGACCGGGTTACAGACAGTTAAGATTATGTACTTATTTTAAAGGAGTGTTAACCTAGAACACAATAATAATGATAGGTCTTACTTAAGGCAGAGATAAACCTTTTATTAAAAGAATTAGATGGGCCTCGGGCGTGACTATTCATTATGACCTGTCCAGTTATAAATTTATGATCAGAACATGTGTGGGCTTAGTTTCCATAGAACCCCCTTTTCACCCACAAAAGTATAAAAATCACTCAGGATCTCACATCCCCAAGATAACCACTGCCAACATATTGGTATATAACCTAATCATCTTTTTATATTCAGTCTTATTTAAAACAAAAATATAATTATACCTCATATACAATTAGGTAGCTTGCTCTTTTCCCACTCAGTAGTTTATTGTAATTATCTTTCTAAATCAGTAAATGTAATTTTACAATATCTTTTAAAAATTAAAAAAATATTATTAGCATAATATTCTGATATTGTTTAACCCATTCTGTATTCTCTACTTTTAGATATTTAGATTGTTTCTGGTTTTTGTAGGAGTTCATAGGTAGGATGGGAGAGGTAGATGTGGCTGGATTTAACTAGCAATGGAGAAACAAGTGCCTATGTGGCAAGTTTTTCTTTTTTTTAAGGTAAGTACTGACTGAGATTACGAAGGGGAAATTAACTAGAGGTAGCACTGGAGCTGTTAGGATCCTATTTAGGAAGCTTAAATGGTAGCATGCTTTACTGTGTCATATACTGCACAATTACAACTTTTAATCACTGGTTATAAAGGACTGTATATGATTTAATGTATCAAAATTCACTTAATAATGGGATTATTTGATATCATTTTAAAGTTTACTATGATCTCAACATTCATTTACGGAGTAAAAATACTGACATTCTGTAGATTTCTATAGCTTCGATAAGCTAAGGCATAGCAGATTCTTGGATTTTTTTATTGCAGCAAATTAAGGTGACTTCCTACCATAAGGAAGTTTTAATCTCAAATACCTGTAACTGTCAGATAACGTACATGAGTGAAGGCAGTTGCCTGCAGTTCAACAGGCAGTGAGTGACTGCAAGCTGGTAAAACGGAGAAGCGGCAGCCCATTAATGGGGACGGCCACTCTTCAGCTCAAAGCTAATGTTGTGATGTGGGAACTGTTGCCAATCTTTCCAGATCTTTCTATTTTACAAGAAAAGTTGTTCCTACATGGGCAAGGACCATGTAGGAACCTCTGTACCTGCTGCACAATTTTATTGTGAACCTGATGTTTCTCTAAGTAACAGACTTAAAAAAAAAAAAAAAAGATAATTTGGAAACTTCAATGAAAAAATGAAAATAAGCTCAAATTATAAACGCTGGCAATGGTACTCGGGATTGGCAGCAAAAGAAAATCTTAAAACAATTTTTAAAGACTATGAAGACTGGCACTTGTATTTTTAAAATATAAAATAAAAACAATTGCCACATACAGAGAATCTACTGTGTGCCAGGTAATATGCTCTACTCTTCACACGTGTTACACCTAAAATCCTTTAAAAGAGGCACATTGCCTTTGTGTAGAAACTCTCTGGAACAGACTTATTTTCTGAATGGAAAGTCAGAAGTAGTCCGGCCAGAGACAGGTGAGCTACAGGTAGACTTGTGAAGGACTCATAAACGACAGGCTAGGGCTCAGGGGCGAAGAGGCAAAGGCTGGCGGCACACAGATTCCACACAGTGCGAAAAGGAATACAATTTGTCACATCCTTACTATGTGCCAGATACACTAATATGTGAGTGTACATATTACTTAAATATCAACAGCCCTGCACGATAGGAATCAAAATTCCTGATTTTACAGAAGGAGGCTCAGAGAGGTTGAGTGGCTTGCCAAGCAGTCACAGTGCTAGTATACAGACGTTAGAGCCGGAATTGGAATCCATGGCAGTGTGATGACAAAATTTTCGTTCACCGAAAGTCAAATCGGTTTTCTCAGGTCAGTAACTTTTCCTTCCTTCCATTTATGTCGCTCAAATTTATTGCCTTTGATCTCCAAGAGAATATTTACATCGAGGAACCTGAGGAACCAAAGGACTTTCACAGGAGGCAGGGCAGCAGCAGTTCAGGGAGCCAACACCGGGACTGCGGTCGTGTGAGCATCTGAGTTTGCACTGCCAGCTACTGACACAGCGGCATCTCCCGACTTCTGGTACAGGGCCCTTCCATTAAGACTATTAGTCATCCCAAAGTAAGGGGAGAGAAAAAAGCAATTCTGATCAACGTAATTCCCAAATTAGACTTTTTTAATTGAAAATAAAAATTGTACCAGAATTACTATGTACTTGATTATTAAAATGAATGCAGAAGTCCTTTACTTGAGATAGCCGATATCCCAGAACAAAAGGTAATAAAAAATTATTATTTGTATAACTTTGAATTTACATAGTTAATTACAGGCAATAATTACCATTTACAACATAGCTGTGGTTTTAGAACTAAGGAAATAAAATAATAAAGTAGGATAATTAACTTTAGATGTTGAAAGAGAAAAAACTAGTATAGTTAGGATAGTAACTGTTAAAACCATCAGTTTTTAGTATTTCCTGATTGTAGGTAAAATGCAAAGAAATAATTAACAGCTTCACTTCTGAAGAATCTTTACATTTGGGATTAGTGGATATCACCTGGGATATTTTCCACTATTGTACAATAACTGAAAAATCAGGCTGAAAGTGGCTTAAACAGTAATGGGTTATTAATCTCATACATAAAGAAGTCCTGAGGCAGGAAGTTTCCAGAACTGGTTAATTTGGCATCACAATATTATCATGGACATTACAGCTTTCTACCCACATTCAGTAGTCAGCCTGTCTTCCTTCCCTGATCCAAGCTCTTCAGGAGGGACCATGTGACAGTACAACAGCCAAAATCTAAGAAGCATTTCATTTTGGACATCTCTATTACTGAGGAAATGTTTTGAACTGTTCCCCAGCAGACTCCTGCTCCAACTGCCACTGACCAAAAGTAGGTTAAGAGTCCTGCTTTCACAATAACTAAGCTAAGCAGGAGGAACAAAACCACTGTAAGGGGCATAAACAGTCATTATTTACTTACTGAAGTTGAAAGAGCACACAGCCTTCAATAAGTATAAGGCCTTGCCGACAGGGAACCCAGATAAAAACAGGTGTTCTTCCAAGAAGTCAGGGGAAGTGTATTTGGTTGGGAAACAAAACAGGAAGTGGAAGAAACAACAGAATTGGCTCTATTCCTGCCCAGAAGGTTGGGAATTACTGGTGGTAAGTCGATTATTGGGATGGCAGCTATTCAGAGGTGGACTATATTACTTGAGCCTAGCCTATATAACTTTCAGTTTCCATTTTCATGGCAGACAAACACATTACCGTGCTTTGGTTAAACGTGCCTTAACCAGTAAGACTTAGATGAGGAAATACACAAAAAACTTGTCTAACCTTTAGGAGAGGCCTGAGAACGATGAGGAAGAATTTTTTATAGTAACAAAAAAGGGAGTTTACACTCAGAGAGAAACAGCACTAAACAGGCTCTCGCCTAAAATAAAATTTTTTGAATTATAAGGAGTTAAAAGATGATTAAGAGGTGGTAGATGAGAGAATGGGGGTGGCAGGTTCTTGAGTGCAGAAAAAATAGGTCAGATACTTCCACTGTCAGGAGCACCTGCTGATCTCACGTTTGGAGAAAGGATAGATATGAAAAATGAGGGAGGTGGGCAGTATCAACAGGAAGTTTTGTATTACTCAGGAAGTTTTGTATTATTCATTAAAATACCATTCAAAACATTTTAGGAAGCTTTGTACTATTCATTAAAACACCATTAAAAACATTTCAACTTTTGCGCAGTGCACGTTCAGAATAACCAATCACCGTGTCCAGCGACACAGAAATCTTTAAGTTGTAGTATACTGCACTGATAAATGATCATTTTTACTAGCTAGTTTTCACATGTATGTCATGAGTGGAAAAGGCAGATGTAACAAAAATAGGTGGGTGTCATTTTTTTCTGGAATCGTACCATTCCTTGAAAGTACATGACGTATTTAATTGTCTCCTAATTATCCAAGTTCAGTTTCTAAATGTGAAATATTTCAATAAAATAAAACTTCAAGTAGTTTTATAAAAGAACTTGCAGGAATAAAGAGTACTTAAATGTGTACAGCATTATAGAACATGGAGATACACATGCCCAATTATACGTCCACAATTTCTGGCTCAAAAAATAACAAGTAAAACAGACCCTTCCTGCATTTGACTCAGAGTATGTACTAATCTCTTAAACCAACTCCAGAACTACTTAGATTAATAATTACTGCTTTAGAATCTCAACTTATTTGGCCAAAAAAAGGGAAAAATACATTTCAGATCAATTGCTTCCTATATGTACCAGCTCTAGCAGTAAGACTTTGGAGTAGTTCAGAAATTCAGCTCCAACTTCGAAGAATAAAAATTAGCCAGGAATGAGAATATTTAACATAATATACTAAAGGCTTAAAAGCAATTAACTTTAAAAGTGTGGTTCTAAAAAGTATTTTGGCAACAGTAGTACTACTTTAGTATATAAATAGTCTTACAAGGTGACACTTTCGAGCAGGACAAACTTTTGTTTGTTAAAGATAAGTCATCTTGTTTTATAAGCATATCTTGTAAGAGTAGCTCTAACAGGTTGGCACAGAACACTTTTTAGAAAAAAGACTTATGAGAATTCTATGAACTTAATTTTCCAAAAAGAAAGCCACCATTAGATCAAATTGCATGCCGCTCTTTCCAGTGACATATCACAAATTTTCACCTTTCGAAAGTTCTGAACAAGCTGAACAATATAGACAAAGAACCAAGAAACATCTGAAGCTCAATCAGCAATAGGCCTGTTAAGCCAAGCTGATTTTGCAGTGACTTCTTCTCTTAACAATCTAATTTAAAACTATTCTACACCATAACTTATTTGCTTGGAAAAAATTATTAGAGTAACAGATAAATAATTAAACGGGAATTGACGGGTTATCGTAGAATACATATATATTTATTAAATGAATGAAAAGTTTATTTTAAAAAGGCTAAGTCTGAACGAAGTTAACATCTTTACATTAAACATGTATGCCGTGACACTGTTAAGTAAATATACTTGCATAATTCATACTATAATATAATGCAGCAGCGCTAATTTTTGAAAACCATTTGAGGCCACAGATATTTGCAATTTAAAAGGAGCAAAAAACCAGCAAAACAGCTGAAATCATGTGAAATGCAAAATATTTCTAATCTGACCAGGCTGAAAATGAAAACCTCATAGGAAGACAACAGAACAAGCAGGATGAATATCGGACAATTCCTGAGTGTGGGAACAAGAGTAACAGTGAGAAATGTACAGAGAATGGTAGTTGCCAGGCAGGAAAGGTTATTGGAACAGGGTAAATCTTAGAGACTTAAGAGGATTGACTGTGTCACTCCCAGAGGAGAATTCACTGATAACAACTGTGGCTTTCCTTTCCTTTGATGTTGCAACAGTTCCTTCACTCCCCGCCCCCTCCGGCCAATCTTCCACTCTTTTTAAACTTGGTATTAGTCTTCACAATTCTTTCTAGCCAAGTACATTATTCTAATAATTTGGCCAAAGCACCAATCAGGGGTCCAAGATAGCGAGGAAGCAGGGCACGGGAAAGGGATACTGGATAAAGACCGAAGAGAGAGATTACCGTCAGCAGCGTGTGTCAGGGAGGAGGAGCGGGTCAGGACTAGAAGAGCTGAGAGGGGCAAGAGGGGGTGGGGAGGGCCGGAGGAACATCCTGAACTCGGGCCGGAGACGGGAGAAAGGGCATGGAGACCCAGGACGAAGGGAAGTCTATGCGAATGAGTCAGCCGTCGGGAGCCAGGCGGCCTGAGGAGCTGCGGCTGGGACTACTACCAGCCCGCCTTCCAGCCCTGCTCTTCGCGCCCGTCGGAGAGAGAGCGAGCAGTCACCTGGAGTGGGAGCTCCGGAGGGACTCGATCAGGCGCTGCTTCTGCTGTTGCAGGCTGGTGAGGCCGCCGGGGGACCCCGCTGCGGAGGAGGAAGCGCTCTTGGTCAGGGGGAAGAGCCAGCTCATCCTCCACGGGTCCCCGGGCCGAGGCCCTAGACGACGGCAGTGGCCTGCTTCTCCCCGCCGCTCAGCCCGGCTGTTCTCCAGCGGCCGACCGTGCAAAGGACCCAAGCGCTGGGCGGCCGCGTCTTCTCTAAGCAAGCCCGGCTGAGGGTCCTTGGGTCCTGGGGGGCATGACTGCGGACGGCCGGGGAAACGGGACGCGCGGCCCCTGACTGGCCGCCCCTCTAAGTCTAAAGCCCTGACTCCAAACCAGGCGGTCACGCAGCCTCACGACCCAGCGCTTTACCAACCCCAGCTTCCGTCACCTGCGTGCTCCTCCCTCTCTGCGTGGCGCGTCATCATCGAGAGCCCCCGCCAGGACGTACGAGAGGCGACGGCGCAGCACGGTGCGGCGCAGCTCCGGCTCCCCTTCCCCCCTTGCAGGGCGAGAGGTGTCTATGGGGCGTCCGCTGCCGCCGCCGCTCCCGCCACCGCCGCCGCCGCTGGGTGCTGTCTCTATGGCGAGGAGGAGGAGGAGAAGCGCGAGCTCAGTGACACAAGTAGATCCTGCGTCTGCCGCAGACTGCGGGGGGGAGGGGCGCCTTGGGGAAGTGGAAAGGGGGTGGGGACAGGGAACCTGAGAGGGTGCGCGATGGCGCCAGCTGGAGCGCGGCTGGCGAAGCAAAGAGCTGGGTGGCGGGTCGGGGGGAGCGGGGGATGGTAACTAGGGCCTGGGGTTCGTCGGGGGGCTGGCGCAGAGTGATGACGGAAAGGCTTTGTACCTGGGGCTTTGCTGCGGTGGGAAGAAAATTGGGAGTGGAGGGCGGTGGCCTAGATCCTCCGCTCCTCGTATTCCTTCTTGCAGCAGAGCTTGGGAGTCAATCTGGCTCCAGTAATGGTTATCTTCACCCTGGCTCTCTGCCGGCCGAGAACGTTATCTATGACTTGAACGTTTCCCTACTGCCCTCTCTTTTCCTTGGGAGCCTGCAGTAAGGAGATGCTACCTGAAGTAATGAGGTCCCTGGTGCCTATTCGCTTCTGGAATTGCAATAGAAAGAGAGGTACAGACAGTGTTCAACTACAGAGTCTTTGCAAGGCGTGTGCGTAGCACAGTGGGAGGGTTATGAAGGATGAATCTCTTGGGTCTTTTCGTTTCCGTTCTCAGAGCGCTCGGTTATCTTTGTGACTGCCGAGTTTAGAAGGGACGGGAGGGGGGAATTCATAGTACCTTTTTTTTATTATTATTATCTTTGTTATCTTTTTTTTTTCAAGCTGTGCGAAAAGTGAAGGAGCATTTCCCTGCTCAAGAATCAATACTGATCTTTCGTGTTACCATATCCCATGAAACCAGTGTATATAGGGCAGAAACGTGAGATGTGTGTTTGGTAACCAGGAAAAATGCTCTGATGTTTAGGAAATGAGAAAGAAACCATCAGAAATGCCTTTCTTTCTCTCTCCTGCAGATATGAACATTCAAACAATCTCTGTGTCTGTTACTTATTTCTCAGAAAGAGGTTTGTTTTTGTTTTTTTTAAACTTGATTTAGTTTTGTCCCCTCCAATCGGGCTTACATAAATGTCAGTAAAGGAGATTTTTTAAATAAAATCACATTTTGAATGATCTGTTAATAAGGAATAAAAGGAAACTCTATTCTAGTAATTACTCTGTTCTAGTAATATCTGATATTCTCATGTGGGTATCGGTATTTCTCTTTTCACTTTTGTCTGAAAATGGATATCTTCACCAATTTTTATTCAGAGAGTGAGCTGGAATTCAGAGCAGTCTTTAATTAGTGAGCAGTGATTAGTATGTACAAGGGAAACACTATTTTGACCTAACTGATATGAGAACCAGGAAACCTCTTTTTCCCCTACGGATTAGCTGTGTGCCTTTAGGCAAGTCACTCTCTAAACTTTGATTTTCTGATGAATCAGGGACTTTGAATAAATAATCTCTTAGGTTTCTGTCAATTCAATTATTTATAACTCTGATTTCTTGTATAGCTGGATTTTATTTTGATTTTTATTTTGACAGGTACACAAATAAAGGATAAGGTATTTTATGAAACAGAATCTTCAATCAAGTATAACATTTTGATGCTTGGCAGCTAGACTCCTTGTGCCCTCACTATGCCAGCAGCAACGGTAGATCATAGCCAAAGAATTTGTGAAGTTTGGGCTTGCAACCTGGATGAAGAGATGAAGAAAATTCGTCAGGTTATTCGAAAGTATAATTACGTTGCTATGGTATGCCTATGATCAAATATCCTTAAAATGCTGTATATAAAAGAGGAAATTTTGAAATTCTTGAATTCAACCCTTATGGTTGATTTTATTTTTCTTTTAGGGATTAACTTAGTTATGAAAAGAAAACTTTGTCAGTGTCCTCCAACCAAAGATCACTGGGAACATACCTGTAATGTGACAAGTTGGGTTTATTACTCATTGGAGTGAGGGAAAATACATACCATTGGAGGACTCTTATGTCAGGTGGTTTTAGGTAGGGATTAAGGAAGCAGGACTTTGCTCTGGATTGGATGTTGTCAGGAAGCTTGGGTAATTCTATGATAGTGTATCTTAATAAGCCTTAACTACAATAGAACGATAGAAAGTGTAAGTCCAAAACTATAAAGAAGCAACAAGTCAGTCATTACCCAAGAAACAGGGATGTTTGGTCTATTTTGTGGTTTGGACAACGTATTTTTGTCTATGTTCCGTCATGATTACAGAGGGGCCTCGTCTGATGTTGAAGTGTGAAATTGTTTATACTCAATGGAAGAACATTAGGAGCTGGCTACGAGTGCCAGCTCAGCTCCTAGCAATACTTAGGCCTCACTGGTAGCACCAGATGGGCTCCATAAGCTAGGGAACTCTTGGATGTCTTTCTCAAACAAACAGGAAAAATCAGATCTCCCAGTGAAACATTGTTGATCTGCAGTTTTTTTGTTTGGCATTTATTTATTTATGTATTTATTTCTTTTTAAATTATCAGTAGAGTTCCGTGAACACACCGTGCTGTTAAATATCTCTGCTTTTGCATATACTATTCAATCTGCCTAGACTGTCTTGGATAACTATTTTGCTTCATTACTACTATATCTTGTACACCTGTAATAGCTTCTCTTTCGTTTTCTAGATAATTAGCTTTGTGAAGCACCTAGCATAACACATAGCATCCAATAAAGTGGTTATTGAGTTGGACTGAATTAAAAGAAGTTTTAATGTTTTTACTGTTTATAGTGACTTGATATTTAGAATTTCCTATTGGCTTCCTAATTTGAACTTTAGTGCTAAGTCGATATATCATTTTTTTCAATATTTTTAAAACAAGTAAATATGCTTCAGTGGGAAAGGACAAGTTGATTGGTTAAAATATGAATATTTGAGTGTGCATAGATAATGTTCAATTTAATAAAGATGTACTTACTCATAGTTAGAACTGAATTTTTTAATCCAATAGAAATGGCTAGTGATCATTTATTTCTCAGATGTTAAGGAGTGACAGCTTTGGAGACCTGATCAAATTCTACAGGAAAGATTGGGTGGCGTGCAGTTTTTGATGACAGGGTGTCCCTGGAGTACAGAGAGAGTTTTGTTTTAGCTGAAGAAATTAGGAGGGTTTGATGTTTAAATAAACCTCGCCTGAGAAAAGTGATTGGAAAGTATCATGCATTTCCCATTCTTTTTGACCAGTTTTTTATTGATTTTAACATTAGCATAGTTTCACATACCCCTCAAGAAATATCAATTTACGATTTTTTCCTCCTTTTTGGGAATAGAGTACTTGGTTACATTTAGCATGAGTATCTTATACATTATAATTTTTTACTGATATGATATTTAAAGTTAAGAAAAACTCATTAAGTTTGTAGAGTTTCATTTTATGGTTCCAAAAACCAATGTTCTTCTTAGTTATAAGGTACTTTGTAATGGAATATGTGTAGAATATCATCTATGACAGGATCCTTTGATTTGTGCCAAAAATTGGGTATTTATTCTAGGAATTTGTGGACTGTGGTTTTTAGTAAATAATGAATTTTAAAACTATTTTACAGGACACAGAGTTTCCAGGTGTGGTTGCAAGACCTATTGGAGAATTCAGGAGCAATGCTGACTATCAGTACCAACTATTGCGGTGTAATGTAGACTTGTTAAAGATAATTCAGCTAGGACTGACATTTATGAATGAGCAAGGAGAATACCCTCCAGGAACTTCAACTTGGCAATTTAATTTTAAATTTAATTTGACGTAAGTGGGAAATAAATATAACCCAAACTTTTGTGTTCTTTTTAGTTTAATTTTTGGAATTGATTTCCCTTGAGTATAGTGAATGAAATTCTAACTGAATATAGCGTAGTTATCCTGGAAATACTTAAAACTTAAAATTTCAGAGGTTAGGTTTCTTCTTTGTATTATAGGAGCAAAAAAAAAAAAAATTGAATAAAGAACACAGATTCATGTACTTTTTGAATTTTAGAAATGTTATATAAAAAGTATGACTGCCACTTTTTTGGAAATTTGGAAAACTTGGGTATTGAAAATACTTCTTAATAGAAAAAAATAATTAGAATGTTATTTCACTTCATTAGTTGTGCTTCATGTAAAGAGATTTTTATTACAGTCATACTCCATTTTATGAGTAGATTATATGTCAAAGGTGATAAAATATTTCTTGGAAACGGGTGCATTTTCCTTTCAGATCAGTGTTATATAGTGGTTACACTCTCAGGTCAGCCCACAAAATCTCTTATAACTTAACATACAGCAGAAGTAATAGTGTCCTTTAACCTGGTGTTTCTTTCAGAAACAGTTCAGAATCTGGCAGACTGTCTTCCAGAATCCAGTTCTAACTCAAGCCCTGGCTTAGAACCCAGTTTCCTTACTTGTAATATTTGTCTCTTATTGGTAGGAGTGGCCTTGATAGCTTAGGGACATTTAGACTGTCTTGGCCAAGGTCTGATTGTTTACAAACTGATGACGTTGAGGAATTGTTTAATACATTCAGAGCATATTACAATATTGCTGTGTCCTATTTGACAGGGTGTGCTTGTGTTACATAATGTAACATCTGATTTGAAAAATAGTAGAAGAAGATGTGGGACAATTGATGGTAGTGCCGATGTATGAACCTCCCATTCTCTGTAGAATAATGTGAAATTTAGCACTGAGGTTTAAAGAAAAGAGAGCTGATTATTTAGAGGGTAGTTTTGTCAGTGTTGCAATAGTGTGGCTTATAATTGCATTCTGTTTAGCCTTACTCTCTGTTTTACTGTGATGGATTCCAAAAAGTACTCTCCGGATCCTCGTAAAGAGTGGGGGGGAAAAAAAAAACTTGTCTCTTTGAAACTGATAATAACCTTTTATAAGCACTAAGCTCTGAAACACAGAAAATAGCTTTTTATCTTTTTCCCAAAAGAACACTTTTTAAAATTATTTCTTTATCGTTTCATTTGTTTCACGCTGCTTTTTTCTAAACCGGTCATTATTAGAACATTGTTTTTAACTAAGATACTGTTGTGATCTCAGTACGTGAGTAGGATATGACCCATCAGTGTCTCAGTTTTGGTAAAATCGACATTTTTCTTATCTAGAAACAACTTTGTTCTAATAATAACTGCTTTGTTATACAATCTCTGAAAGACATGTTTCTTAGAGGGCTACTGTACATTTGCTGTACAATTTCTTCTAGTGTTAACATCTTGGGAGATGTTTAAGGAGAAGAATATCATGAAAAATATTAAGTAGAAAAGGTCAGTTGGAAGATAAATTGGTATTACCTAATGTGTAGACAGAGCACCTTGAACAAGAATCTTAGATATTTTGAAGCAAGATGGAAATTCACTTTTTATTATGTTCCTTGAATGAATGTGTCTGCAGCTGTGCTGGGCACCAGGGATATAGAATTGAGGAAAGTTGGTCATGGTCATTATAACTTAGTGTTCCCGGAACTCTTCTCTCTGTTCCCTATTTCTAAAGTCCAAGAATTAGACTTTTTAGAAGCTGATTGATATATGAGCATTATTTGCAAACTGAACTTGGGGGTGATAAGTGTAGAAAAATTGAAGTGGGATATCGACGAGCTTGTGAAGAAGAAAAGAAAGCCATGCGCAGAAGCCCACTGACGAGTCAAAAGAGATGAGAGTGAGTTTTATATAGCCATCAATTTGATGGTTGTAGTCATTGATATTTGAGAGAGTCATTTGAACATTGTGATAGAGGTAACGGGACCCTGGCTTCCGTGGCACCAGAGAGGAAGGCTTCCTTTAAGGGAAGTTGGCAGTGCAGAGGAGGAGAGTACTGTAAATAGAAGGGCCAAAAATCACACAAAGGTGGCTTGTGTTTTGTTTTACAGGTAACACGCAGGCATTTGAAGATTATAGAACAGTTGTCAGGTTGGGAATTGCAGGCTGTTCACATTTTTCATTGCCTTTGCAGATTTGGGGGCATCTTTGTGTTCTTACCAGTTTGAGTTGATTAAATATTAAGTTTAGTAATCATCTGTTATTTGCAACAATCTGTATTCCAGTCAGTTTACCTCTTAGCTTACTTGCGATTTTCAGCATAGTTTAAAAAACGTAAAATTCGTGGTGAGCCAAGAGTGCATAGATATTGGAGGGTATTTCCAAACTGTAAAATCTAAAAGTGTGAATTTGTGTGATAGGCTAAGTTTGAATTTGTAGGTAGAAGTCATTTCCATACATTTACTGAATGTAGCATACCTAGGTGAGTTTGTTTCTAACTTTAGGATATTATTTAAGATGGACAGTGTTGTACTTCTCTCTTGGAAAAATGTTTTTAGAGATTTGTACATGGCTTTCATTTCTGTTCGGTTATCATAGCTGCGTATTTTGTCACCGTAAACTTCAGTAGTTGGTTAGTGTTAGGAGGGATCACTTTACTGTTCATTGCTGTGCTGAACAGATCGATCTTATCAGTAAACTAGCCCTGGCACCCACAGCAAATCTTATAAATAAACAATGTTTAAGCTACTTATTTGCATATTTTAATTCTTTCCTACAGTTGCTAGCATTTTTGAGGGTGAGGAAGGCAGGGTGGAATGATTTCAGAACTTGACATGGACACCCTGGAGGGACAGTCTGTTGATTTAAAGAGTTGAGTCATAACAGTTAGGGAGTTTCCCTTGCCACACGAAGTATATTTTATCCTAGATGGGGGGGTTCCCACTCATCTCTTCCTAATTATGTGGATATTACGAAGCATGGAATTTGTTCCAAATGATAAAATAACTTAGCCCAGTGAAATTTAGGTGACAGCACATTAACTTATCTGAATTGTGCTATATGAACTATGCAGAAAAAAATAATTTATATACCTACTTTGTTTACCAACTCGATCATAAACACCTGAGGTAGTCACTCCTGTCTCCCTCCTGAGCACCGGGATTGCGTAGGTCTGGGTGTGGGACCGAGGAATCCGTGTTTCCTGTTGGCGCTCTGGGTAAAGCCACCATTGGGTGCGTTTGGGAAATACTGGTTTGAACAGTCCAACACCCGCTGTTCCTCATCACATATTTTTTGGTTTGATGATATAACATTGAACAAAACAGACAAAAATGATCGCCCGCTTGAAGCTTACACTCTGGTTGAAAGAGAGACAATAAACTAAAAGCAAGCACATGGCCCAGAATAATGTGAGTCTGGAGACAGATAGGCCTTTGGTTGCTTCTGTTGCTAACACGTGCCTCCCCTGTGATCTGTTGTTTAATGAAAAAACTTGTATTGGGCTTATTCAGATAATATTCTTGAAGGGTTTTCCAGGAAAAATTTTGACAGTGATTGTTGTGGTTTTTCCGGTTTTAAATATTTCAGTAGCTAGTTTTATTTTTCAAAGATATTTGTAAGCAAATTGATTTCCAGAGAAGAGACTGTAAGAGTACATTTTGGCTCAAGTGTTATGTTCCTTTCCATTTAATCAGTTTTGTTAAAGATTCTATTAGATGGTCTTTTGCTAGAAGATGGAAAGCAGTATCTTTATAATTTAAAAAGTAAATAAAAAGAAAAGTCTAATGGACACTGCACAAAACACTTTTCATCCTTAGAAACATACACCCTCCTTTTGATCACTTATTTAATTTAATATTTTGGACACATGTGTATGCTTAGAAAGTCAAGCCTTGAAGGATTTGTTTATTACATTTTCGTTCCCTGGCTTGAAGTCTGGAAGGTAGTCTAGGGTTAGGGCTGTTAGGAGGCGAAAATGATGCCGCGATAACAGAGCCCTTTGGTCAGTTTCCTGCACACGGGGGCCATTTGAAAGGGTAACTGTTAGTAAGAGGAGGCACGTCCTTTCTCTTCAGTGCAGAGTGCAGTTCACCTCAGCCGTGTCAGCGATTCCCGCTGTCCCTCTGGGGCTGCGGGAGCAGGTAGGGAGCTCAGGCCCCCGGCCCGGGGCCGCAGCTGCACCCGCCAGCGTGAAGGTGGCTGAGAGCCCCGGAAAAGGACGTGGCTGTTAGCGCTGTGGTGCTAGTGAATAGGAGACCCTTTTCACAAACCCAGTTACGTTTGTTTAACTTTGCAAGATTAATGAAATTGAGTTCATAGACAAGATTAAAATCTCACCGTTTGACTGTTTGGGATGGTTATTTAATGTGTGCACACTTTTCTGAAATTACAGCCTTTATATTTAAATTGTATTTTCTTTCCATACATGTGAGACATTGGAACAACTGGACTGCAGCCAGTCCGCTTTTTTTGTCTGTGGCATTGTAGTTGTAGATGTAAGTTGAGAAAAACAGTCTGAAGCGTGGCACTTTTGAATGTTGTGTTTCTTCTCCTCCTGCCAGGGAAGACATGTATGCCCAAGACTCTATAGAGCTACTAACAACATCTGGTATCCAGTTTAAAAAACATGAAGAGGAAGGAATTGAGACCCAGTACTTTGCAGAACTTCTTATGACATCGGGAGTGGTCCTCTGTGAAGGGGTCAAGTGGTTATCATTTCATAGGTAAAAAGATTGCACTGAAAATGGCATGTGTATTTTTGCCACACAAAGCCTCACATTGCAACAGTCTTGAGTGAAGTGCTTAAATGAAATAAATAAATGGGAAAAGGTAAACAAACAAAAAAAATGGCATATGTGTTACCATTTCCTGGCTGCTTCACACTTGGCTTGGGTCACTGAAACAGCGACTGGAAGAAACAGCCACTGAATAGCAGTCCCCTAACGCTTCCAAGACTGGCGTTGGTCTACGTAAAGGCTAGTGATACAGGGTCCATTTTTACCCCGTGAGAGAGACAGCCTTGCATAGTGGGAAAATGGACCGTGGTTTAAGGGCAGCAGAGCCCTTTGGAATCTGTTACTTGCAGTCATTTAATAGGACCCAACCTGAATGAAACTTTTCATTCATGAAGACATACTTACTATCTACCATAGGCCTCGTGCTGCGATAAAATTCTAGGGATTAAGATACGAACAAAACATTAAAATCCTTATCCTCAGAGTTTACCTTCTGGAGAGGGTAGGCACACAATTGTTTTAAGTGATGAAATTTTTATGATGGTTCGTTGGATGGTGATAAGTGCTATGGAGGAAAAAAGCAAAATGCTAGGGGTATGTGTGTCGTACAGATCAACATTTCAACCAGTGCTTTGCTCACAGTAAGTCCTCAGAAAGTGGGTTTTAAATTCTTTGTTATTAAATACAACCAGATTGTTAGAATTTCTAGTAAGGAAATTAGTTTCATTTGTAAATATAGATTGGGTGAGAGAGAGAGAATGCCTGTTTAAGTAAATTGACTTACACTGGCAGCCAAGAGACTTAAGAGTGGCCTTGGTTATGATTTTATTTGGCCTTGTTTTTTTTTGTATTATGCAGGTGTTAACGTCCTTATACTTGATCCCCTTCCCCCCCTCCTTTTTTTTAAAGAAGAGTCTCCCACATGCTTTACCATGTCAGCCCTGACCTCTGGCATCGTTAGAGTGAAGGGCTGCTTGTGTTGTCAACTCTGACGCAGCACTGATCAGTAATGGAGACACTGACCGAGCTAATTCTTGCCTGTCGTCTTCTCTATTCCCCTCCACTTGAGCCTGTATCTCAGGAAACAAAACTTAAGTCTCTGTTAATTTGAGGAACGTTTTTGAGTTCTTTTTTTACTTTCCTGGTCAGAAGGCTACAAAAGAATGGGAAAGAATTGTCCCGCCCTTTGACTATATGTAACCTGGTTTCTCATTCAAAAAATATTGTGAACAAATACTATGTACTAGGCACTGGAGATAGTAAGATGACCAAAAACCAGAAAGGGCTCATGTCTTAGAGTTGAGTCTAGATCAGACTCTGATATATTTGAGTACTTCTCAACATAGGTTAAGATTTTATTCTACAAAATATCATTAAATATTTTTCATATAATCTATCTCTAGAGGATAAATACTAATTTAAGAAATGTATCAATCCTAAACTCTAATATAATTTACTTATACTGGTATTGAGCAAATGCTGTATTGACTTATATTTTAGGCCTACAGCAGAGTACTTTCTTGCCAACTACCAGAAATTTAAAGGTTTCTGCTATTTATTGTTTATACCTTGATATTTCTAAGTGGTCTTCCATGGTAAAGCTTTTTTTTTTTTCTCTTCTAGATTAGAAGTAAAATTCCTTTTTATTTTTTTATTATATTCTCTTATCATTTCCCCCCCGTACCCTTTTCCACCTCCATCCACCCCGTAACCCCCAACAGAAGTAAAGTTCTGAATATGAAGTAGAAATTTTATTTTGTATCCTCCCCAGAAGATATGTTAATAATATACCTCATCAACTGTTGAGTTCCAGCTATGTATAGTAAAGAAACAATATTTTTTAAAAGTGATTTCTGCCTTTTAAATTAGTGGAGAAAACAATGCATGCATTTTAAAAGGTAGCACAAGGGAACAACTTGTGTTAGGAATGTGTGGGAGGCGGGCCCTTTGGGAAAGGCATCTGTCCGGGGCCCTCGGAAGAAAGGTAGACGGGGAGGAGGGTGTGTGATTGTGGCGCAGGAGTGTAGGGAGTGGCAAAGCTGAGGACAAGGCCACACAGTAGGCACAGAGGACCTTGATTTGAGGGGACTTTGTATTTTGTTCTCTAGATTGTTCTTAGCCTTTGCTGCCTTCACTCATTTTATGTGCAACATTCCCGTTAGTGTCTCTTGGGGAGCCATCATGAGATAGGAATAGAATTTTGAGGAAAGAGAGTACTTACTAATAAAGTCACTTAAAGGAAGTGAATATACTTTGGTAGAGAAAAACTCTGGGTTTTTGACGTATGTAAAAGATGGGAGGATTTGCATTATTTTTTGCCTTCTGAGTGCTGTTTCTCTTGCTACCTTTTGACAGTTTTGGCCAATTTTTCATTTATCTTTGTTTTGTCATTTCCATAGTTACTTAAATGTTTAGACATCTACTACAGGCAGCTTGATACTCTCCTTGAAGAGTTCCTCTATTCAGGGATCAGCAAAATAGTAGTTTAGTGACTATAGGCTTAGGATAGTACTAGAGATTTGCATGTTGACACCTGAGTGATGAAGTGACAAGGTCTGTGTAAGATGATGACATTTTCTCGTTGTAATTGTGAACATGTTTATTTTCTGTTTTTGTGCACTTTTTTTTCCTTTGGTCAGTTCCTTTTTTGCCTACAGTGTGACTCACTTAAAATTTGTACCAGAAAAGGTTTTTTCATCTCTATGGTATTTATAGCCCCTCTTCTGTATTCTTTTAACCCTTTTGTAGTGGTTATGACTTTGGCTACTTAATCAAAATCCTGACCAATTCTAACTTGCCTGAAGAAGAACTTGACTTCTTCGAGATCCTTCGATTGTTTTTTCCTGTCATTTATGATGTGAAGTACCTCATGAAGAGCTGCAAAAATCTCAAAGTAAGGCTTCCAGTGGCTTTATCTGTAATCAGCACACAATTCAGACGGAGTGACTGGCACACAGGGCACTATGCTGGGATGTGGATTCAGACTCTATTTTTGAGTTTTATGTTAAGTGCAGTTACATTATCTGGTCATTGATTCTTTTTCTTGCATAAATAATGCTTTATTGGAAATTCTTTAGCAACGCTTTAATATGTATTGGCAGAGTAAGTTTTTAGTAAAGTTCGAAGTAGGGATCAGGTTTTTGTCATTGCTTGCCAGATTGAAAATCCTAAACCAGCACAGAAAACTGTGAGGCTTTCCTGCACATAAGTGCAAGTTTTCACTCTCCCAACATGCACATAATCTGTCCGTGCAAGATAGACTCCAAGGTGGCCAGCAATGTGCAGATACAGTCAGTAGTGTGCAAGTTTCTCCTTCAGCTGATGTTTGCTAGAGATTATTTTGTTGGGTCTAATCATAGGATCATGTTTCAGCGATTGAATTACATAGCTAAAAGGGGTTTTTTTTTTCTCCCCAGCCCAAAGATGTTGACCTGTAGTCCTGTAGTAAATAAACATTCTATCTGGACAATAACTTACATTCTGACATTGCTTAACTTGTGTAATAATTTGTTACTTCTGAACATTAATTTTTTTATTAAAGAGAAATTTCTTTAATAAGGAAAAGTGCTCCTTTAGTTGGAGAACGAATTCACTCCTGATGGCGCAGGCTCCAAGTAATACAGTGGTTTTATTGTTTAGGTGTGTTTGTGTTGAAGCTTTGACCAAAAAAATAAAATAAAATAAAATAAAATAAATAGGTAAAGTGATTGCTTTATAGAACCTACATCAAGTTTGATCAAGTTTTCTCCTCACCAGGTTTTTAGAAGTGCAAGTAAAGTTACTCCTTTAGGAGCTGGTAAAAACTTTAAGAGCATTACATTTACACAGAAAGATTTTAGGAATTGAATAGAAAACTTTGCTTTGACATAGGAGCCAAAAATCATACGAGAAAGAGTCTTTTGGGAAAGTTTTAAGAAAGACTACTTCATGTTTGTAGCACCTAAAAGCAGCATAATTCTGTACCATTTAAACAGACTTTTAGCTGTGACTCGAATGAACTTTCAGTAGGATATCCTTACTACTCTAGAATCTCAGTTTGTGCCCTGAAAGTAGCACATGCTGAGAATCCAAGACCTGAATGTTTTAATATAGCTTTAGAAATGCCTTTTAAAATTGATACTGGTATAATGACAGTTTTTGGAAGCAGAGAACCAAATTATTGCTTGTCGTGTATGTTACTGGAAAATTCCTAAGTATAGTAGATACTCTGAATATATCCTAAGTGACCTGGTGTGATAAAATTGAGGTTCGTGATAAAGGTGCTTTTTGACCTTTGGTCCACCGTACTGAATGACCCCATTCTTTTGCTCTCCTAAGCAGCTGTAAGTGATACCTAATTCTCATGCTATTTTTAGCACAGAAGCAACTGCTGTGCAAAGCACTGTTTTAAGCCTGATGAACAGAAGGGCTGGTTTGCTAGCAGTGGCCTTTAAAATTTAGAGAGGGATTTCTTTACATCTGTTTTGTTTTTTCCCCTGATCTCGCTTTGCTTTCTTTCCTTTCTCTTCTCCCGTCGTCCCCCATTGTTATTCCTCCCTCCCCCCGCCGTCGTCCCTCCTTCCCTCCCTTCCTCTCCTCTTTCGTTTTTTCTCTTCCTTTTTTCACTCTCATCATTTTCTTTTTTAATCCTATCAATGTTAACCTAGGCAGGTTGTTAGCAGACCCTTACAAGGAGCTGAAGTATAAAAACAGACTCTCTTTTTAACCAGCAAAACCATAGTTAAGCTCTTCGTGCATTCTTATTTGATTAGTCATAATAGCCTTGTTTTATACAAACTACTTAGATGAAACTATTTATAGATTGATTACTGAGAAGTGTAAGAAAATTTGAAAGTAACTACCTACGATCAGTTTTATAATAATTGATCAATGGACAGATTGTGCATGTACTCGTTGTTACCCTGTATATCTGTTACCTTGTACAGGCTCTGCTTCCCCCATATCTTTAAGAAAGTTATTTGCTCTCACATGCTTTAAAGCATATGATAAAAATTTGCCCAATTAAGATCTAATTTTCTATTAAATTATCAACTTCACCCACTTTCAACAGTACATTAGCAGTTCACATTCTCTGGTGTTTTCCAATCTTCATAAGGTCCTTGTGTGTATACATTCTAAAGTTCATTTGTATTGTGGTCATTGTCTAAGTTACGTAATTTGTGAATTCAGGCATTGTAGTGTTTCTCTTTTGACAGGCAATTTTTCTGTCTTCCAGGGCGGTTTACAGGAGGTTGCCGAACAGTTAGAGCTGGAACGGATAGGACCCCAGCATCAGGCAGGATCTGATTCCTTGCTCACAGGAATGGCCTTTTTCAAAATGAGAGAAGTATGAAGACATCAGTGCCTTTTTCTCTCGGTTGTTAGGTTGAGAACATTAAAAATCTCATGGCAAAGTTTTGGGGCAATAAGTGCTTACTAAGTAAAGATATAATTAGAGGTATCATATAGGTCATATTTACCACATTTGAGTGAAAGTATTTAAAAGGAAGTCATTTTGAAATGTAGTTCAGAAGGAAATGAAAAAATAAGTTCTTCGGAGACTAAAATACTTAATTTAAATTACCGTAGAAATCATGAATGTCCAACCATGTTGTTCTTAGGGTAGAAAACAGGCCAGAGGCTAGTAAGTTTTATCCAGGCCCTGTATATTACTACTAGGGGAACTCCAGCATTCTCTCCATAGACGTGTTAGTGTGCTGTCAGTCCAAGGAATCTGCTCATATGTTCAGTTTCCTCTGGCTTTGTGTTACCATAGGCATTAAACTGCTGGTAAAAATGTTATTTGCTCATTCCATTTTTTCAGTACTTTGTGGATTTATAGAGTAGGACTCATGCTTTTTAGTAGATTGAGTCTCTTACCAAGAGGTTTTTGAATTCCAAAGGGGTTAAATAAGATTTGAAGTAATTGAATCAGAAATCGTATTGAGCAGACCTTCCCTAAGTGGTAAAAGGCAGAGATAAATTCTTCAAACATAAGAAGTTAGGTATGGAAGAAAGAAATTTAATTGGAGCCTTGCTATAGGTAAAATGCAAAGAAAAAAGTTTTTTGTGCAAAAACAAAATAGAATGGACTTTTGCTCACAAAGAAAGTTCCCCTTTTTGCGAAATACTAAATTCTTTTGAGTATATCCTAAAAGAATTGACTAAGAAGTCGTTTGGAAATTTAAGATTTTGTAGAAATGTATTAATAGTAGAAAGCATTAATAGCTGTTTTGCCAAGTAGTATTGATTCAAAAGTGATTTGGACACTTCATGAAAGTAAATACTTTCATATTTTGTACTCCTTTCCAGTTCTGCATTAGAGAACTAAACAACCTTTTGGATGTTCAGTTTTGCATTTTAAAAAAATACCCTAATAATTTGGTTAATGGTGGACTTTTTGCTACTAATTTGTTGTCTTTATTTTTCTTTGCTTTTTCAAGGATAGTAACCAAGTGTGAATATTCAGATTTTACTGTCCAGAACATGTCTAGTCTTTGGTGGTATTAGCCAACTTAGATTTGCACGTAGACTCCAGGCTGCTACCTGAACTGCCTCCCCGCCCACCATTGGCTGTTTTCATTCTTACTCATGAGCACTGTTAAAGTAGTAGAATGGAAATGTCTGCCATTTTTCCATGATTACAGATTCTCGTAAAAATGGTCTAAATGTTGAAAGAAAAGACGTGTATATACAACTTTTTGAAGTCTTTTTCTTCGGTCTCTTTTGGGCTCTGTCCTTCCTGAGAACCTCAGTCTTACTGAACTTAGAGGAGCACCATAGAAAGAGCTGTCATTGTAGTTCATGAGCAGTCAGTACTTTCATTGCTGAAATATAAATTATCAGTGGTACCTTTTGGTTAAAATTATCTTTTTTTTTTTTTCCAAAATTCCTTTTTAGATGTTCTTTGAAGATCATATTGATGATGCCAAATATTGTGGTCATTTGTATGGCCTTGGTTCTGGTTCATCCTATGTACAGAATGGCACAGGGAATGCATATGAAGAGGAAGCCAACAAGCAGTCATGACATGAAATAGTCCTTTTTATTTTATTTGAGCTACACACATGCTTGTATATAGGTTTTATCTCTGGTTGAATCCCTTGAACAACAGACAGAACTTTTTTTTCTTTCATATCCCATTTTATTTTTTGTCTTTCAGTACTAAGTATGACCATTCCTATTTCAGAGCTTAAATAGAAAAGCATTCAGGTTAAATCTGGCCTTAACTTAATATCCTTGTTAGCAGGCGTGTGTGGCAGAGTGGGAAAGCTGCATCATATAAACTTGACCGACTTGAGCTTGGCTTGTGTTTCCCTTTTCTAAATTAACTAGCACTGACTGTAATTTATTTCCTTGTTTCATGTCTCCCTTCCATTCTGCAGGAGTTTTAGCTTTTTGAGATTGCGGACCATCAATTTTGCACTTTAGAGAGTGATTCTGACTCAGATCCTCTGTTTTAGCAGAAAATTTTCTTGCTCTTAGCTGGAAAAATGACCATCTGCCAACTTACAAAGTATTTACTTGTTTTTGACCCGTGAAATATATAGCACATACATTGTGCAAGTGGTTGATTCAACAAGACTACAAAAAAAAAAAAAAAAAGACAAAAAACTACTGAGAAGCTTAATAACTGCTGTTTCTGTACGTAGTGTTTAATCTTCCAAGCACATCTAGTGTCTGTCAGTTTCTAATTGGCATGTGTAGGCTGCTCTATGACTGGAGAACTTTTCAAACCAGCTTTACACCCTTCAGGAAAATTCCTTGTCTGTGATTGGATGTTTGTTGTCTGCCAGAAAACTGGCCTCCACCGATGTTGAAGCTGCAGGTTTTTGATAGCACACTTCCCTTGATCTGCTTCTTTTTATCCCATCACTGTTCACCCTTATTTTAAATTTTTTTAAATTTTATAGCCATACTTACGAGCTCTTGTTGTTGATTCCACAAATCAATTTCATTAAAGTCCAAAGATAGCAAATCTTTAGGTATATTTTGTACCAAATTAAATTAGGAGACAAAAATTGTGCTTTCATAGTTGTTAACAAAAATAAAGAATAGAGAGATTTGGTGCACAATAAAATACAAAAATATATGTGTTAGCTATGTGTGTTTATGGAATACACATATAGCTAATAAAATTACCTGAGGAGTGTAATGTTTGTTTATTTTTTGTGTATATCTTTGCAATCTATTTTATATATATTGACAAAAGAGACTGTGAAATATTTAGCCATGCAGAATATGTGACTAGACCAGAGCATGTGTAGGAAGACATTTTGGTAATCATTAATTCTACCCGGAAATTATGGACTGCAAGTTATGATGTGTGTTATCTACACTTCAATCAGTAATATTAGCAAATCTCCAAATGTTAGCCAGATGGGTGTGTTTTCCTTGTACATTCTTTATTCATGGTATTACAGTGCTGTAACTGGGTGGTCCTTTTTAAACAAAACATTATTTGCAAAACAGAGGGTATTATTTGTTTTTAAAGCTTTTGTAAATAAAGGCTTCAGAAATGTTTTCTTATATATGTTGATGACTGGTAATTTTGTTTTGGAAATATTTATTTGGGGGATATATTTTTTTAAAAAGTTTGGGCAACTGAACAGGACTCAGTAACTTCATTAATTATAGCTAATTACTGAAAAATAAGTCTGCGCCTTCTGCGTTCTGACAGTGTTGGCTTGCCCTTTATGCATACCTCAGCTAGATGCTAAGAACTGATTTCTGTCTCTGCAGGAACGCATTCATTCTGAAAGACAAAGTAAATGCACTTGACATAACAATGGCAGCTTTGTAAAGCTGATGCAGTATAGCAGATGTCTAATTATTTCCTTTTGATCACCTCAAAAAAAAAAAAGTGCATTTTGAATAGCCACATAGTTGCTGAATTTCATAGTTTGTGTCAGTTTTAGTTTCTGTCTCTAAGAAGTGATTATTTTATGATTTCTATAAGAGAAACATTGTGACCTTTACTAAATCTAGCTTTTGGATAAAAGATACGAGGCTGATACATTTTTAATATTCCTGAGCCATTAATTCCAGACTCACTATACCTGGTAAATGGAGAGCAAGGGCCCCCAAACCAAGGCCTGCAGGCCCAAGCCGGCGGGACGCCTGTCGGTGTGGCTGACCAGAGGAGAATGGATGGCTTTTACAGTTTTAAAGTTGTTGGGAAGGAATATGTTCTGACATGTGAAAAGCATACGAAATGTAAATTTTAGTGCCCATAAAGGCAGCTTCATTGGAGTACAGCCACACTCGTTTACATACGCTGACCACGGGTCGCCCTGCAGTGGGGGAACCGAGTAGTTGCTGCAGAAACTGCCTGTGGCGTTCCCGTCGTCTCTCCTTTCTGCGTGGTGTGCCGCAAAAGCGGGGACGTAGATGCAGGCCCTGACAGCGTTTGGAGGGTACCGCACTATTTTACTGTCCTTTCTGTTACTGATTCATACCAGTTGTGTCTTACGAAAAGTGCACTTTGAATGGTGTGTTTTTAAGGCGCATTGAAGTATGGATTATCTTATCAAATGATATCTTGCCGTGACACCGTATGCTAAAAAATACCACAGATGTTGACACAACCAGGCTAAAGTCTCATCTTAATAATCCCAACTCTTGGGAAAGCAATATTCAGGAGAATTAGAAACTTGAAGATGGAATAACTCATCACACCATTTCACAAAAATTAAAAATGAAAATGTGGCTGCAGCCAGAGGACATTTGCAGGTGGCCTGCCAGTTGGCCAGGCAAAGCCACTTAACCGATGGTGAGTTATACCATGTTTCTCCAATGCAGTAGCCCAGAGAGGTGTGTCTAGAGAAAGTAAAACAGCCTTTTGATAAGAACAGTTGCTTAAAGAATGAGAACATTCACACAATCAAATTAATTATAAAACACAAATGATCATGGGTGTTTTTCTTGGTCCGTTAACAAGCCAGTAGTGTCCAGCTCTTACTTGAAAAATCAATGCCTAGTTGGAAGTGACTGAAGAATTAGTTTCTGTTGTACTAACAGGCTGTGGAACAACTACAGGTGTGAATGTTTTCAAGAAGTGGAGGAGCTAGCAAGTCAGTACAGCCCGAAGTGGGATCTACCAAGACGGGATACAACTGATGGTGGTAAAAATACACGTGGAGCGAAGTGCGGTTGATCACATTTAAAAACGCGAAAATGGACTAAGGTGTTTGGGTTTGGCGGGGGCCCATTTCACTGTGTCATGCACCTTTGTTTTATTTTCTTCTAAACAAGAATTAACATTGTTCATTGTTAGCCGGTGTCTTTTATTCCTGCAAAGATCATGTAGAAAGAGTAAATAAAATCATGATTTAGCTGTATCGACGTATACAGACTTTCCTTCAGTTGATTCGTTATGACTGTTCTGGGACACATTCGTATCATCTACTTCCTGCCTAGGTGTCGTTTTTAAAGAACTTGAAAACATGTTTGTGCGGTATACTAGGATTGGTTATGTCATTAAGGCTGCAGTTTTTAAATACTCAACTTGTACACAAATGTTTGGTTAGCCCATTGAAGATGTCTTGAATACTAGGCATGAGAAGACTGCACATACGGATAGGAAAAGACATGAAATCTGACCTCCGGCAACGCCTTACTTTTCATAGCTGAATCATAGAACTGAAGCTTTCCGTGGTATTCTTTAATTCAGCATCGGCAGAATTCTACTTTGGCAAATTGTTTTTTCTCAATGTAATTAAGCACCTTTATCTGTCAAAACAAATATTAATAAATTCAGGTCAGGCTTGAGCTCCTTACACTGTTAAACTTTCTCTGGAAGATGTGCATCAATCATGGAACAGTACTGTCTGTCCTTTATGAGCAATGAGTTCCTTTATGTAGCATAAATCAGAATTTAAAGTCATTAATCAAAGGGCCCCCTTTGGTTTAATTGGTACTCAGAAATAAGTCAACAGATGAATGATCTTAACCTCCCTGTCTGCCCTGCCCACCCTCCCCCACTGTAAACTAAATACAGAAATAACAACTGGCTATGAGCAAGAACATCAAATATCTATCATTCAGCATTTGTCACCAGTTTGTTTTTGCTGTCACTTCAGTGGAAAGGGGCTGCAAATGATTTCAAGTCTGTATTTGCACTGCTCAGACTCAATAATTTAAAACTTTTTGTTGGCATAAATACAATTTGTAGGCTGTCAGAGATTGAGCTCTCAGTTAACCTAGATTGCATTATGGCAGAGCATCTTACATCCTCTTTTGTTTGAGGATAGAAAAAAGTGTTTCAGAGCCTCCTACTATGTTGGGAGATAGACCATGATTTTGATCTATAGAAGCTCCTTTGAAACCAGCCTAGTTGAACTCATCCCTTCATTGACAAATCCTTCAAGGCAAAGAGAAAAAGGAAAGTGCACGGTCTGGACCATTATAAAGTAGAACACAATTTCCTGTGTACTGTAACAACATTAGGTTCTTCGGTAATTCTAAAGGAACTATAGCAAGGGAACAGACTGCTTAGTTTTAAGATCAAAAACTTTAATGTCGGCATGTGTTTAATGCTTTTAATAAGTGACATGATCAAATTGCTAAAATGTCAGTGAAAGTTAGAATCTGAATTTTTACCAAGATGAGGTTTAAAAAAATTCTAGTTGTACCAATGTAAAAGGATAACAAACATTTAAGGTGTATAATGTCTGCTTCCACATGTAACAGGAAATGTGTTCAAAATTGCCTAAGTATACGGAAAAGGAGTGTTAGAGTTCTCTGCAGAAGGATCTTACCTAGAGACATTATTTGTGCAAATTCATTGTGCAAATGTGTCCTGTGGACAAAATGTTAGCAGATTAGAATGTGTAAGCCTCCACGTAGCTGTGGCGGCTGTACTGAATACCTTCCTGCTTCACAGGCAACTGAGTTTACTACATCTACCATTTATGTGGTTCGTGTGTGTGGGTTTATTTTAAAAATTCATAACGTCATTAGAACTATCACTTTTACAAGTAAATATTTGATAATACGATGTGTATACAAAAGTATACTGTGTAACTTCAGAATCAGCTCAGCAAGTTTACATATATATCAGTAGAAGGAAAATTTGCTAGTTTATAATATGATTTCCAGGTTTTTCTGAGCACGAATCACATAATTACTGACTTAAACTTTGATTTGTAAACATTGTTTACAAATCCTTTGATTTTCCTAGTGAAGATAGTTTTATCAAACAGCTGCCGTATTTCCAGTACTTGTCTGTCGATTACAGTATGTACTGGAGTTTTATAGATAGTCTGTTTCCAGTGTCCTCAATCATGTTAACTATTACTCGTTAGTTACCTTATCCTGTCATGCAATTCTTCTCAAGAGACCTGTGTTACGACCAGGTGGGGGGCGTGAGTTTTGCCAGTAGGAGCTAGCTCTGGTAGACTATTAGGAAAAGTATATCTGTAAAGCAATTCGGATTGTCAGTGTAAAGGCAACTTCATATACACAACTAATAAAGGTGATCAACCAGTCTTTATTACGGGATAACAGGAGGGAATTGGAGAGAAGCACTTCCTTGAATGTCTCATTATTGTATTTAGATGCAATTTTCCTTTATCCTTGAAAAAACAAGCCCTCTTTCACTAACAATGGCAAATAGGGAAATAATAGGTACCTTTTATAAGTATGTACAAAATGTAGGCCTATTTGATGTTGCTTGATTCACTTGAGTAAAATTTTGTACTGCATACCTAATAAGATAGGCCATCTCCCGAAATGGTAACCCCTTAGAACTATAACCCCCTAGAACTATAACCCTCCCAACTAAACAAAAAACCCATTAAAGATTATTCACTGTATGAAACAAAAAGGGAACCATTACAACTTAATGAAAATATTTTATTTTTAAAAATGTTTTCAAATCTGAGTCTAATGTGTATTGGCTTATTGTATTTCAGTAATTCCATGAAAGACCTAGAGGGGGAAAAGATTAACAGTACTCTAGCAAGGTAAAGAATAAAAATCTCTCTTTTTTTCCCCCTAGCTTCTAGTGAGTTCGACAAGAAGGAACGCCTAACGATCCTGATCCAATAAAAACAACTCTAGTACTGTGCTTTGAAAAATACCTGGCTGCACGTAATACTTCATACGTCACATGGCGCTGCTGCTCTTAAGACTTCTAGCAGCAGCTATAGGTTCCGACCTGGCACTTCAGGTAATGAAAAATGATGACCAAAAAACGCTTTAAGTTAAAAGCAAAAATATACCTTATGAAATTTCTTGAAGCAGATTGTCAGATTAAAATATTTAGCTTTAAAAAAAAATTGATAAAAGGCCCCTCCTATCCTCCTGTTCAAATAATTGCACTCAAATGATCTATAAAATGGACTGGGCTGATTTTGGTTCTTCTGCTAACTCATTTAATATAAAACTTGTTGTATTTTTAGTATGGATGAGTAATTATGAGGATTTATTATTACTACTATCCTCTGGCCTTCTATTCTGTGCTGAATTTTTGTTTAACTCAGATTTTGAAAAGTTTAATACAATCTTCTCATTGATTTAATACCAGTAATACCAGTTCTTTAGCTGTGTTGTTTTAAAATGTAATCTGCTTTAAATTCAGAAAATCAGTACCGGAAAAAAAAATGTTCGCAGCTTATTCCTAATCATGAACATTTACAAAACTTACACTCCAACAAATTAAAAAAGAGTAAATAACACTTTTTTTTTAAAATAGTGCATACAAGGCACAAGGGCTTTTTAGTATATTTACTGAGGCCTAACATTTTGGCATCAACAAACACACTCCTTTATCTGAAACTCAATTTCCAAACCACTCCATTTAGTTATGTTGAACTAAATTTCCAAAAATTACATAATTTTTTCATGAACTGCATAATTTAATCTTAATAGATGAGGAACTACATAGTTTAACTGCCATAGTTTTGATGAGAGGGCACAGAAAGAATATAAATGTAAAGGGAGGATTAATCTATTGACCCGCCAGGGATTCTTAATTGAAATTCAATATTTTTGCTATGTTCAATCAAAGAAAAAATTTTAAAAGCCAAATTGGCTAAAGAATATCATAAAATAAACCAATTTTAATAATTGTTGTTACAGGTTTTCCCCCCAATTTAAGAAGATTAGAAGAGATGAAAAAATACAGGGTCCGGCACAAATAATACCCCTTTTTCATTACAAAATCTTTTATTACAAAATCAAGCATGTAATTCTGTAACGTAACAACATCACACTCAAGCACACCATATGACATTTTAGGTGAAATATTCAAATTATTATACCCATATTATTATTCCACCCATATTATTACCCTACCAACCACACTCAAGCAGGCCTTACTTCTGCCGGACCCTATATATCTCAGATATAATAGAAATATGTTCACTCTGACAAAAATTTTCTAGCCAACTGCTTATCAGTGAGCTCAAGCTTCAATGATCATATTTATTTTCTAGCAGGGAACAAAAGCTAGAATTAGATTAAAGTCTAGCAAAAAATGGATGGAGATCCTCAAATGTAGGCCATTTGGAATTCGTAATGAATTCACACTCAGTCTGAAGCTGGAGTCACATCGGAAGGAATAAACAAAGAAGTATGGCCACCTGCACCTTTTCGTAGGTAACTAACAGGTTTTATGAATAAATCTTATCATGTGACTAGAAATCTTTTAAATCTCAGTATCTTCATCTTAATTTCCTGGACCAGAATTGTGACAAATGGTGCTACCCAATTATTTGAGTGCAAACTGGCCCATGAATGTACTCAAAGTTTTTATGATAGAATATATTTTTGTCCTTGATTCCTACACCATAATTATTTTTAACATTTAACAGGAATTTGTGTTAGTTGAAACAATCTGCATCTTGAATTAAAAATGATGTTTTAAGCAACAGCTGGGAGAGAACTCATCCGTTCATGTTCTGCATATCCAGCCAAAGGGAAGTGGGAAGGATCGGCCAATGGCGCCTCTTCCATTCATCTGCAGCACTGATACCTTGAAACAAGAAACAGAAAACAGGAAACTGTTGTGTTAACTATTTTAAAAAAACAAAACTACAAACTACCCACTCGTTCTTTTCAACACCTCATTTGCTTGTTGCAGTAACATCCCTCGTTCAAAATTAAGTGTTTTCTGTACTAGAAGGCTCAGTAGACGTGTTCTTGAATATGGACCTCCACATCAATGCTTCTCAAACTGTAATGTGCACATACGGGACCAGGGGATCTTGTCAGAATGCAGAAGATGCAGAATCTGATTCAGAAGGACTAGAAAAAGCTCCAAATTTCTGCGTTTCTGTTAAGCTCTCCGGGCGAGCCAATGGGACTGCTTTGGCGCCCCAACCGGAGCGGCAGGGTTCTTCTATGTTATCAGTTCTGCATTTGTCTGAGGTCACTAGGCATTTAGGAGTGACAAGGGAGTTAAAAGGGGGACTTAGGGAGATAAGTTTAAAATTGCACGTGCATAGAAGCACAGCATTTTTTGTTTATAAGAGGGAAGGTTGGATAGGCTAAATTTAATCTACATTTTAGCACTACTATGGGTCTAGGCACATAAGTATCTGGGACATATGCTAAGAACTGTTTTCTTAAAAGGTCACAAATCATTTACTAATGTAGTTGAAAAAGAGAACAATATGAAGATACCATTTAGTAATATAAATTAAGCATATCAATATCAGGTGATAATGTTTAATATAAACGTGCATTCAGTGAGTTGCAAGTCTGAGATGTAAAGTGGAAAAACTATTAAAAACTATTTAAAACTATTTGGAACATTCACTACCTTAGGAAAATTCCATTTTTTTAAAGAAACATTTTACTGTCATAAGTTATAGCAATAGAATAGAAAACATTACATCAGAAAATCACTTTTTTAAAAAGTCAATGAAGCTGATTTATGCTGCCACTTGGTTATTATGACCATTATTCAAATATAGTAAAGTTTTGTGAGATTTTTAATTTTAACAATGTTATTTTAGCACCTATTTACAAAAAAAGAACACTTTTTTTAGAACCTACTATATGCCTGGTACTGTGCAAAGCGTTGGGAATAATGATGAACAAATGCAACCCTGGCCTTGTGTCAAAGTACTGGGATGTCTACACAACACGACCTTACTATGTGAGCTTGTAAAATATTTAACATGTCGCCTCACAAACAATGGTGATCGCTAATAATTCAAAATACTAAAAAAAAAAAAAAAAAATCCTGTGAAACTTTACACACGGATCTATATTCCATACAATACTTATTTGTGGTATTGGTTAATGATTCATATTTGTGTATTCATAGTTACATTTTAAGAATTATTTCCAGAAATTGAATATTATCTCTTTGCTATTTAACCATATTAAGAAGATCACATTTTTCACTACCCTAACCATAGTTACAATTAATCTGATTTACTGTACCATCCAAAACCAAAACACTCAATGAGCAAATTGCCAGATCAGTATTTTGCTGTTATTAAAAAGCTATTCATTAAACCAAAACAAAACAAATTGTAAAAGATTTCATTTTTTTTGAGGTATCTCCATACTGCTATCCACAGTGGCTGCACCAATCTGCATTCCCACCAACAGTGCAAAAGGCTTCCCCTTTCTCTACCTCCTCGCCAGTATTTGTTTGTTGATTGCAGCCCAAGTATCCATCAGTAGATGAGCAGATAAAACATCTATAGGACACCTACACAATGGAATACTACTTGGCAGTGAAAAAGAAGGAAAGTTTACCCTTCATGACAGCATGGATGGACCTGGTGTACATTATGCTAAGTGAAATAAGCCATTTACCATACCATATGATTTCATTCATACGTGGACTCTAATGAACAAACTGAACTAACAAGTGAAGTAGAGGCAGACTCAGAGCAGTCTCGCAGCTCTGCGCGAGGCTGGGGCTGGTTACGAGGTGGAGGGACTGAGCAAAAAGAAAGATGCATCATGGACAAGGACAACACTGTGGTGACTGCAGGGGGAGGAGGTGTAAGGTGGATAAATATGGTAATGGAAAAAATTACAATTTCAAAAAACATTTTGAGGGTTAAAATGGGTTAAAAAAACCACACCAACATTTTTTTTTTAAAAAACCCTCAGATATCCATGAAGTATTTTGACACAAATGATTTTGTTTTAGATGCTACTGTCTCACTTCTCTTAGACATTAGTACTCTGAAGTTTTGTAAATAGAGAGCTGTATTGATAACTTTAATGTTCAACCCTTTATATTTGTGTTTGTGTGTACTTGTCTAGATGTGCATGGCTTTACTCCAAAGGGACTCTATTTTATTTTTTTCTATTGACTGCAGGCTTATAAATAGGTTATGTGTTAAAGAAACTTACAAAACTTTTTTTAAAAATTATGGTTTAAAGAGAGTAATTTGGCATACCTATTATTTTAAGAGCAATACATCCTGTTGGGTCCTACTGGAACCAAAAATAGGAAGGAAAAGGTTTACGCTAACAAGTTGTAATTATCTTGCACTTTGACCATTCATCCTGAAGGATAGAAAAAGATTTTTAAAAATTCTGCAGTCCTATAAAATGACAAGAGAATTGTCATGTAAATGTCAATATTTTAAAGTCCATTCCTACCATGTACTGTATTACTATAAAAATGAATTTCGTTCATCACCTTACTTTCAGTTTTATCAGGTTAACCTAAACACTAGCTGATGCTAACTAGGTCCGTGCCTAGAGGTCTCCAGCTCGATTACTGCAATCCCCGGGGTCAGCTAAGACATCTTTTAATTTGAATCACTCAGAAATAAATAATAATGATTATGGAAACAATTTGCCCTAAGAGAAGAGGAAAGAAAAATATAAAACATAACAATAAAGGAAAAACTTACTTTCATAAAACATGAATTCGTTTTGTTGGGAGAGTTAAGTCTCATTCTCTATGGTCAATGCAGGATTGCTCATACCTTCGAGGAAGAACATAAATTAGCATTTTTTATTGCTTTTGAACAGATAAGCAGAGACTTTTTCATTCATCCATGAAGCCCCCCAGTATACTTCCAGAGGTGCCTTGTACACAGCATGGGTGTTCATAAGTAAGATGGTCATACAAACACACACATGAGATACAGTGTTGGCCACAACCACTGTCACAGAACAAAAAACAAAAAATCACTTTAAAACTAGAGTTATACAACTAGAGTTTTGTTCACACCACTGAGGAAACAGTGGTGTGAACAAAAAAGTGAAAGACACGTTGAACCTGGCACTTGTCCCATCATCATAAATCATCGTTTCCTAATTCTTCATCAACCTAATCTCTCTAATCCAACTAATCTTTGAGTCCTTTCGCATCTCATGTTTCTCTTCTTTTACATCATCCTTTAAACTTTAGTTTTTCATTCACCTATCAAAGTAACAGAAAAATGAATCTAACATGCCAAAATGTTAACAGCACATTAAAAAACAGGAAATCATTTGTATGTTAATGTAGAGCTGTAAGATGAGACGTGAATCCTCTCTGAAAGAGGGAGCTCTTTGCCTTTCCAGCCTCTCGCCAAAACTGACCCCCAACTACCCATCTTTTTTTTGCCTCTAAGGAAACTGATGGATTCAAAGTGCAACTAGGTGTCATCAATTTCTTGTTTAGGGAGTGCCCAGTCCTTCCCAAAGATCAGAAGAGGGAATGGCATGTGTGAAGGTGAAGAGAGACCAAATTATGAATACTCAAAGGATGGGGATATTCTGAGGGTATATCGGGGGCCGGGGGCCAAAATAGGTTCGCAGTTGTGAGTATGCACAGTTTATGCTCATATTATTTATTGTATCATTTCCATACAGATAACTGTAAACCTACTTTCTCCCAACCCTGTATATTCTTTAAGAACAAGACCTTTTAAAGAAAGCTGATATTTTAGGAGAATATGATTGTGTATTAAATAATGACCTTAGGGTTTTTAATCAGGACAATCCATTTGTTTTTCACCATTACTAAATACCAAGGAGATGTCAAATGAACCAGTAAACAAAATGCAGGGAGCCAAAGGTAAGCCGCGCTAGGAGAGACTTTTAAGAAAAGACTGGAAGTGAAAGAATTGAGGAATTCAATTAGTCAACCTGGTGATTTTCTGCCTAACAGTGTCTCAATGGTGGATGCATGGTTTTGTACTTATATATAGGGGCACCGTACATATTTAACGTATACCTGCATGTTTGATCACAGTTTTGTTTAATCCTTCCCAACCCTGAGAAATAAGTAGTATTCTCAAGGTGAGGAAACTGAGTCTATGAGCTTAGGTAATTTAACAAGTATCACATATTAATTAGGTGCCCAAATTGGGATTTGAAATCAGGTCTGTCTGACTTCAGAGTCTTCCATGTTCTTTGCCAAAAAAGAAGTAATCAAAAGATTAAGGTCAGCAACAGTAACAAGAGATATATGAACAAATTACAGGTAGCTAACATTGCGTAATTATGCGATCACTTAATTTCACATTTTTATTTGGATAGAAATCTTAGAGTGAAAGGACTGCATAATTTGGTCCTTTACAACAGATATTTTTCCATCTTTTGAATTAATCTCATTTTTCCATTTTTTAAAAAATTGTTCTTTGAGTTTATTTCTATCACTTAATATGAAGTAATAAAGACTTGGTTCTTAAAGAAAAAAGAGAAGATCTATCTTTCACCAAATGATTTTCCAGAACTAAGAGACATTAGTCAAAGTGCTTCACAAACAGAAGGTCCTGCATAGAATTCTAAATTTATACTGGAAGTCTGACTCCAAAACAAGAAAATTCCTACAGGGAATACAATGGACATTGTTTTTCACTACCTTAACCTTTTAATAATAAAATACATCGGAAAGGCCAAACAAGCGTGCCCTTACCAGCTATGTCTTTTCCCGGGTCTGTGCCGCTCTCCGTCCAAGACTGAGAGTCGGTGAGAAGGTGGCTCTGGGACTCTCGCCACGGCTTGGCAGGAAACTGGTGGTTTTCAGGACTGAAGGACAATCATCACCATCACAAATCGTTACATTAACTCGCGACAGTATTGAGGGGAGTGTTTCCCAAAGCAGGGAACTCGAACGGCTTGCCGTGCAAGGTAACTATACAACAGGAGTTACCCGAGGGAGTTTGGGGAATACAGGAACAACTCAGTCACACTGACTCACGATGGGAAAAGGGTTCTCTCTTCAGTTCCCTTTTTTCCCAGTTTGCTTTTGACTAGAGTAAGATGACAATCTTTAACTCTGGCAAGTCTTCACTTTTAATACAAAGACTCAGCCTCACCCTCAGGCTTCAGCAGGTAAGGGAATCCAATTAGACCTAACAGCTTTTTATTATCAATTTTACTTTAAGTTATACTTTATTTATTACAAGTTATACTAGTTTCTCATTTATGACAGTGATATGAAGTCTCGTTTAAAAATAAGTCTCCATGCTTATTTAAATATACTCATATTAAAGGAATACATTGTTTTTAGGTGGTGTGTGGATGTGGGTCAAAAATATGAAGGTAATGGTAGAAAGGCAGGTTTGAGGGAAAAGTGGCCCAGTGTTTCTGAAGTGACCTAACTGGTCTTGAACAAAGCATTCTCTGCCTTCTATGAGACTGAAACAACAAACTTGAGCATCGCCTTGCAGGAATGCTGACAACATCTCACATTAACAGGTCTTACAAACCTGGTATTTAATTTGGGAAAATGAAGAGTCTTAAAAGAAGAGCTTAAGTTTTAAAATTTAAGCAGGCATGCTACATATCAACATATTAAATGGTATGAAAAAATAAAATATATACATAAATTAACATTTCACTTAGGAAGAAAAAATTATTGGCAGAGAAACTATTATTTTAGAATACGCCGAAGAACTAATTATAATAATGTTCAAGAGAAAAAAAAACTACTTAAAATTCTTCCAAGAATAATATCACATATTTCAGGTGTCAATAACTGACTTTTTACAGGATATGCTTTTGCACCTTAGTAATTGTCTCATATCTAAAATTTGAAAATATTTCAATTTTGGACAACTTTATTATACCCTTATTCAAAGGTGGAGGGCAAATCTTTAAAAAATATCATCTCCATTCATAGGAAAAATCTTTTACTCTAATTCCTGTTATTCCTTGGAAAAGAGGTCATATGCCAGGTACAGCCTACAGATTAGATTGGTCAAGGTGAGAACACTCATTAGCCTTTATTGTGAGTGAGATGGGACATCAACGGAGGTTTCTGAGCAGAAGAATGACAAAATCTGATTTATGTTTTACAAGGATCATGCTGACTCTTCATGGAGAACAGACTGGAGCAGGGCAAAAATGGAATCAGGAAGATCAGTCAGGAAGTGAAACCATTCATGTGAGAAATGATGCAAGAGAGATTCTGAGGGTGCAGCTGACAGGGCCGCAGATGGAGTAAGTGAGGCAACTGCAAGACAGGAACCTGCAACGACCCCAGAGTTTCTGGCCTGAGCACCTGGGAGGGCGGAGGTCCCGAGGACTGATTCAGCGATGGAAGAATCGGGGAGAGTCAGGTCTGGTGTGGGCGTGAGGGCGTGGGTGGCTGGAACCAGGGTGCTGCTTCGCAGCTGCTGAGCGGGCGATGACTTTTAGACATGTAAGTGGGAATGCTGAGCAGACAAGCAGTGATGCAGTCGGAGCACAGAGGAGACACCAGAATTAACCACAGAAATTTTATATGGGCTAATCAGGGGAAATCAGAAACTTGTGTAGAAGACACTTTGTCTGTCAAAATCCAATCTCAACATTTAAAGGGAAGGAGAAGGCTGGTTGCTTGTCCTCTTCAAGATCACCTGGCTGGGTAACAGGGCCAGGACTGGGATTTCTCCCAATACCCACGGTACACTTGGTGGGAAAGATGTTCTCTCTAAAACCCAAACAGTCTTAAACTACAAAAACCACTTAATGAAGATAAAAAGCATTATTGAAACCTACTGTTAAAGTTCATAAAAGCTATGAAAACCTAACAAACCACTTATTAAAACCGAGGTATAAGAAAACCCACGAACATTTAGCTGTGCAATTTTCAAGCCTGAACTTAAGGGAGCGCGACCCAGCAAGACTCTAGTGCCTTTGAATGTCCCTGTGAAACACATCACAGTGGCCTCCTCGTTAACCGCAGGGGTCTGGTCTGCACTTTGCTCCCTCTAGGGGTGGGGTGGCACCCAGGTTTCACCTCATGACAACTGAAAATCCCTTGGCATGGCCGCCAGCATCACTGCCCTGAGAAGCGCGCCGGGGTCCGGCCAGGCTCCACGGGAGGGAGCACTGTGAGCGGGAAGAAATACGCGCCTGATGGGGGAGGGGGGCGCAGGCGCTGTGCACACGGCATTCTGGCCACAAGGGTATCTCTCGGGCTGAACCAAGAGAGGGCTATTATAGTTATGATTTTGCTATCGGATTTCATTAAAAATTTAAATTATGGTCATATTCAAATAACTATCTTTTTAAAAAAGATTTTATTTACTTTTAATTGTATTTTCTTGTTTTGTTTTTTAAAGTATGTTTTATTATTATGCTATTAGAGTTGTCCCAATTTTCCTCCCCATTTTCCCACTCCAGCCAGTACCCCCTTCCCCCCAGCAATCCCCCCCACCCCCGCTTAGTTCATGTCCATGGGTTGTGCATGTAAGTTCTTCAGCTTCACATTTCCTATACTAGTCTTAAAACCCCCCTATTTTGTACCTAACAATTTATGCCTCTTAATCGTTGTACCTTTTCCCACATTTTCTGCCTTCCCCCTCCCAGCTGATAACTCTCCACGTGATCGCCACATCTATGATTCTGTTCCTGTTCTGTTTGCTGTCTTAACAATATAAAAATTAGTGTTTAAAACTGAACCATTCACATATGCATAGCATTTTAAATGTTTAAGTACTTTTGCCTTTTGCTAGTCAGTAGGAAAGTCAGACTCAAACTTTAGGTCTTCCTCAAATTCTTGACAGACTGGAAGAAAAAGGGCCTTACAGCATCCGGGCAAGAGCCGCCAGCCAACACACTTTCAAGACCTTCTCTCTCCGCAGGAAAGGCTCCACCAATACCGAGAGGTCTTTAAGAGCATTAAGAATATGGTGCACATTGCGAATGAAACTGCCAAGCAGGTGTCTGAGATTGTGTTTGGTTGCCCAAGGCCTGACCCAGGGTAGTTTTCTGATCTCCTTTTACCAGTTACCCAAGAGGAAGGACCGGGAGAGTCAAAGGAAAGTTAACCCTCAACCTGTTCACCTGATCGCTAAGGAAGCTAATTTGGACCGAGTTTTTTTTCTTTGAAGCACTGTATGTTTAAAAATCATAACACATTTCAGTCAACCAAAGTGTAGAGACAATGAACACCTGTTTGCCCACCACCCAGATCAGTAATGGGATTTTACCAGTAGAACTGAAGCTGCCTGTACTCTCCTCCCTCCCTCATTCCAAATGGAAACCAGTGTACGATGGTAAATTATCTTATGTTCTTAATTTTTTCAAAAAAAAAAACCCATAACCAAAGGACACCTGAGCACAAAATATATTACTCAAAAGGAAAATAGAAAAAAAAATATGGGATTACTTTTTAGATGTTGAATTCAGTCCTGCAGGAGTAGATGGTTGTTCGGGATCTTGGTTAACGAGGCAAGTTGGAAAGGAGCAGCCGTCACCTAGACTGTAATTAAAATAAAACTTACAACTGAGCAATAAAAAAAGACAGCAGAGAGAAACTCTGTTAAAGAAAGGGCTAACGTCGGCGAGCAGAGCATGCTCATACCATGGACAAAACGTGTATCAGACACTGGTTTCAACAGTGTGTCTAGGGAGATGATAGATGAATTGATTTCCACATTGACATAATAGTGAATCACAAAATAATACTTAAAAAAAATAGGAGTTCCTGTGCAGAATAACAGAGTTCCTTGGTTGAATTACTTTCATTAGTTTAAAACCTGAAAATTTGCACAACAAAATACCTTGAAAAAATGGGTAGCAACCAGTACTTCTTCTCATCGCCAAAAACTTGTCGCATATTTTTACTGAAACCCAAGCTGAATCCATTCTTATCTGTTCCATGTCGAAATACTGGACTTCTAAATGCCTCTACAAAAGATAGTAGAGCAATTCCATGAGTAAAGTACTGTTAGCGATAGTACATATCAACTAGTAACCAGTATGTTCAGAAGTGACTGAATTAAACGAGGAACCTTGAAAAATCCATGGATAGCCCCTTGTGAGTGCTAATGTGCTTACCAACAGCTCAGCAATATAGACTGTCTGTTCTGTTTTAAAATAATCAGATAATTACATTTATTTTAAGTAACCTTTTAATTAGTACAGCAGCTCATCTGCATTGCTGAACATTAGAAAATACAAACAGGCAAGCAAGTTAAAACCTTACATTTTTTCAATCTGTTTTAGATAGATGGATGGATGGATGGATATAGATATATATATAAATCTACATAGTTTTTTTTTTTAACAAAAATGAGAGTGTACTTTACCTACATTGTAACCTGCATTGTACAGTCAGTAAGTTACATTTTCCAATCTCTTTAAAATTTTATCTCCCCCAATAATACCTTTTTTTCAGCTAACCAAAAATGTACTTTAAAGCTTGTTTGTCCAAACCAAGATCCAGTGCAGAATCATACACTGTATGTGGTTACGTCCACTTGGCATATGGAAGCTGAGGTTCAGAGAGGCTGTAGGACTTGCCCAAGGTCACACAAAAGACAAATGTCAGAAACCTGAACAAGAGCATCCCATAATGCCACATTTTTCACTGAGATGTAAAAATCTAAAATTTCATTTTTTGGATATGAATAAATATATAAGTGTAATGAGTTTTGCCCATTATTTAAAAAATAAAACCCTAACTAAGCAGAGTCAAGGTGCTATGCAAATTGTGACAATTTGCAAGATTCTTACTTAACCTTTGTCACCCTAGGTTTTGTAGCTTTATATAAAAAATTTGTATAATTAGAGGGCCATAGTGTCCAGAGGAAGTCCTTCCAGTGTTACAAAGTTCAATCAACACTTTTTAGATGCTAAAAGCTTCTAGAAACAATTCATTTACTTATGATGAATTAAAATTTAACTGTCCAACATATTTTTTGAAATAAGGTACTTTGTTTAAAAATTACTTATACCAATTTTCACCCTATCTGCTATATGAAGACTTCACCTGAATATTAAAAATTATCATTCACTGACTATAGGAATGTTTACTGACAGTTATAATAATGGAATCTCATGGTTTGAAGTGTCCTTTGAGGTCATAAGGATTTATAAACTGTGGTTGTATGCCCAAATTCCTAACCTTAGTCCAGAAGACTCTATTTAGCTTAGTCTCTGCTTACTCATCAAACCTCATAGCATGTTTTTGTTTTGAGCTTTCTATGTTCCGACCATGTGGATAGTGTTTCAAACATTGCTACCTCTTTTTCTATAAGGCTTCTTTAAAAATTGAGGTGAAATTCACAGAACTTATGTCCAGTCTATCAGTGTTTAGGCCCTTTAAATTGAACAATTCAGTGGCATTTAGTACATTCACAATTTTGTGCAACTACCACTTACATCAAGTTCCAAAATAGTCTCATCACCCCAAAAGAAACCCTATGCTCATTAGGCAGACACATGTTGTAGCATATATTTCAGTACTTCATTCCTTATCATGGCTGAATAATAATCATCTATATCATATTTTTTCTACTCATTTGATGGGCATTTGTATTGTTTCCACCTTCTGGCTAATGTGAATAGTGCTGCTATGAACGCTGGTGTACAAATATCTCTTGAATTACTGTTTTCAATTCTCTTGGGTACATATCTAAGAGTGGAGTGGCTGGGTCATAGGGTAATTCTGTATTTACCATTTTGAGGAATGGCCAAACTGTTTTCACAGTGGCTGCACAATCCTATATTCCCACCAGCACTATGTGAAAGTTTTGAATTCTCTACATCCTCACCAGAACTTGTTTTTTTGCTTTTTGCTTATAGCCACACCGGTGGGTGTGAGGAGGTGCCTTGCTGGTTTTCAATTTTACTTCCCTAATAACTAATGACACTGAGCATGTTTTCATGTGTTTTTTGGCTACTTGTATATTTTTTTTTAGAGAAATGTCTATTCAAATCCTTTGCCAATTTTCAGATTGGGCTGTGTGTCTTATTGTTGTTGAGTTGTAAGATTTATTTGCATATTTTGTATAGTTGGCCCTTATTAGATATATGATTTACAAATATTACTCTTATTCTTCAGGCTATTTTTTTACTTTTTTGATAATGTCCTTTCATGCACATTTTAAATTTCGATAGTGTCTAATTTAATCATTTTCTTTTTCTGTTGTTTATGCTTTTGGTGTTATACCTTAGAATTCATTACCATATTTGAGGTTCTGAAGATTTATCCCTATGTTTTCTCCTAATAGTTTACAATTTTAGTTCTTCCATTTAGGTCATTGAACCCATGAGTTCATTTTTGAGTTCATTTTTGTATTTGGTGTGAGGTAGGGGACAAATTTCATTCTTTTTCTCCCAGCATCGTTTGTTAAAGATACTATTCTTTCCTCATCAAATGAATGGTCTTGCTACCCTTGCTGAAAATCAATTGGCCAAAGATATATAAGTTTAGTTCTGGACTCTCAGTTCTATTCCATTGGTCGATATCTCTATCCTTATACCAACACCACACTGTTTTGATCACTTAGATTTGTATTAAGTTCTGAAAACAGTTAAGAACTTTGTGTGTGTGTGTGTGTGTGTGTAGTTTCTGCTCTTTAGAGCCCTTGAAATTCCACAAGAATGTGAGGACCAGCTTTTCTATCTCTGCAAGAAAGTCCTTTCAAAATTATATAGGAGTTGTACTGGACCTGAAAATCACTCTGAAGTATTGCCATCTTAACAATATTAAGTTTTCTGATGCATGAACATGGGAAACTTACCATTTGCTTAGGTCTTCTTTTGTGTCTTTCAGCAATGCTTTGCAGTTTCAGTCTTCTAGTCTTGTACCAACCTAATTAAATTTATTCTTAGGTATTTTACTATTTTGGATACTTTTGTAAATGAAATTGTTGCTTTAATTTTTTGGATGGTTCATTGCAAGAGTATAGAAATGCAACTGACTTTCAATCCTGTGTCGTGTGACACTTCAGGTTTTGTTTATTAGCTGTAAGTGTTTTTACTGTGGATTCTTTAAGGTTTTCTATATGTAAGATCATGTCATCTGTGGAAAAGGATAGTTTTAATTCTTCTTTTCCAATTTGGATGCCTTAATTTCTTTCTCTTGGTGAATTTCTCTGGCTAGAATGTCCATTACTGTGTTGAAAACAGCAGTGGAAGACAGCATCCTTGTTTTGGTCCTAATCTTAAAGAGAAGGTTGTCTTTTTTCACCGTTGAGTATCATATTAGTTGTGGGGTTCTCATAAAGCCTTTTATCAGATTGAGGAAGTTTCCTTCTAGTCTCAGTTTGTTAAGTGTTTTTATCATGAAAGGGTATTGTATTTTGTCAAACACTTTTTCTGTATCAGTTACAATAATCATGTGGCTTTACCCTTCATTCTGTTAATGTAACATTATCACAGATTGACTTTTGCATATTGAACCACCCTTGCATTCCTGGGACAAATCTTCCTTGGTCATGGTATGTGGTCCTTTCACTGTGCTGTTGGATCTTGTCTGCTAGTATTTTATCAAGGATTTTTGCATCTATGTTCATAAGGAATATTGGCCTGTAGTTTTCCTGTGATATCTTTCTCTGGCTTTAGTATTAGTGCAATGCTGATCATATAGAGTAAGTTAGAAAGTGTTTCCCTCTCTTCTAATTTTTGGCAGAGTTTGAGAATTGGTGTTAATTCTTCTTAAATGTTTGGTAGGGTTTACCAGTGAAGTCCTCTGGGCTTGGGCTTTTCTTTGTTGGCAGGTTTTTTAATACTGATTCAACCTCCTTACTTGTGATTTGTCTAGTCAGATTTTTTATTTCTTCTTGAGTCAGAGTAGTAGTTTGTGTGTTTCTAGAAATTTATAAATTTCACCTGGGTTACCTAATTTTTTGATGCACAATTGTTCATGGTTATTTTCTCATAATCCTTTTTTATTTCTATAAAGTTGGTTTATAGAACCAACTTTCAATTCTGATTTTCATGATTTGAGTCTTCTCTTTTTTTTTCTAGCTGTCAGCTTATCAAATTTGTTATTTTTCAAAGAATCAACTATTTATTACATTGCTCTTCTATTTTTAAGTTCTCTACTTCCACTATCCTTACTATTTCCTAACTTTACTGGCTTTGGGTTAACTCTGTCCTCTTTAAGGTGTAAAGTTATTGATTTGATTTACTTCTTCTTTCCTAATGTAAGCATTTATAGACATATATTAATTTTCCTCAATGCACTGCTTTTGACCATCCCTCCCCCATCAGGCTTTTGAACATCCTGTCCTCTCTGCCTGAAATGTTCTGGCTCTTTCCATGACTGACTTCTTAGGTTAAATATGTTTTATTTCAGTGAGCTTTTCCCTGACCTCTCAGCTAAACAGGTACCATTCTACCATCCTCTGCCCTTGATTGATGCCTCAGCATCCTGTTTGTTTCCTTTAAAGCATTTTGCATGTTGTAATTACTTTTATGCTTGCTTAATGATTTTTCTATGCCCCTCAATAAGTTGTTTTGCCCTTGCTCACCACTAAATATACACAACACTTTACATACAATGGACAGTCAATAAATATATTAAATGAGTGATTTTCTGTGTATGTTTAAATAAGTGACATCCCACAAAACAATGTGTGGAATAAGAATGATTTTTACCACTTCAGGTAGTCTGGTCTTTAATGATATGGTGATTTTTGATGAATATCTCTTTATATATGTAAAGTTCTTTTAACTACAGTAATTGGATACTCACCTAATGTAGACTTATTTTTGCTGACTAGCCAACAATGATAGCCAAACAGAGAAGACAAGCTGACAGAAAACATAGCTGCAGCAAAGAATAAAAACATAATATGGAACTTGGCTTGAGTATCAGGTAGACCATTCTATAAAGAAAGGAAGAAAATGAAATGTTTTGTCAAAGGGATAAGAATTCCCCTACTTTTATAAGTAAGATTTTTTTTTTTTGCTTAAAATTTTTCTAAATTTAGTTATGGAGAAAGATACATAGCTTAATGTTAAAACTTTGAGAAAAAATATATAGCATCAGATTAAAATAAATGTTTAACTGGAATATAAATATATATGGACAAGATATTTAAACTTGGGATATTTATTTTGTTTGGCATAACCAAATGATAGAAAAACTGGTAGTGTGTGTGTAAACTATAACAGAAGAAAGCAAGATAAAAGAACTATAAAATACACTTTTGAATTTACTACTTGAACATGTTAACATTCTACAGATTTATAAATAGTTTTATTAAAATGCCAGAAAAGGAAGGTTAATTGGCACAATTTAGCTACCATATTCGCTGATGTTTTACTCTACTACAAACAACAGCATCAAGAACACATAGAAACAACACACCCACAGTACTGCTTCAGGCTATTGTAGATAACAGCATCACAGGAAAGATAAACACTAGAGTATAACACCTGTCTAAAATATACCTTACAATACACATGTGATAGGACAGGCCATCTCCAAGCAAAGCCAGTCTGCCTCCCACTGTAGGTTTTGTCCAAGGGGACTGGACTCAGTCTACAATGGCAGGCTGGGGGCTATGAACCCTCGGGGAGGCTCCAGCGCTGCTGGGGGCTGTCTCCTTCTAATAGAAGGTGACACTGTTTCAATACCCTGTAGTATCTGTCAGATAGACACAGGTCACAAGATCTCACTGACAGCTTTTGACAGCAGAGTCCTAAGAGTGAAAACTCTGGTTATTTCCTTACAAATACAGGGTGGTTGGAACTAACCCCATTCCCATGACGGAGGAGCAGTGGGGTGACATTCTCTCAGACATCCATTAGGGGTCATTCTTCAAGCTGGACACAGGAAGTGTACTTGAATGCTGGAGCATGTCCGCACACCTGTGTATTCCTAGTGCTTTGCAATGTAACTGGCACATAGTAGGTGTTCAATAAGCCTTTAGTAGCGAATGTGTTTAAAGTCACACATACATGATCTAGCAATTGAGAAAGTCTTACTGTAATAATTTCATGAACATAATAAAGCAATCCTGGCAGGGGACACTGGAGTTTTACCATTGTTTAGTATTCATGAGTATCTTTGGATATTTAAAATACTCAATTTTAATTTTTTTGCTTACATTTAAAATAAATAATGCAGAAAACAATTGAGTTACTTAAAGCCTAATCAATCAATACCTAATAAAAATTCAAGACATTATAGATATAATAGTTAAAAAGATAATCTTTTTACACATAAAGAAAACACTTACATTTTTAAATACTAAAAAGAAAAAATCTTATATAGTCAAGTCTTGTTACTTTCCGTGGTTCTGTCCTATACAGTTGCCGTGAACACTGAATCGTCATCCCAGGGTGAATACGGGGTTCGGTTCCAGCAAGCCTCTGATCACAACATTTTTGTCAAGACATAACCTGTTTTTTTGTGTGTTTGCACTTAAAGACACCTTACTGACCACTTATTCAACATTTATTGTTGATTAATTAACACAGAACTCACACTCAGTGTCACTATAGCTCATGCCTGAAGGAAGCTTATTCAACACACCTGTTTTCTCCATAAAGCACATCACACTGGTGCTCAGAGACACTAGACGGTACTTTCTGCACTGTGTGAAGACCATTTTAAACAGAAATGACCCACAAAAAGCACAAAAATGCAAAAAAAAAAGGCAATAAATAGACTGAAAAGCACACTTGGGTAACATTATGAGAGTTGAAACAAGAAGACAGTCTCCTTGTTTGATCTCAACTGGGAACGTGCACACTGGGCCAGGCGAACTTTGGGCCGCTGTGCGCATGCCTGCAAATGACTGCAAGAGCTCTGTGAGTATTGATTAGGGGGTAACAGAGAAACTTCAGCTAGAAGGTAAATTCACAAATACAGAATCTGCAAATAATGAGGACTGACTATAAATGATTTTATCCAATTCTATAACATCAGTGTCTGAAATAATTCACTAATGCAAAACTATATTATATATTGTTTATACCTAAAAAGCCAACAAGATAATAACTTACTGTCCAAAATTTGATAAAATACTGTAAATCTGTAGCAGCGATAAAAAGGCAGTACAGCAGGGAATAAGCCAAGAAAAGAAGGAAAAATTTATAATTTGAAAATCCAACACAATTGTTCACCCTGTTGACAAAACAAAAACATTTTCAGTGAGTTTTACATTTTCAGCATAGGTATATGTATGTTCTCCCTTAACACAGCATGTAGTTTCCTATCAATTAAAATGTATTGGCATTTCTTAAGTATAACTCATAAGATTTCTTTACATATATAAATATTTTAAAATGTCCGTGTCACTAAAAAGAAGTTCTGTTTAGATTTTTAAAATGTGATATGTAAATAAAATAAAATAAAATTTGATATGTATTATTGCTTTAATTAATCTTGAACCGTGTAACTATACAATTGACCACTGAACAACACAGGCTTGAACTGCACGGGTCTATTGATGTGCAGATCTTCGTTTAATAAATATACAGTCAGCCTTCCGAACCCCCAGGTTTCGCGTCCACGGATTCAGCCAATCTGGGATTGAAAACAGTACTCTCAATACATGACTGGGAAGCAATGTGACCCAGGTATGTGGGTATGCGATCTTAACTCTAAAAACTCTGGAGTCTTATATCTGTTCCCCTTCACTTCTTTAATAGGGTCTGCCAAAATTAGAAAGATTGTCAAATTTTACTATCAGTTTCCTATGGAGTCAAATTAATTGCAGGTTTAGAAAAGAGGCTATATAGTAAATTAGTATGTTCTCTGTCTGTCATTTCTGTGAATATATCAAGGACATGGCAGGCTGTACAGGCGTGGGCTAATCTGGGATTAATCTGATTGTTTCCACCGCATCACAGTCCCTGATTACTTAACCAGAAAAATCAGACTCCACTCTATGCCCCTGATTTCTTGACCACTCTGCTAAATTCTATCTAGAACATACCTCTATCCAGAAATAAGGGTATGTTACTGTGGGTTCCCCCTAAAATAGACCCTGAGACAAGAACCTGAATACAGTGCGTTTGAAACAAGGGAAGGAGAGGACTCAGAACAGCAGGGGGCCTTGCGCAGGCCCCCTCTGGTTGACAGTGGCCCCTCAAAGCATGAACGCCCTCCCGGCACCTGGGAGTAGAGCACACCCCCCAGGCAGAAGGGGGCCCTCGGGCAGAGCCGCCAAGAACCAGAGGAGCCTCGGGTACGGAGCTGTCAGCAGGCCCGGGAGCTGCCCCTGCAGGTGCAATGGACTCAGAGGGGAGTCGGGGTGTGGGGAGGGGGCACACTGGTAGCGTGTGCTACGCGGGGGTCAGCAGAGGAAGGTAAGGAGGATTAAGGCTACTTATAATTAAAGATACGGGGGGAGGGGACTACTTGCTGAGAATTTGAGCAGAGTGACAATGAGGAAAGGAAAAGAATGGATACAATGAAAATGAATACAAAATGGAGGTGAGTTACTGAGATCCTTGTTGAGAAGAGCATCGTCATAGGCGTTAAGGAGCCCTGACGTGTTAAAGGAGAAAATCTACGTGGACAAAAGGAACAGGTGTCCTGGAGAGGGATACAGAAGACAGTAAACCTGACATTCTCCCATGGTTCCCTGCAACGAAGATATTCATTCCCCGTGTGCACATGTTTCAACCCACAACCAGCGTCACCTTCTCAAGTGCCACCCCTGAGAGGAGACAAGACTGTGGAACAGTCATGCTTACTGTCCAAATCCAACCAGGCTGACAACCTCAGTGTGGCTGCCCAAGTGCACACTGGGATGAGAAATTACAGGGAAAGGTAGAAAAACTCACCTTCATTAGTTAAGTAAGTCTTTCAAATAATCCTCCATTAAGCCACCTAATTTCATGACTTAGAAATATTTTTTTTAAATATTAACAAATTCTAAGTGGAAACCCTTATTTCAACATATGTGTGTATTTGCATATTTGCTACTCTACTCATTAATGCCAAGGTTTATGTAAAATAAATTGTTAAAGTTTTAGATGAATTAGTAATGAGACACTTCCCATGAGTACATTCAAGTGCAATTTCTGGGGAGTACTTTAGAATTTCTGTATTTATGCATCTGCTTACAGAGCTAAAGCCATGTATTCTCAGAAAATACGAGAAATTAACTTTCAAATTGTTAAGCTACTAGTTTTAAAATTATTTCATGGAAATTCTCCTGAATAAAGACTTTTGAACTAATTAAACCAATACTAGAAATTAAAGATGAAAGTACCTCCAAGATCAGCTAAGGCAAGATCTCATTCATAAAAAGGTTCAAACAGAGAAATGATTCCATTTATTAACTTGTTTAAGCATAGACACAGACTCACCATGGGCAATGATGATCCATCTTCAAAATGCATCTAAAAAAAACCACACATACACAACACTTAACATCCCATAAAAATTTAGTCCCATTAAAAAATATGTATATATATGTAAGTTACTTCAAAGGAGTTGTAGCAAGTGAAATATTACAAAATTATTTCTTTATCTACAAATTGAATAATAGCAGAAGTCCTCACCTAAAATTAAGATGATAACCAGTTCCAGGTATGATACAATAAGAGAACTTTCAATTCAAATATACATGCTTTAAGCAATGCAATCTAAAAGCAATGCAATGTGTTAACATCCAACTATGTTATGCTAAAGAAAATGCTAAGTATCAACAGATTTACAGAAAGTCTGGATAAAACTTTCCTTTATTATCAATCCTGAAGCCAAGTAGCACTGTTCTTGTGGTTAAGGTAAGTATAGAATAACATCTGACTCTCACGAAGTCAATTGAGTCATCTTTACAAAGACTGGAAAGAGTCACAAAAGAAATATTTACTAATTCAAACCAGCCAGGTCTGAGCTGCTAAAAGTCACACACTTCATTCATGACTGTGTGAATCTGGGGGAACAGGGACAACTGACTTTGGCTCTACTACACCACACTTGTTATGACTGCAAGTGATTGTGCCAGTTTCATTTCCTAAATAAAGGATAAAAGGAAATAATCTGGAAAACAGTGAGAAAAGAAGCATATTCAATAAAAAGATCACGAGCCTGTAAACATTTGAGAAATAACAGATTTTCATACTTATCACAGACGGAGCAGTGGTGGCAGCGATCTGGTTTGATAAGCTGGCATCTGTCACAGTAGCGGATTGCTGGGAACAAGAAGCTCCACTTAGCCTTCGACTGAACAGCGAATTGAACATGCAACTCAATGGCTCTTATTGTCTATTCAAATTTAAACTTGGTAAAAATGAGATGTTGAAACACTTCCATGGAATGACTTGCCTACAGTCTCAGTTCTCTGGAGGGGCTTCCCACAGACAGAGAATCTTTGGGGGAAATTTTTTTCTAGGGATCTTCAGTTTTCGGTAGTTATCATAAGGCCCACAAAGGGTGTAAATATGTCCATTTCTATCTCTGTAACCAGAGTGTCTCTCTCAGTTAAATGAATTATTCCCTGTACCCTGCCAGGGAGGGGATACAACCGCGTTATAGAAATTTTATGCGAAACACATTTTAGAAATTTGTGAATAAACTCTCACTCTCTTAGCTCCTTAAATTGGGAAAGATCTCACATCTCTGTTGGGTGAGGTACAAGCTCAGAAGCATTAGAAGAAGTACTTCCAATAAGAATTGCAGTTGTTGTAACTGAAGAGCGGACCCTTCGTTCTCTAAAGCAGACACCAAGGCAATTATAACGACCGATTTGGCGAGGCTCTTGCAGTCCCAGGCATCAGGCCAGGGCGCAAGCAGGCTACCGAAACCACAGGAGAGCAGTTACTGAGTGGGCAGTCCAGGACGACCAGTATGACCAAACCTCCGAACTGAAAATTTGGAAAAAATAACTTGCAGTAAATGATTACCAGGGTTATGTTAGCTAACATTATCTCTGAAGAGGGAAACAGTTGCTTTAAACTAAGAATGAAATGAGCTCTCCTTAGGCAACAGGCCTAGATGGAGGTGTCATCAATACTGAAGTGGGTTCTTGGTCGCCCTCACTCCTCCCCTCGTCAGGAGCTGCTGCAGCGGCCTCGCTGCTCAGCTCCTGTGGGGAGAGCCCCGCAGGTGCCTTCCAGGGACACGACAAGGCCCCACTGGCTCCCGCACAGCGCGGAAGCAGAAGGCAGGCGGTGCTGTCCAGACAAATACAATGTCACCCACACGTGTGCTTTTACATTCTCTAGGAGCTACCTTAAAAGAACTGAATACCCAAAGTATTATTTTAAGGGATAATCAATATAAAAATATCAGTAACATATTTTATGGGGTTTTTTTTTCATAGCAACTCTTTGAAACCTCTTATGTACTTGACATTTTACATTTTAAGTGCTTGGTAGCCGCCTGGGACTGGCAGCTCCATAGAGGGCAGCACGGTCTGAAGTCACAAAATTTCCACGTAACGTGGGGTGGGCTACACTGGGTTCTCTCCATGTGGTGCGTGTCTCTATTTTAAAGCACCCTCAGAAAAAAACTTTCAAAGCAAAGTGGGCAATAACTCACAGGAAATCAAAGCAACATAGAAATAAGTTTTCCATTTATAATAGTCTTTTATAAACCAATTTAGTCTTTCAATAAAAATCACTCCATGTACCATATTATGTTCAATTAAAATCATCCCAGTGTCATTTAAAATCAATGAACTGATTATCGTTTAAAAACTCCTTACAACCAAGGAGGGATTTTATTTTAACTGTCTTGTTTGAATTTTTAAAGAATTTATTTATCTGTTACTTATAAAATTAAAAATTGTGTTAATAAATGTTGAAAAGAAAATATTATTGGCATCTATGTACAATGGTAAACTAATTACATCTACCATAATTGTTATCTTCCTAGTCAAACACTACAAGTTTTTTTTTTTGTAGGAAAAAGATCAAGAGCAAGTACAGAGCTAAAAATGTAAATAGTCCTCATTAATAAAAATAAATAATAATGTAATAGAGTTTGAAGAGCCCTGTTAGAAAGCAGAAGATGGGTGGATCAGCAGAATGCACAGAACAGAGAAGTGAGGTGAGCAGACCATTTTTTCTTTTTTTACATTTTTTAAATTATATTTTTCCCATTATCATTTATCCCCCTTTACCTTCTTCCACCTCCGCCTCAGTTGTGCATATTCTACTTCAAGCACATCTTGCCCGAGGCTAGCCACAGTTTCAGTGCTCAATAACCACATGGGGCTAGGGGCTCCCAAAATGAGCAGCACAGGTCTAAAGTCACACACGGGACACATCTTTGGTAGGCAAGAGTCAATAGCCTATGTGTGTTAGTTCTCGGGACAATTCTTTAATTAGACAGCGGTTAAAGTATCTTAAACATCTGACCCAAGTAAAAGAGACTTGTTATTTGAGTTGCATTTGTTAAAAAATCACCATAAATTTTAAAGATGAAAAATTGTACCAATACCTTAAATTACGTTTTATATAATTTGTATGGTTGCTGTTGCAAAGGCATTTAAATGATCAGTGTTATGTTCATTGTAGCTATTGCTCCTTTAAATTAAATTAAATAAGAATAGGAAGGTCTACAATTAAAACCTTAAAAACAAATACTACTACAAATCAAGATTTCAGCCAGTTCACGGACTCACACCAAGTAGGTAGAACTTGCAAGTAGGGCCGGTTGTGATTTGGTTAATATCCCTGAGCCACATGAGATTCATGCTTCCATTGTGTTTTATGCAACTGTGCAGTACAGATTTAACAGCTATCAGAGATACAGCACAGTGTTTCCAATGAGTGTTTGACAGTTTCAAGTATATAAATATGCTCTCTCAGGAGCTACCGTGCAAAGCACTGGTAACCGATGTCTACCTCCAGACATGGTCCTGGTGCAGATGGGAAGATCTTTGGCCGCTCGCCTAAGAACTTCCTGATGGGCTTCTCCCCTTGGCTCTCTCTCCAGCAACTCTTTCTCTGCATAAGAGAGATGGAACTGTGGAATAGATTTAAGTTTTGATCAATATTTTCAAAGGAACAGTAATATATCGATCTAACCCAGAAAAAGACATTTATAAAATATTAGTGGTATGTAGTATATAAATTTAGAGAGATAATAAAGCTTGAAATCTGGGCAAGTCTGTTAGCTTCTCAGGTTATTAGTTTATGCATCTAGAAAATAGAATAATAATAATACCCACTTCCTCAGATGTTTGTGAAACTCAAGAGGAACAGAGAGTGTAAAAGTGCTTTATAAACTATAGAGTTCTATCCAAATATTAGTTATCTTAAGAGGTAAAATGGCAAAATAAACAAATTTGGCTCAATAGATGAATTTTTAATTGGATATCATTAGAACAAAAATAGAAACAAATCTATCATGCGTGTTTTCTCATCTGAGTTTTAACATAGGGATAATTAATACATGAATTCTCTTCCAGCACTCAAAATGAACTAATCACTACTTTTACTTCTTATACTTCCAATTTGGCCCAACCAATTAAAAAATAAGTATTTGAGGAAAGATGTAAGTTTATTTGGGCTCCAATATGATAATCACAAAAAACAGCTTTAAAAGTCTGTTTGAACTTTCTTACTTTCTGGGATCATAGGATGACTCACCTTCAATACTTTCTATTCTAGTTCTAGAATCAGCTATTTCTCCAAGGAACCTTTGTTCCTTTTACTGAAGAATGGTATTAGAAACCAAGATCTGGGCTCAAATATAGTTTTTAGATTAAAAAAGTATAACTTTAAAAGGACATACCAATTAATAAAAAAAACAGAATCTAATAACAAATAGAAAACTCACAGAACTCTATTTCCTTTTTGCTAGTTGTTTTAAAGTTAGAACAAAAACAAACATATAAATGCCTCACAAGTACCAAAATGAACAAATTAAAACAGAACTTTTCTTGGGGGGGTCTATGAAGTTGGCAACAGATTTTTTAATAACATGCAATGCCAAGGGTCCGATAAATCTAAAAGCATAATATGTAAATCCTTTTGGGAAGCAATTTGGCAAGTGACTTAAATTTTCTTGATCTAGTGATTCTGCCTATGAGAACTTATACTAAGAAAATAATCCCTAAATGGATACTGCTCTGTGTACAAAAATGTTAACAGTATTATCTATATATGAAAAGTTGGGTTGAGTCTGAAAATCCAAGTTGCGATGTGACTGAGGAAATGTTTATGTTGCAGTGAGAATATTTTGCTATTATTAAAAGTGAAAATAAGCCAATGATGGGCTATTACATGAAAAAAAAATAACTGGAAAGAAATTCAGAATATAAAATGAATTAGTGTGGTGGGATTTTTTTTCTTTTGTCTTTTGACTAGTCTTCATTTTCTAAATGTAATTTTGGATGGTTATATTACTTTTATATTGGGAAAAAATCTTACAAATTGAAAAATCAATTTAACAACTGGCTATGAAAAAAGTATATTTTAATTCATGTGTTCCAGATCTCTTACATTTTCTCAATAATGTGAAAAATATAAATATTATTTTCCTGTATTACTTCTTTTACTTTTTTAGGCCCATTTCTCGAAGATGTTTAGTGCATGAGAGCACGGTATTGTCAACTTAAGTCCAGGACCCTCAGTTTACAAGTGAGAAGTTTCTGGCTCTAATCAATTAAGAAAATTAGCTCAAGATCTTGCACGTTATTAATGGGATAACTTAAGCTTCTTAACCAGCAAGCAAGGGCTCTTGCTTTCACAACAGGGGTCTCCAAAAACCTTTTACACATGTATTCTTATCAGTTAAAAATAATTTGAGACCACGCTGCCAGTATATGCATATGCATATGTATGTATGTATGGACATGCTATTAGTGAACATGTTATGTACCTTAGATGTGAAATTTTGAAAAGAAGCATTACAAGAATAGCCTCCATATAGAAGTCTTGTCCTTTCCCCTACGCTGCACCTGACGTCCTGAGCACGCTCAGTACCGGCCTGCAGTCTGCGGTGCCGTGACCAGAGTGCAGCCTTCCTGGTTAGCAGGGCTGCGGTGTAAATGTTGGCACGCGACGTGCCAGACGCTAGCATGCGATGTCTTAGGACAGTCAGCTAAGGTTCAGAGCCTATTGCTACATCTGCAAAACGGTAATAAATAATATCTGTCTCACACCGTTCTAGGACTCAAATAAGGTGAATATGTGTTTTGTGGAAAAACCATCGAACGAAGCCCGGGACAGCAGCAGCTTCCCTGGCCTCCATCTCAGCTGCTCCAGCCACACTTCCTGTTGTTCTCCTGCGTTTTGTACCCTTTCATTTTTCCACTTTATCTGACCACTTACTTCAAACTTTCTCTGTTCCTCCAAACCTCAGTCAGCTCCCTCACCATTCTCAGCCAATCACCACACACGTAATTTGAGGGAGAAATCAGAAATCATCTTGACTTCCTGCCTAAGCTATAAATACAAACTTGCATCTGTACACGTAACTTCTTCTCTACTTTGAATTATTTAACAAGTATTTATTGATTACCTTTCATGGGTGAGATACTGCTTTAATACTGGCAATGGATTAGTGAACAAAACAGATAAAGTGCATTCTATTTCAGGGCTTACATTTTAGGGAAGTTATAAAAAGGAATATGAAACATGTTATAGAATGATATGCTATGGAGAAAAATAGAGTAGGGTCTGGTTTACAGAGAATACCGGGGAGGGGAGGGTTTGGCTATCTCACCCAGTGTGGTCTTGGAAAACCTGTAAGACGAGGCACCACTTGAACAGAGGCATAGAGACAGGAAGAAAGGGAGGGGGCTGGTCAAACAGGAGAAGCGTGTTCCAGGCCAACGAGAAATAGCAGGCTTTGTGGAGCCTGCGCAACACGCTGATGGAACAGCCAGGAGGCCGGCGGGACAGATGCGGCCCACAGGAGAACCGTGGGCAGAGGTGCATCCTGGGCCCGGGCCCGTCAGGCTACGGTGGGAAACGAGGTTTTACTCCGTCGGGCTCCCGTATCACAGGGAGGTCCTGAGAAGAAGAGGAATAGAATATGGTCTGTCTTGCTTTTGAAACAATGGCACTGGCTACTGTGTTGAAAATATGCAGAAGAGAGCAAGCCCAAAAGCAAGGAAACCTGTGGGCCGGACTGCAACACACAGGAGAAGGAGGGTGGGGGCGTGGGCCAGAGGAAGCAGTGGGGGCCGGGAGGCGCAGGAGCCCGGGCTGAGGGCCCCTGCCGGGCTGGTTACAGAATGTGCCGAGGGCCTGGCTACGGGTCTGAGGGAAGCACAGTGGCCAAGGATGACTCCAGTGTTTTCGGAACAACTGGACGAATGGAGCTGCCATTACTGCGATAGGAAAACTTTAGAAATCGGGGGGTTAGGGGAGTGGATGGGGAATCAGAAGTTAATGTTTTCAGGTGTGTTGAATTTGAAATTCCTATTAGATGCCAAATAGGTAGCAGTAAACGAGTCTGGAGTTTAGAAGAGAAGACCAGGGTACTGATAACAATTTGAAAGCTATAGTGATGAATGAGATGACATATAAAGCTGTGACGTAAATAGATAAGTAAAAAAGAGGTCCAGAGACTGAGCTCTGGGATAATCCAATGCTTTAGAGGCTTAGGAGATAAGGAGGAACCACTACAAATAAAAATAGAATTATCTGAATGAGAAAGGAGATAAGAATATTCTAGAAAAGAAAAGAATGGCAAGATATACACAGGAAATGACATGTAATTAAGAACTACGAGAGTCACTGTTGTCAGAATAAGGAGCCGGGCCTTTACCCCGTGGGATGCGTGGAGTCACTGAGCAGACATAGCAGCAGAGTGACGGCATCACCGTTGTTTTTAGATGAATCACTCCCGCTTTGAGAGGGAGGATGAATACTTGCACGGTTCCCAGAAGGCAACGCAGGCAAGACTGAAAACAGCGGCACCATACAAGAAGAGACTGCAAAATCTCAGACAAAAGAGATGACTGAGACCCTAAACTGGCTAACTGGGTTGGCTAGAGCATTGTCCTGATGCACCAAAGTTGTGGGTTTGATCCCTGGTCAGGGCACATAGAAGAGTCAACCAATGAAGGCATGGATGGGTGGAACAACAAGTTGATATTTCTCTTTCTCTTTCTCTCTCCCCCCCCCCTCAATTCAATAAATTAAAAAGAAATTTTTTCAAAAGTAAAAAAATAAACAATTAAAAATGACTTAAGTCAATGATTAGGAAGGAGGAAGTTGGAACTAAAAAGGAAATATTATGGAGTGAAAACTGCAGAATTTGGAGGCTGGCAGAGGGGGGAAGAAGCGGGGAGACTCCACCCGGCATGGCGGCCAAGGGTCTGGCTTGAATGGCGAGGTGGATGTCAGCGGCATTAACTGGTGTAAGAAACGGGTGAGTCACAGTTTGGGGAAACGGAGGGTGGTGAACTCAGTTTCTGACGTGTTACATTTGAGGTGTCAGTGGGGTGATCAAGAAGCTCCGGCAGGGAGATATAAGTCTGAAATTGATGGGAGAGGTCAGAAGTAGAAATACATTTGGAAATTTTCAACACAAGAGGCCATAATCATCAGCACAGTGCGTGATGGCACCGGCGACAGGAGCCAGCCATTTCCTTCAAACCCACAAGGAAGGCCAATGAGTGGCGACAGAAAAGAGGTCAATATGACAGCGGGGGGGGGGGGCGCGGGGAGAGAGGTATGAAAAGAAAAATAAATGGACAGTAGGGAGAAAAAGGTTGCATTTAACACCTCCTTGGCCAAGCATACCGTTACTTCTATGCAAGTGCTGTGGTTCTGTTTTCCATGTCCTGCTCCAGGCCATACAGCACATTTATTGGCCTTTATGACCACAGCAACATCTCAAACAGGTCACTTCAGGAAACAATTTCCAGTGATACCCAGACTTTTGTTTTAAGGCTAGCCTAATAATACTACACAACTGTTACCGGAACAAAGCTTTTTTCTATTCAACAAACATGTACTGACCTAAGGGACAAGGATATGAAAATGAGAAAGACACAGTCCTTTGCTGCAAGATTTAACCAGGATTAAAGACCCAAGAACAAATAGCCGCAATGATCTTTCCAAAATGCATATCTGATCATATCACTTTACTTAAAAGCTTCTGTGGCTGAGACAGCCAGCTGATCCTTAATATCCACTCTTTCCTGCTTCTAGCGTGGTTCATATGGCCATCAAGAATGATTACACTCCCAGCCTTCTGTGCAAATAGGTTATGGCCATATAACTAAGCTCTAAATATAAGTGGAAATGGCAATAGCAACTTCTAAAAAGTGTCCTTAAAGAGAAAGATATTTACTTTTACTCTTTCCTACTTTCTCTGTCCTGTTGGCTGGAATGTAGACATGATGGCTAGAACAATAGCAGCCATCTCAGGCCAAAAGGTTCACCTTGGGAATGGAGGCTACACTTACAGAGCACAAAAATAGAAGAAGCCTGGTCTTCTGGCCTAGCTAGAGACTTTGAATGCAGAGATTAGTACAATAATTACTATGCTATACTATAGTGTGTTGTTGTTGTTTGGTGACTAATAGACAACTAACATACCATTAATATGACAATTATAATAGAAGCATGTCTACCTTCAGCTCTATCTATCTATTCATCCATCCATCCATCTTGATGTCTAACTCTAAAGTAGCAATACAACACACAGCAGATTTAAAATTGGAAATATAATACTCATCCAGCGCAAAAATATTTACCAAGTGAAAACTCAAGTATTTACTAATCGACATTAATATTAAAAATTATTACACTCAATAAGTTTACAACATTAATAAAAAAAGACATAAAATTCATTCTCTAGACTTTAGTATTATTGATTTCTAACTTAGGATGACTTTACTAATATTTCAACTTACTTCTTTTGAAGGGTTCATTGGTAACGTAAAGATGGTTTTCCAATACGACCAGACAAACATTGCAAAAAGTAGATGATAAGCAACCAGGCACACAACTGAAGTGAGGGAAACACAATTGTCACTGTAATATGCAAACTGGTATTCACAAACGATCTGCTCTTTCTAAGATGCCAACATTACCAATTATAATAAATGCATTCTATTTTGAAATTTTTAAGTTAATTTTTATTATTGCAAATAAGTTCATTTATATCAGACTGGACTAGGTACAACTCAATGAATGAATGATTATACCTAAAGCCAAGATATGTTTAAAAATCCCTAATAATACATAATTAGATCTATGACTCTGATTAGAGCCCTCCCACCTGTGGGCAGGCCCATCTACTGGCAAAACGGCTCACGGGAACCTTTCCTAAGCTGTGAAAGTGGACAGGTGTGCCTGCACCCCTAACTAACAAGCACAACATTAACCAAATGTCAAAATGTCCAGGCTTTAAGTAAGAACTCTGCTTCATGGGCAGAGAACAGCAGAAGCAGTTCCTATCTGAGATGCTGCTTGCTTACTTGTTTAGCTCTCGTCAGATCTGGTGGTCGTCACTGTTTCAATGACAACGAGTTTAAACAGAGAACCATCTGGATGAAGACAGATTGCTTCCAGTGGAAGTTCAAGTGTCTGATTTATCACATGAGACAACTGTTTAGAAAAACGTTCTGATACTTTTTTCAGGTAATATATATCAACACATTCTGTGTGGTGTTTTATTCTTGAAGTACTGTGTGAATATAAAATATTAATTTGTATACTGTGATGATGATTAATTCTGGGATATACGTTAATATATAATAATTCTGTAAGATACAGTTGAATAAAATGCAGTAATTTAAAATACAGCATATTTGCTATCTTAAAACATTAGCAGCAACTTTAACTTTTTAAAAGGATGATATTCATATTTATAGAACAATTAAAGGATTAAAGTATCCATGAAGGTACTCAAATCAGCGTGAGATATCTAGAGCCGGTGATATTTTCTGAGTTCTGTAGGTGACACAGGCACAGGTGGTACTCTGAGCTGAAACAGGAAATTACTGGTATTCCTGTATCTTGAAGCCACGAGAGCCTTTGGCACAATCACAGCCATTTCAGGGCAGAGGACTTTGCCAAGTGCCGTACAGGACTCGGTCTGGGAACTAAAAGAAGCAGAATTTCTCTGCTTGTCTGCACTTTCTTAAAGAATAGTTTAGTTAACCCAACCAGATCTAAGTGCATTCTATTTGGGGTTTTTTCCAAACTATTTTTAAGATTTTATATCTAAAACAATAATATAATATATTTTACCTTGTTCTCCAATGTTTTCCATGGACACTATAGAAATAGAGAAAAAAAAGAGACAGGAAGTAGGTTAGAGGATGCATGTGGCAAACACAGGGCCTAACACAGACATAGGGCTCCACAGGTTAATAATTGGAACCTCCCTTCAACCCAACATTCTTCAAATATTTGTCCAGCTTTACTCAGAGGAGTGGCGAGCACCGCGGGAGAGGGGCAGGGAGGGGAGACACACTCCGCCGGCCGTGCCTCTACGGGCCTTTCAGCAAAACCTGCCAAGCCGGCCCCTTGGGTCTCACTCCTACAGTAATGGCTGGTTTCTCGCTCTCCCTTCCAGCTAAGAATTGAGATAAAAGTGCTGTTCTCCAGCCATTCCAACTCCAGAGACATTTACTGTTGTTTACAAGATGGCAATCACCTAGTTAGCGCTCTGAAAAGAAAAAATGTTGTGTCCATGCCACACACTCGTTTTCCAATTTCTATAGGCACAAATCCTTGCGCCCAGTGACGAATGGCTCCCTACATATAACAAGGGGCCCGGGCAATGTACCCGAGAAACGGCCACCCCCCAGAGCTGCTGTGAACACCCCAAGGTGGCAGGCAGATTAGCACAGGGGCCACGAGCGAAACCACACGGGGACAAGAAACTGGATTTAGTAGCACAGGCGGTTTTCTTAGCATCTGTGCTGTCTACTCGCTGTATTTCTCATTTGGTCTTGTTCCATTTGTGCTAAAGTCTTTTGGAAGTTCTGGTCTATATCCATTGTGACAAAAGAAGTTTGACGTTCCTTATTTATGTATTGTTCTTATTGGGCTTTTGAAAGGGGGAACAGTGTTCCCGGCCTTAGTCCGGGAACATATAATTCCATGGCCTTAAGAAGCACTGGAATCAGAGCGTAATGCCGTGAGAGATTTTTAAGATCACCCGATCCAACCGACCTCCTTTCCAAGAGAGCTACTGAATATTAGTTTAGGCATTTCTAGAGCCAGCAGGAGCCCACAGTTTTGGAGAGCAGCCCACTCCAATATTAGATTGCTCTAAGAATGATCACAAGACTATTGTGAGCTGAAATTAGCTGTGTGTGGCTTCTACCTATGGTTTCCATGTGTCCAGCCTGTAGAGATAAACAGAAAATCTAAATGACAGACCTTCACATAATAAAAGTTGTGAACTCTTAAACATGTTCTCTTTAGCTGAAATACTACGTGACTTCCAGATTTCTTACCAACCTTGATGTGGCTCCTTCACTCTCAATTTCCTTTAATATTTCTGATCCCCAGAATGGGACTGGCAAACGCAGATGATCTTTGACATGGAAAGGGCCTGTTCTGCACATTTGCTTGTAAGTCAGAGGGCGGAGGTCAGAGTTCACTTTCACAGGGGATCCCAGAAGTGGCAGAGCTGGGCCAGTGGGAGGGCCCTAGGCAAGCGTGTCTGTTACAGCTGACCCTCCCCTCCCTTTACGCAGTCCTCTCTAGGCAATGACTTCCAGGTCTTCAAACGTGCACTGAATTGACTACAGCTCTTCTTTGGATCAAAATTTCCAGTCCTTCCGTGGAGCTAATCTAAAGAACTGGAAAAACAATTTCACTCCATCTGCACACTTATGTACCAATGATTCTTAAAAACCATTCCAGAGGCGCTGGGGTTTTAAAGAAAATGTACTTACTAACTCATGATTCGAGCTGTCAAAATTGAAAAAAGTAACACAAAAGAAAAAGTACAGTTAGCATGATCTGTTCATCTTTTGACCTGGACCACTACTACACTGGCCAGCATGCATGCCAAGACATCGTTTTCAAAGCTGTTTCTCCCCTCCACAGCTTGTTTTTCTTGAAATGTTCTTCAAAATCCACAGGTCCTCTATTTTGTTCCATTAAACAAGTTATACGCACAGACATGGATGCATGTTTATAGTAAATAATTCCAATAACAATTACAGAGTAAAATGTGAAATTCAAAGAGGCTGCATCAATTACACTCCCAGAGAGATACTGAGCCTAAGTTCTTATAAGCATAAAATAAATCTTTAACTTTTGTCAATATCTTAAGTTAAAATAAAAATCACTGCTTTAGTATTGATTTCCCTGATTACTGGTGAAGGTTAGCATTATTTTTAAAATATAACGAGTGCCCTGGCTGGTGTGGCTCAGTGGACTGAGTGCTGGCCTGCAAACCGAAAGGTCGCCAGTTTGATTCCTAGTCTAGGGCACATGCCTGGGTTGCAGGCCAGGTCCCTAGTAGGGAGCGTGCGAGAAGCAACCACACATTGATATTTCTCTCCTTTTCTTTCTCCCTCCCTTCCCCTCTCTCTAAAAATAAATAAAACCTTTTAAAAGTAAATAAAACCTTTAAAATAAATAAATAACATACAATGATTGATTCTTCCTATCTCTTCTGAGTGAATTATCACTTTCCGATTAGTTTGTGTCTCTTACTGAGAACCTTTTATATATTCTGGATGGTAATCCCATTTCTGTTATATATGTTGCAAGTAAGGTTTATATAACTATTTTCAAATGATTTACTATATACTAGCAAAATCTTATGGCTTATCATTGATTAAGTAACAGTGTCAAATGTTTCAAACTGACCTATTTCACTAACAGATACATGGTTTCTACTTTTGTGATACTGAGGACATCAACGGTCTCAAACAGTAGCATTCAAGGATTCGCCTTGTAATTTTTAGCAGAACTGTCAACTTCAACATTTCCTTTCTTATTGTAAAAATACATCAAATACAATGTTATTTTCAAATGCAAATGTTTTGTTCTTAAATGACTGTTTAAAAAAAAGGCTGTAATTTACTCTTGGGGATAAGAGTCCAGCATTATTATCTGAAATAGTTCCTATTCATACATCTGATGATCATCTGAATACATACAATCCTAACACTGTGGGTCACTATTTTAATTTTCATTTCAAAAAAACTTTTTGTCTAATTTTATCTTGGATTAGCCTAACTTCTTTCTGGTCCATGGCCTGCAATTATAACATTGTAAAATTTAAAGATTCCTAACTTTCCAGTGTATTTTCAGAACTCAAAACAGTGCCCTGAGTAGTTACAGTGCAGCGAGGAAACAAGGACTTCGACTGGTTAAGATCCTAAGGAACTGCAGCATTTTCTTGGCACTGAGAGTGTAATAAAAAGAGAGAAAGTGGGAATGGCAAACTATTACCAGAGTTACCATGGAGGGTGCTCCTGTTTGCCAAGAGCAAATGAAGTCCTCGAAGGGTTACATTTGGAATCTGGAGCCATCATAGATATAGCAAGTCTGGCCATTTGGCTGCCAGTTGTTTTCTGGCTCCACTTTCTGCCTAACCTCCTCCTCCCTCATTAATCATTTCTCTAAAAAACAGAGTAGGACACCAGAGGAAAGGCTGAGTTGGCATAGAATGATTAAGAGTTATATTTTTATTGTTGTGTTGATCTTTAAGAAATCCTTGCATAAAAATAAAACAGGTAAAACCAAAGCTGAAGAGTGAGATTAGTAATAACTTCTAATTATTACTAATTATTAATAACCACTAAACTTCAAAAGGATGACAAGCTGTTTCCTGATGCAGCTTGGCTTGAACAAAACATCCTTTAAAATGTACTTTCTCCCATCTCTTTTGCATGCAATATCAAGCAACCATTTAAACCAGGGATTAGTAAATTACAAACCTTGGTCCAAATACAGCCAGCCATCTGTTTCTGTAAATAAAATTGTACTGGCACGCTGACACACCCATTTATTTATGTGGCTATTTTTGCACTACAATGGCAGGGTTAGGCAGGCCCAGGGGACAGCTAACACTGAGGTCCTGGGTCTGCAGGCAGCCTAGAAGCAGAATTTTCTTCAGGGGACCTCAGTCTTTTCTCGGAAGGCCTTCGACGGATTAGATGAGGGCCACCCTCATTCTGGAAGGTAACCTGTTTAACTCAAAAATCTATTGACTTAAATGTTAATTACACCAAAAAATAACTTCCTGTTACAACTAATAGTTGGCTGGTGTTTAATGAAATAACTGGCCACCACAGCCTGGCCAAGTGGACACAAATATTTAATCACCATACCCTAAATCTATAACTGTTTTATTTTAGAAATCGGAGAAGATATGTATTTATATATTTTTGTATCAGTTCTCAAGACACATTTAATATTTATTATCAATTAATGAATTGGAATTCTATCTAGAAAATCAACAACAGTATGTCTTACATATCTGTTAGAGGGAAAACAATAATAAAATCCATTGGCATACTCTCCAAACCTGACTACAAATAATCCTACCCAAATTAAGTTTATTTATACATCCACTGATTGCTAAAGATGCTAGATAAAAATATTAGAGCTGATTTAATGTAGACTCATTAAAATTCATTCCTGATTGAAAGCAGAGATCATCTAAAAAATTATTCTAGTCCCATATTTTGACCAAATAATTTTTTAAAATTTAGCTTTGGTGATTATGCAGTGAATTTATTGCACAAAAATGCATCCATTGATAAGTAGCAGCCCAACTACTTATCTGTTGGTTACTTAAATCTAGTTCAATTTTTAGTCATCAGTACATTCAAAATCCAAAACTTCAGATACTAAAATATGTCTTCATAGTAGATTAAAATATGTACTTTCCCCCTTAAATTAGCAAAGAACAGTTACATAATCATCGCCAGAACAATTTGGTACTTTCACAGCAAATGTATATGGCTGTGTTCTTTTTATCTCTTTTCTTAATTGGAATTTTCTTTTTCTTACTTTCAATTCAAACTCTCTCTTTTAGAGAATAATGCACCTATATTGCATATATGCGGCAACTCCTCTATATAAACCGAAAATTACTATGCTATTTCCAAAGTCAGCCTGACACAGATAAATCTTACCTCCACATATGCATTCTGAAAACAAAGAAAGAGTACCAAAAAACAAAAATGTGGTTCTAATCAGTGAATCTTAAGGATAACTTTGTAGCCGAATTCTATTTTTTTCTGATTATCTTTAACTCATTTATTGAAAAACATCCACTGACTATACTACACTGTTAC